GTACCCCGCAGTCTGCCAAGTACCGGCTGGGCAATGGGGCTGGTGTACGCTTGGCTTTCCACATGTAAATTCTGTTTTCATGAAAATATTTCCAGGAGCGTTCCCCGCTCAATCTCATTTCCATTTTCTGATTCTTCATTCTTTTCTTCTTCCTGTCCTTTTTCAGTTGCCGCAGCAAAAGTGCGGCAAGGAGGGGGCAGTGGTGGAGGAGGAGGCCGCCGGTCCGTCCTGGCAGGCTGCCTCCCGCCAAAGCACTCTGGCAACGGCTGCCTCCCACCTCACCAGCAAATACCGCATCAATTGCGGCCGCCGTTGCTCTTGAATGCACTTGCACTCGTCAAAGAGGCCTCACGGTGCAGGCGGCCTCCCGTTGGATCAAGCAAGGGACTCAGCTCAATCCCAATCACAAGCTCCTCTGCTTTGCATCCAGTTCATCGTCTCGGTTGTTCGTAGCTGTAAAAAAAGTATTTAATTCTCCCCACGCCCTTTTATCGCAACTCATTTCTATCCCGTCACCACGCATGCCCTTGGTAAATGCGCAATACACAGCAATCCCTTTTTCTCAACTCTTCTACAATGTTTACCAAAATTGAAATGACGGAGGTGCTTCGACTGCTGCGGTGATGACATCTAATAGTGAACGACTTATCAAACGCTCTAACACTACCTACCCTATTCACATATGACATCATGTATCTCTACATCAATGGACCAAGAGAAGGCCTTCTTCATACGCTTGTAACCCTATTTATGATAATAAATACATAAATTAAGCCTAAAATAACCCTACTTCAGAGGTAAATCACAAAGGGCTAACTAGCTAAATCGGAGGAAGATGTTGGAAGAAGTGGAAGGAGTTGAATAGTCTGTAGTGGCTTGGAGACGGACAATTCAATCAACTTTCATAAAAGGGCTACTGGCCATACCCAGCATGGCATTATCAAAACCTCCAACACCGTGAGAGAGACTAATTCTTCCCCTAACCGCTTGCTCAAGCTCACCATAGTCTTTTCTTAAACCTGCCGTCACAGTCTGGGAATTCTAACTGAGATTATGTAAGAAAAAGGGGTTTACCTAGTACAATAAGAACATAGACAATAGAGTGACACCTGCTCAGTCTCGTGAACATTATTTCATGCTCATCACCTTCAGAGCCTACATTTGTGGATATCCGTCCCTCAATATCCTTCTTGTAAAACTCATCTTGTGGCAAAGTAGTGATGAAAGGGGCCATTGAGTTGCTCAACATGGACTTCAAGCTTAGCGACCCAGCTCGAAATCAATATATAGAGGGAGATCTCCTTCCAGAATGGTGATTGATGTTCACGTCTGGCTTAAATATTATTGGCTCTATTGACATTCAAACTTAATTCTTAGGGGATAGTTCGAGTATATAGTAAAATATAGCAATGGAAGATGCTAGACCCGACATCTCAATACAATGAGCACGGGGATTTCAGTTCTCAGGGGGGTTGACCTTGGAAAATCTTCCGTCGAGCCATTGCAGCAAGAACTGCACGTGGCGTGCAAGAGGGAAAATAAAGCCAATTTCCGCTATTTGAGTTAAACCTCGCGTGGGAAGAGAAGAGCATTTCTTTGACCGATAATATAAATTTTGGAGGTACCCTGTATACCATGCCGTTACATGACGTTGTCGTGCCTGGATCAATGAGTCTTACTACATAGGTGTTGATGAATACATCAAAGCCTAATCGAAATCTTTCCCATCGGCGCTTTTTCTTTTTCCAATTAGACTTGGACTCAAATAATTGTTTCAAAATATCTGCCGGCAACGAAACAGATCTTCAGCTCTGCAGTTACACAAAAAGCTATCAATTTCCTTTCCCAAGCAGCATAGCAGTTAACTCTGGTAGCTGACTTGAATTCAGAACCATAGGCAATCCAGAATGGGCATGTGGTCAACAGCTATATTGAGAAAAGATATCGCATTCTACCATCGGCACTTTTCGTACAACGGAACATGTTGGTCCGCATCTCCGTTGTGGGGCAGCACAATGTGACGCCATCCGGATATACAAATACACACCACATAAATCTTCAAATTTTCAAAACTTGATACAGCTAGCATTGTTTTCCTTGGGGGTATAAATATATTACAGCCGACCAAGGAGGACCGATGCTAAAAAGAAACAGCATAAAGGTCAAACCAAAATTATGGTAAGAACAGAATGTTCAGGCGCACTAATCTGATTCCTCATAGGAGCCATATCTAAGAAGATAAAACCCAGACCTTAATTGAACTTCTACTATCAAGCTATTTCTTGGTCCAAGGGTAGATATAATGCAAAGCGGTGAGTAGTGCGTGATATTTATCATGTACTTTCAGGGGAAAGCGGCCGAGCAGTAAAGACGCCAATCAGATTTGCCGACCTCTGACAATCGGAGTGTGACAAATGAACCTAACCCTTGGCATATGCTCTCTGGATGAAAGTGAGGTGGTATTCTAGAATGCCAGCATTGACACCGGAAGCAGGTGTTTACTCCCCACAGGGGTACAACGCAAAAGAATGCAACTCTATTCAATTTGAGTGGGATGAGTTTGCTGAGGTAATTATTACAATTATCCCACAAGCTGCCCGACGCAAATGACGTATTTTCTTTTCGTCGCATTGGCCAAGGCTTGATTCAAATGTTGTGGTTTGATCTTGCTTTGGAGGTTGTGCCGTCAAATGCTCGTATCATTCTAAAACGGCATTTACATAGATTTATTGGAAGAATCTGGATACATTATAGCTATAACTTGCACCAATTCCTCAATGATCTGGAAACACGCTAGGTGGTGGGCTGGACTCAACCATGAGAATAATATCAGAACATTTTGATCACGGAGCAAAGCGGTCCCGATCATCATACCATAAAAGCTCACAGCTTCCTGTTTCATAGTCTCCATGGCGAACACGTTCGACCTCTACTCCGCTTTTCATATATCCGTGTTGCCATAGCTCGTATAACTCATCCATGTACTGTCCAAAAAGGCAGCTTGGCAAACGTCAAGGTCGTGTTTTACGATGTTACCCTCATTGAGCCTTTCCTTTTTTCATTATCAATCAGGTCATCGCGCATGTATAAAACTATTTATTAACTACTAGCTTCTCCCTTCAACGCCCGCTTTTATCCCCAACTCTCGACATCTTAGTCTTGGAACACTACAACTCAATCTCTGTATTGCCGTTAATTAATCAACATGAGAGTCCCGGTTACTATTCTTGCCGCTGGTTTGCAAGCAGCTGCTACTGTAGCTTCCCCGCTGACTTCAGTGGTCGATGCTGCTAAAGCCGAGATCCAAGGACTGGTTCAAGTATGCATAGAGCATTGCGTGATGTGAGGAGTTTGGGTTTCCCTCATTGATCTTTTCCCAAATTTCAAGGCTTCTATCTCATCCCAGATCCTTCCTCTCAGCCCTAGTGTCCGAAAGCTAATGCGAATTTCGTCTTCAGGGTGGCTCCTTAGCTGTATCTGCAGTCTCCCAAGAGGCCTCGTCGATCTCAGCAAACAAGTATATTACCAGCGAGAACTGGGCGGGTGCCTCCAGAGCTGGAACAAACATCACCTTTTCGACTGCCACCGTAACCGTACCTGACTTTGAGACCGACCCAGATGGCTGGACGACAGGGCTGGCCATCTTCGCCGGCCTAGATGGCTATTTTGGCTCCCCAGACAAGCTCACCCTGGCCGGGATCATCATTGCGGCGGTGAGAGGCGAGCGCCAATATCAGTTTACCGCCCTCTGGAGGGTGTTCCCCGACGGTGGAGGGTCCGAGAATGAAATCACGTTTCCCATCCGCGCTGGCCATAAGATTCGATTGAGCCTGGACCGTCTTTCTGAAACCCGCATCAATGGCACCGTCGAGAATTTAAACACCGGCCAAACTGTCTACCGTATTCTGGACGCCCCCGAGCCGTTCCCGGCCACTGACGCTTCCTGGGTTGTCAACAGGTACACCAGCATGGGCGACTGGATGAGATGGCTCGACTTTACCGATCCAATCAAATTCACTGATATCAAGGCTGTGAACGGTGATGGTGCGACTCTCAACCTTGATGGTGCTGATCTCCTCGACATTGTGCCGAGTGGGCAGAGCGCTTTCACTAAATGCAGTATCGATGGCCCCTCGGATTTGACCTGCCTGCACCCCTAATCGCACTGGGCCCATTGAATCGCTCGTATCTACGGCTATAGTCTGATAGTTTCAACAGGTAGAAGTTCACAAATTGCCATAGAATGGAAGTTTCCTATGTCATGTGTGTGACGGTGAACATATAGCAGATGGGCTGGCTGGCAGATGAAGATCAGATAGAATTGAACGTGGTCTTTCTTCCGTCCAAGATTTATTGATCTTACACTTGGAGTTTCAACAATACTCAGCAAGAAAGTCGTTGCCCATAAGTTTAGACTAAATGCCAGCACATCGACCTTTTTCAACTCAAAGCTTAAGTCAATGCATTTCGCCTAATTCACTATATGGCATGATTACGGAGAGGTAAAGTCCACATTATATCTAAAAGTCTGAGCCTAAGGTCCGGAACTTCCAAGCACAATCCCATGAAACAGATCATTCGATCATAGCCCGTCATAACCAATAGAGCAGTGGTTCAATTTCTCCAGAAGGGGTCATGTCGGCAACAATCAGTCGAAGTATACAGAAAGACCATTTCCCAAGAGGAATCCTCCTTGGAAGGGCTACTTTAATCTTATCCCAAGAGATTAACGGCCAGTAAGCACCCATCTCCTTAGGCACAGCTGTCTCTAAGATACACCAATACAGACATCTCAATACGTTCCCCATCTATATCTTCAAATTTATTGTTGAGAACTAAAATATTCAACAAGCGAAACACTGCATATGACCAACCGTGCGAGATAATGCCGGAATGTACTTCTTGAGCAAAGTACAAGACCTGAAAGCCATACTGAAATTATTGAAAAGAATTGAACAATTTGTTATCCATCAATAATCCGGTGGAACAATGACCCGTCATCATGCAGCAGGGCCGCGGCTAGCCTCGTGGTCACGTAGTTGCTTGACAATATCATGATGATTGTGAAGCATAGCCGTTTGAAGAGGCGTTCCAAAAGTACCAGCTGTTACGTTCACATCCGCGCCCCGATCAAGCAATAGTTGAACAATTTCACTGTGGCCGTTGCTAACCGCTCCCAGAAGCGCCGTTGTCTCATACCCGCCAATTGCATTCAGATCAGCATCGTAATCAAGCAGCTGACAAACGATCTTACTATAACCTTCTGCCGCGGCTATTGTGAGCGCCGGTCCATGAAACTGGTTGCCAATTTCATTGACCTTGGCACCACGTTGTAGGAGTTGCAGCACAGTATCATGTCGACCATGAAGTACAGCTGCTTGGAGTGCTGTGCTATCATCATTATAGCCTGTCACATTCACGTCGGCGCCTTGATCGAGCAACTGTTGCAATATTGTCACCTTACCGCCCATTGCTGCCTGATGGAGTGCAAAGCCGTAAGAAAGTTCAGTCCCATTGACGTTGGCGCCGTTTTGAAGGAGAAGTCGCACGATCTCGCTGTGGTCGGCATACACTGCAGCACACAGCGGGGTTCCTTTATGAGCCTTGCTATGTGCGTCAATGTCGGCGCCGTGATCAATAAGCTGTTGAATCATGCCCTCATGGCCACCGTTCACTGCCTCATGGAGCGCCGTTCCCCGATCCCCAGAGACATTTGGCTTAGCCCCTAGATCCAATAACTGCTTAACAATGTGCCCAAAACCCCGTGCAACAGCTTGGTACAAGGCTGATTCGTGGCGTCTGTTGCTTGTATTAGAATTAGTAGCGTGCTCGATAAGCTGTTGAGCAATTTCTATTTGGCCGCCCGCCAAAGCTCTTTCGAGGACCGTCTCATCTGAGTAGTTGCTAGTTGGTGCATTGACGTCTGCGCCGTAGTTCAGTAATTGTTGCACGATTTCCCCACGGCCGTGTAATGCAGCTAGGCAGAGAGGTGTATTTCCCTCATAGAATGTGTCTTCGGAGGTCCAAAAATTTGCAAAATTGCCACGTTTGTCATGTAGCCAATAGAAAATCGACGTACAGCCTCGGTCTTCGGGTATCAGGTCAGCGTCGGCCCCGTTCTCGAGGAGACACTGCACTATTTTGCTATGGCCATGGTATACGGCGGCTTGCAAAGGTGTCCCCCCATATCTCCCGGCAAGATCAAGATCGGCACCATAGTTGGTGAGTAGTTGAACGATCGTGTAATTACCGTGGCTCACGGCCCATCGGAGCGCTGTTCCGTCAAGGCTCATTCCGTTGATATCAGCTCCATGCTCTAATAACTGCTCGATAATTTCAATATGGCCGTCTCGTACAACTTCTTGTAGCAGCGTTATCCCATCAACGTCAGGCAAGTCATCGGCGACATATTTTTCAGAGCCAGCTATCTCATTGACAGCGGTGTTGAAATCGAGAAGCACCTGAGTTGCTTTCCCCTTACCACGCCGCACGGCGTTATAGAGCAGTGCGTCTTCATGATCATCTATACCAGCACCAGCCGCAGCCGCATTCACATCAGCGCCATGTTCAAGTAGACATCGAACAATATCCCCATTCCCCCTCCTCGCGGCTACTCGAAGAGGTGTTCCAGAGCCATTTGTCACGTTGACGTTGGTAGTATGTTCGAGAAGCAACTGAACTAATTTGCCAGCACCACGTCTTGCGGCAACATGGAGTGGCGTGTCTCCATCATTGTAAGGTGCGTCAGCATCAGCGCCGGCCTGAAGGAGGAGGTGCACTATCTCGTCATGACCACGGTAAACGGCTACATGGAGCGCCGTTCCGTGGTTGCCTTTGGCATTGATATCCGCACCGTCCTCAAGAAGACCTTCAACAAGCCAACTCAACCCAACAAGTGAGGCATAATACAGCCCGGGGGGTAAAGGAACAAGAGACCAAAAATCAAGGGAAATGTTGCGGTCGTCATAGAGCGACCAATTGATTTTATACGCAGCGGACTTCATTAAATCCCAGATCAATGCTCTTCCTTCTCCACTATCTTTTGCGACTCTTGCATGTTCTGGCCAGTATTGTGCCGAATACTGGGCCATTGGATATTTTCGTCGAATTTTCAATAGCACATCATCTGAGATCATTCTATCATCATATTCGTCTGCATCGCTCTCATCATGATCTTTGTCGCCATCAGCCTGCAGGCCTATATTGATAAGCGCTTCTACTCCGAGTAAGTATGCAACACAGACCTTCACAATGGAAGCTCTTGCGTTGGTTTCCAAGAAATCAAGTCTGATATCATTCATTCGATGGTCTTGTTGGAAGCGATCGGATATCAAATATTCCTTCACTGAGAAATGCGCTAGACTCAGCTCTTTTAAATTCTCGGATTCGTGCTCAGCATTTTGTCCTTTTCTATTGGTCATAGCCACTAAGCTGGAGCAATAGCTCAAGACCTCCTCTGGAGCTGGCATTCTATCATCTGGGTTGAAGTATGGTTTTTCATCAGTGTTGACTGCAATGGCATCAACAGCCTCTTCAATTCGCAATGGGCGTTCCGAGAAAGTCAGGAATTGGAGCAGCCGTATAGTATAATGTCGGTGATCAAGGGGTACGCTGGCCAGGATTCGACTGTAAGTTTGATCCAGCGTTCTCGGCAGGGAATTGAGTGCTCTTCTTAAGATTGGAGGATCCCGGCAATCTTTCAGAGTATCAAACTGGCATGAAACCCAGCGGTACCTAGGAAAATTAGAACATCCACAAAGTAATGCAGAGATGACTCACATGCCATTCGCTTTTGAACTAAGCGCGAATATAATTTCGTTTTGAATATCCACTCTTGTATGCCACCTAGACAGTTGCCCAACTCTCGCTACGATATATGAGTTGATATCACCTTCTGTCAAATGACTTTCCAGAGCTACGGGTATAACACCAGCCCATATTTTCATTCGTGACTGGATGGCGTGTTCTGGGCGGCTTGTAGCAATCAAATGAACATTGTTTCGCGACGATCGAAAGCTATCAATCCAGGAGAGCAGTCCTCTTGTATGATGGTCCTCTAATGTAGAACTTTCGTCAAGAGCATCAAGTAAGATGTAAATCTTTCCTACATCCTGAATCATCAAGAGAAAGGTATTCTCTAGTGATTCAGTGCTTGGCTGCCTTTGGCCATCCTTAGTCTCAGAATACAGCAAGTCTAAGTGACGTTGGCTTGCTTTGAGGCGGTATAGCTGATAGCAAAGCGACCGGATCATATTTTCAAATGTTTGCTTGCGAGTATCGTTGAAATCAAAGTAAAAATAAAGAATCATTTCTTCCTCCTCCAGGTCTTGAATTATAGTGGTGCTAAGGACCGTTTTTCCGCAGCCTGGTATGCCATGAAGCCAGAGAAGAGAATTTTCCCTGTTCTTGCAGGACAGATACCTCGAATCCTGAAGTAGCCACAGACCTGAACCGGCCTGGCGTAGCTCGATGGCTTTGTTGAAATTAACAGAAGGATCAGGAGGATCAAGCCATTGCCTTAAACACTCCAAGCGGTTATCGGTTTGAATAGCCTTAACAAGGCGTTCGGTATTATTTGTTGAAGATTGAATGTTCTCAAGCCTCTTGTTAGCTACGCATTGTTAGTCAATAGTACATCCTGCCATTGGAACGCCCTACTAACCGTTGTTCACAAACTCGCTCAATCTTTTCTCAATGTTGACCTTGCTGGGTTGGATTCGATAAAGAAGACCCCGTGTGTATGCAGCCGCCGTCATCGCAGCGTATCCTTGCCATTCCTTGTTCTTATGGGTATCAGAGTAGTCGCAAATGCCGCGAATAATCAAGCACGGGAACTGGTTCATCAAGCCGGCTGCCTCCATTTCGAAGCACAAGACATCCATCTTTCTTGATAGACTATCCCGTATGACAGCGTCCTTCATTACTTGGTTGGCAGACGCTATTAACCCGTAATGAACCATCGGGTCATCCTCGCGTTCAGTTCTTGGTGTCCGGTCAACTAGTTTCGATGGATCATTGGTGTCAGCGCAACATCCATCACCATGAATAACGGTTGACAAGTAAAACCGGTCTGTCGCTGGATCTGGTTGCTGGAACCTATTCCTCAATCGGCGGTTTTTATTAAGAACCTCCTCCACGGATTCATGAAGACAGGATCCTTTTCTCTCATACTGTGTTCTCAGCCCACTGACTGCAGTTTGCAAGAGGGCCGGCGGCTGGTTTATGAATGAAGTGGCTTGAAACTCTTGCCCCTGTATGGCCTTACCATAATCATACTGAAATACGGCCCCGTGACTTCCAGTGACGGTGCTCACAACCACGTCTCCCAGACGCACGTCATGTCTCTCACTTGGCACGCCTCCCCCAATTCCGACCATGAGCCCGATTCTAAGATGAGGAAAGCTGCGCACCATGTTGTTGGCGACACTAGTCGCATTGGCGATTCCATATTGCCCCTCGGGAAGCACCGCGATAACAACGTTGTGTTTCCCAACCCTCCCCAGGGCATAGTCATTGGTATCGTTGGGTAGTGACTCAAGCGGCTCGTGCTCCTCGTCAAGGAACTCTTGGGCGGCTATGTACTCGGTGGTAATCGCGCATACCCAGCCGACCGTGTAGTCTTCGTGTGAAAACTCTGATTCTCTTTTCCTTTTCGGCATCGCAAAGATAATATATTTACGAGAGTAGTACGCGTGGTTCGGGCAAGGTCTCTCAATAGGTTCGATAGCATAGAGAAGCTAGAGCATGGGCGTAGTTCAGATCTGTGAAACGAGAGTGGCGTGAGAAAACCTGCTAGCTCACTCTTCCAGTGGACACGGTGGTCAGCTAAGACTTCCACGTTGAACCTGATAGGCTGTGTGTTATGCACATTTGTGAGATTCTAAGCCACAGAGCTACTGCAACTCTGTAAGTCGTATGCATGATGAGCCAACTGAAGTTCACCTTACTAATTTTCGGAATGAATGTCGCCAAGACCTTTTCTCCTCTTTGTGTAACCTATCGAGATATGAGTCATTCATGCAGCTCGCTCATAAGCACAAGCGGAGCCACAACTCTCACCCAACACTCTCCCGTCATAGAAACAAGCGAACTCTCTAACATTCCCTAAATTATTAAGTGGGAATCTGTGATCCTTGAATTACCGTCATGCCAGCGAAGCAGAAGAACCGACAGTGGCCACGCACCGTCAGGACTCCTACCAAGAAACCAACTACAGCGCTCAGATTGAAGGCTCTACCGCTGGAAATTGTTCAACGAATCATCTCTTTTTTGGACCCCATCGCGCTGATTTCCCTCGGCCAAACGGGCAGATACTTCCGGCGCCTGATTAGCCCAGGGAGAGCAGAATTTGTCGGTCGACTTTTAGCTCTTGAATGTCTTGACAAATACGGGGGCTCAGCGTCAATCATTCACGCCGGCGTATGTCCTCGCCCCGCCTCGAGCGCAGAGTGGGAGACAATAAGATGGGCTTGCACGAGCTGTATGCGGCTACTACCACATACTTGCTTTGAAAACCACGCAATCCTGCGGTTTGGATATCGGAAGCCAATTCCCGGGACACCAGCTGCAGAGACGGCCACAAAGTGGAGAGCTTCGTGGCGGGGTAAGATCTGGGGAGGAAAGGGAATTAAACATGTACCGCCGCTGGAGCTCAATCAAAGACGCAGAGGCCAGAGGGAGAAGGATGACTGGATACATCCTGCCAACGTGAGCAAGTATCTAGAACGACTCCAAGAAGTTGGGATACATATCGAGGCCATAGCTGACGAAGAATCACCAACACTGGAGGCCAAACAAGCCGCGATGGAGCAAGTCCTCGAAAAATCACAGTTGCATCGGTGGGGATTCAAACGACACCTTCGCAAATGTAACGAATGTCGCTATCAAGCAGGACATCTATATCAACATCCTATGCGGCCCGTCTCTGTACCATACCTCCAGACGAGCAGACAATTGCTCTATGCCGGCATGTTGGAACGATATTTCCCACAGTATTGGACTGTGCTGAAACATCAGCGGCCTCAATTACCTCAGAATCGGACCATGGAAGTTTGGCCTACGTACATGGGGAGATGCAACATATGCAAGTCATGGCAAGAGATGAGATCATTTCGAGTAGGGCTGACGCGTAGTAATAACATTGCCTTCACGCACAGAGAATGGGATGATCACCATTTTGAGTGGTCTGACTACTTTGACTCCCTCGAGTGCAACCATTGCGTTGCGAAAACGCAGGGCCCCGAGGTCCTTGGCACCATGCTGTTAGAATGGATCAACGATCTCGTTTCCAAAGAGGATCGATTTTACAATGATGTTGTCTACGAAGGTTTTGTGAAAGTAAGGGTGTCACTGGCGCGGCTGACATGTAACGGTCATACAGAGTCAGAACAACGTGGCCGACTCAAGGCCATGTTCGAGATTACTCTAGAAGGGAAAGCGGATTACCTTACAAGAGATGACGCGGTGGAGCTTCTCATGCGGCATCATGAGGGCATCAAGACTATCTGGGAGGACCTCTTGTCCCACGATTCGGAATTTGCACTGAAGTTCGGCGACGATAGTTTTGAGACGGGCTGGGTACGAAATTTACACACGTACCAAACGTACTTGATATGGCTGGGTAATACCAAGCGTGAACTAAACGAGAGGCCATTAGCCCTTGTTAGATGGGCGATTAGTAGACGCCAGTCTCAATAAGCTCATGGAAACGAAATCGACTGTGCGGATTTTTAATCAACACAGGTAAATTAAATACTTTCGTGTGTGGTTTTCATTGGGTGGTTTCCATCCCATAGTCCCATTCTCTACCTACAATGCATAACCGAGGATGATTAATTTAGAACACTGAACCACATGAGTGACGGTATGAAAAATGACAATATACGGATAAGGTAGCAGACCGTTGTGTTATACAAAGACTGTTCCCTGTCAAGCCAGCAGAAAAGATTATGATGCGCATTAGGCCTAACATCGCCAAGTCTAACCATACAACTGCCTTCAGGTACAGAAAGAGAGTAGGCTACGAACAATGGGAAGCCAAGCGTCCCATCATCGCAGATCTTAATGTGAGACATCAGGTGACGCGTAAGGAAATAATGAAACGGCTAGAAAGCATCTATAGCTTCATAACATCGTAAGTTTCCTCATCATTTCAAGAGAACCCTCGTCATCTCTTACTCATAGAAGAGGGTACGCGCGTACGTGCAACAGGTGCTAACTAAAGAATCGGTGAAAGTCAGTTCAAGGCTCGTATCAGGAAGTGGAACCTAGCGCGGAAAAATATGTCTCGGCGTCGACCGGCAGGGGACAAAGAATCGTCGTTGAGTCTTCATCCAAGGATCATCTCAATCGACATGAGAAGATGAAGGGTGCGAACCGGAGGCTCAAGACGTCTATAGCTACGTCTCACGATGGCAGTGAAATGAATCTACAGCGGGTAGAGGTAAGAGACGATGGCTTCATCTGTTTCCACGGAGCCCATGACGTGACAGCCAAATTCAAGAAGCTAAGAACTCGAAGGGGCTAATCAACGCAATAATGACGGGACGGCTACTCCACGTGATGACGGCTTTACGCCGAACCGACCCTTGCCAAAAGGAGCAGAGGTGTCTCACAGGATCATTCTGGCCTCACAAACACAAGTTCCTGACTATTCGATTTCGGGATCTGGCGCACGATCACGCCGGGGTGTGGACGAGGTACCACCGAAAGTCTCAAGCCGCATGCTCGAACACTCCGAGAATATTGATGGATCAAATATGACAACGGAGGCGGTCTAACGGAGCGTTATGGCCAGATATCGAGGATACCTTGCTATTGAGCTGGATAAATACACGGTGAACTATCATTAAGATGCAATAGCTTTACTCTGTACTCAAGTAGATGGCCCAACACGTAAAGGAAATTTCATATAATATTTTAGGGGGTGAGAGCATCCTTATTTTGGGTGATATTTATTTGTGACTAGAATGCAACAAGTCAAGCTTGAATAATACTTTAATTGGCGGCAGAGGAGTGAGGCCCAAGACCAGACTGAGGTTCTGCCTATTTCACATACGGCAAAGTAGGCGATCACCCCATACATCTCCGAAATTCGTAACAGCACGTAAAGTAGGCGTTTAGCACAGGCTAGTCGGATGTTGGAGCCGAAAAGCATCCAGACCCCATTCCAGACCACGTCCCCGTTTCCCCTTCTCGGCTGCCGATTGGCTGGTCGATGGAGTGGGAGGTGGGGGAACGGTCCGAGGCTTGGCAGTTCTCAGCTACCGATTGGCAGAGGCGTATTGTGTGATATGCACGTTTCCCTGCTGCTGTCTCGGCTCTCAAGACATATCTCACGGTAAGCACGGCAAGACCAATACGAGATGAGCAGCTGGTAGGTCGGGTAGAGCTGCAAGATGATCTCTGGGGAAAGGGGGATCTTGCGCGTAGTAGTCTCGCCCATGGGGGATCGATCTATTCCCTCACCATCTCAACCAAGCCGATGCCCTGACTAGCGGATTAGTCTCAAGCAGGGCGAGACCAAACTGTAAGGGGAGCTTCGCTTCCCATCTTGGTCGGTTCTGGCGGCACCAAAATGCTGCACGCGATCGCCTTGCCACTCCGGCGTTCCGTCCGAAGTTGGCAGTAACCTAGAAGGAGTTCATCACCCACATGCCGCTTGGACTCACGATCGCCAGCAAGCGCAACAATCGCGAGGTTCTAGACCATATCACTCAGTCATGTGTGGGGCCGGATGTAGGCGTATACAATAGCTTCCTTCGCCTTACGACCAGGGCTACACTATTTGCGAATGGCCAATACATACTTGCCTTTAGTTCTACCGTCGTACAGTCAGTAGGCCAGCCTCCCCAGGGCTCGACTTGGTCTTCGTTGATCCCAGTGGCCACTGGCGGTCCGCCTTAGACCAATCCGGCAATATTGAGGCGGCCATGAGTAGCCAACCAGGAGGCAAACCATTGGAAATAAACTTATAAAGCTCGCATGGTTCTTCCCATGGTTGGGCTTTCTATTTAAGCTTCTCTCTCCATCCTCAACTCAAAACTTCTCAGCTTTCGCACTCATCACATCATCTCCAGCCTCAACCACCAACCCCCACACACAACAAACAACCATGAAGTTCACTACCGTCTTCGCTGTTGCCGCTCTGGCCATTGGTCCTGTCATGGCTGCCACCACGTCCACCTCCGTCTCCGGTTCCGTGTCTGGCACCACTGCTGCTGCGTACGCACATCCACCCATCCAGTGAAGAGACAACGCATCGGCAATGGAATAATAACTAACTCATCTCTCCCTCATAGCACTGCCAAGGCTACTTCGTCTTCTGCCTCTGCCTCGTACGTTCCTCCGCATGCTGACCAGCAAAAGGACCTCTCTCGTCCCAGCCATGTAAGCTAACCTAGTTGCTCTCCTTCCAGCTCCTCCGCCTCCAAGGCCTCTGCCTCCTCCTCCTCCTCCGCCTCAAAGGCCTCTGCTTCTTCCTCTTCCTCCGCCTCAAAGGCCTCCGCTTCTGCCTCCTCCACATCCAGCAAGGGCGCCGCCCCCACCATGGGAGTCGAGAAGGTCGGAGCTTTCGGTCTTGCCGCCGCCGCTGTTGTCCTGGCTCTCTAAGTGGAACGTTCCCTCTGCACAAACCTATAGAAAAAAGAGCAAAAAAAATTCAAAATCAAGAATCGCGGCGTGGTTTCACGAGTGCTGGCTCACATAGACGATTTGAGTTGCAGGCCAGGACCAAAACGAAGAAGCTGTTACGATTGTATTGAGAGGATATGTGATGGAATTACGGGTATAAAAGATTTGATGGCATGCGCGTTTTGTTTTACTTTAATTTACCACTATTACATGAGGTGGTCTGTCAAGAATAGAGACAATTTCTCCCATCATTCATATATATCCCTCGCTAATCCTGAGCCCGCAAAAGTAATATCAAGTTGAGACACTTGTGAACTCTCATGTCGCGTTCTTGATGGCCTCACTTCATACATTCAAACTACCCTGTACTCACCACCATTGTTCACAGCAATCCCATGTCACGCGTAAGTAAAGCGATTCCAAGTCTTCATTTATATTTATGTGGTGCAAACTGACCTATTTCACACCCGTAATAACACTACATTCGTTGTGTTGAGATGCTGGGTATGGCATCTTCTATCGTTTTTTAAATTTGTGTTGGAACTCTCTAGCCTGTGAAAATACTAAACAGTGAACAATTTGAAATGCCGCGTCTCGTATTTTCCATTGCTGTCTTATCAGTTGATGCTCAATCTCTTTTTAAACTAATGACACTAAGCCTAGAGTTCAATATTGTATTTTTTAAATATTCTCTGAATCATTTACTTTCATGATAGCGATAATTTAGCATCCTTCGGTAGACTTGGCAACAAACTTCATCTATCAGCTGCGGATTCATCATGCATACATATCCGGCTAAGTCTATGCGAGTGATCAATATCTATAGGTTAGGAAAACAGCAAGGGACTCCCCGGCACGAACGCCGAATATGCCCTTGCTTGAGCTTGATAAGCCCCTCAAAACAACTTGATATGTCATCACTTGCGAGCAGTCCTGCCATCTAATATACGTGAACAATGTTCTATTCTCTAGTCCCATTCCCCGCCCAAAAGTCTATATCAAACAAGCTAAATGTATATGCAAGGAATCACAGTAAAAACAAACAAACAAAATAAAAAAAGGTCCCCGGCGTCATGCCTCAATGCAAACCAACCAACGCTCAGGGCATACACGATAATAGTCAATGTCGAAATTAAGAAACATGAAGAAAACAAAGAAAACTCCACGCCGTTGCTCAGGCCGTTGCTCCTTTAATCATTTTGCTGACAAACGAACACTCGTGAACGAGTAAAGAAAACTGTCGGTAAAGGAAATAGTCGAGATGAGAGAGTGGTATTAAAGAACGTTTCATTTCTTCATGGCGAAGACGCTGAGGAAGATGCTCCAGCCAAAGCCCACAAAGACAGCAACAAGCACCCTAGATCGAACAGGCACCCAGAGGAAGTTGGCGAGAGCGACCACGGGCCAGATATGCCACCCAGCCTTGATGAGCGTAAAGATCCTCTCCCGGATGACGGCGAAGAGGATAGGCAGGTTAGGAACACGCAGGTAGTTGGTAATGAAGAGGAAGATTACGCCGCTGATGGCCAACCCAATAGTCTGGTCGAGAATGAGCTTGGCGAGCAGATTGGACCAAATCACATCCGGGCTGATCCTGAACCACGCCCTCAGCTTCCCCTGCAAGCTCAGTTCCGCCGAGGCAGCCGCGCCGCCGCCCGCCACGTCGTCGTCCTTCTTCACCTCCAGCTGCTGCCTGTCCTCGACGCTCGGCAGCGTCTGGAGGTGGATCTGGGTGTCCGCCGCGGGCCGCGTGGCGGGGAACCAGTCCTCCAGCATGAACTGGATGATGTTGCTGAGCTGCGAATTGAAGGATCCGTAGGCCGCGAACTCGAGGACCTGCTGGTAGTCGAAGGTGAAGTGGTCGGGCCCCTTGCGCCACAGGACCAGCAGCTGGACGATGATGTTGGCCGAGACCTTCATGACGGCGGCCTGGCAGGCGAGACGGAGGCTCAGCGCGCGTCTCATGGCTGCGTTCCTAGGATGCGTGGGCGTGGCGGGAGATGCGCCTCGCCGGTGATGGGTGAATGGATGGTGCCGCGCGGCGGATGGGCCAGCCCTTGTCTGAGTCGCCTTATGACACACACATCGGGGTGGGACGGACTGAAGCTGCGCCGATGAAGTCTAGCGATAGGGCTGACGGTAATTAGTAGCGAGTGGACGGGTGCAGCGGGCGGTTTTGAGGGAGAGGCGGGATGGGAGGTGGTTTGCTGTCCCTTTTTACCCTTTTTTCAGATTGAGGTGAGGTCAAATGAAATTAAGGGCGAGGTGTCATGATTGGATATTGCTCTTTGGGGCGGTATTGCTCAAACGGTGCGTGGCTGAGGGCCTAAAGGGGCAATTAGTGGGTATTGCTGATGAAGCTAACCGCAAATTCAGCGTGCACAAGCAAACCGGTCCCTAAAAAGCTCCCCGCGGGCCCCTAAGAGGCCCTGTAGCTGCTTATCAGCCCCTATAAATGCCCCCTAAATTCTGGGCGTTCCCTCGCTATGATGATGAGTGAGACCAGTGGAGTGTTGCTCTCGCGATCCCTGATTAAGGTACCATTGCGTGGTCACGAGCTGCTAAATATAGATGAATCTTATGGCAAAAAGATGACAGCAGCCGAGGAATTGAGAACACTGCCATGGCCATAATAGTGTGCTTACCATGGATGCTCCTTTGTTGTCTGCTTAGACGAGGGAAACCGCTTAAGTCCTCATCACCAGGGGAATTTTGTGGAGCCTAGCAAGATTTCTTCTAGAAGGCGGTGATGATGAACCTAATTCACGGAATATAGGTAGATACATTACCATGCGGGGATAACGGCTGCGCGACCAGATATAATTGGTGGTCAACAGTTCTACTTGCTTTGACTAGCCAGAGTGCGAAGCTTCAAACGACCGGTCTCTAGATGTCGTCTGGCTTTGATCGAGTTTCAATCCGACCACGAGCCGCAAGTCTAGATTGAACAGCTGAAACAAGACTTTATTATACTACGAGTAGGATGCATGAACTGGGAAACCCCTCCGGATACTTCCATAATGTTAATCATATATTCACGTTGTTTGTTCGGAAGGTACTGAATATCTCCACTCCCCTACCTCATGGGCGGGAGCTTCCCTGAATTTTGGACACCATATGGTTATCTACTTCTCATCATATGTAGTGTCATAATGATAGTCATGAAAATCGTTAATCATCACGTACGCGGCCTATGTACATATAATCCAGACCTTCCTCTATTACCACGCCACCTTGGCTAGCAGCGACTCCGGATACGTCCGAACAATCAATTTACGGATTTCGTCCATGAACAAAATACTCAATCCGAGGGGCAACGGGATGAACCAAAACTCAATCGGCACCGAGGCTGTATCAAACAGTCGTTGGATACCCGGGACCTCCGTCACGAAGATGGCGATCGCCAGACTGACGAGTATGCTGACAACAAGCCATGGGTTCCTCCGCTGCTTCCGGATGGGGTCTGACTGGAGGATGCTCATGCGGCGGTTCCGGACGGCGAGGACGTTCCCCCATTGCATGTAGAGCAGGGTGATGAAGTAGACGCACTGCCCAGTGGCCCTGAACTGATCTAGCTGGGCTTCCGTGTATCCGTAATACCCTTCTCCATACTTCTCGTACAAAAAGAAGAGGTCACGGATGGGTATTTTGGCGTACTGCCACATGTAAAGGAAGAACATGCTATGGGCTATGAGAGTCTCGATAGTCCCGGTGAAGAAGTAAGCCTGCCCGTAAATCTTGGCGTTGATTAAGTGATCTTTGCGGTGATCTCGCGGCGGGAGTGATAGCAAATCAAACTCCTCCTTCTCCATGATGAGCGACAGACTAAGGAACAGATCGGTGAAAACGCAAATGACAACCATGAGGAACGCGCCTAGGGGAAGAGGCGTGCCGAAAAAGACGTTAAGAATGACGGGCCAGATCTCAGACCACGAACCAGCTGGAAGGAGGTAGCAAATGACCTTTTGGAGATTCTGGAACACCAAGCGTCCCATTCGCATGGCGTCAACAATGGAGTGGAATTGATCGAGGAGAATCAGATCCGCAGCGTCAATAGCAATGTCACTCCCCGAGGCTACGGCGATACCGACATCCGCGGCACGCATGGCCGGTGCGTCGTTGACTCCGTCACCTGAGAGGGCGACGATGTTGTGGCGGTTGCGAAGCTCGTTGACGATGCGCAGCTTTTGCTCGGGTGTGGTTCGCGCGAAGACAATCTCCTCGTAGCTGCACACTACGTTCCAGTCGTCCTCGGTCAACCGTGCAATGTGGGCGCCGTCAAGGAGGAGACAGTTGGTCTGATTTGTCACTTTGGCCTCTTGAATCATAGGATGGGTGCCGCCGGCTGTGATTTGTTGGATTGTGTTGATGGTATCTAGTTCGCGATCAGCGGAGAAAATACCAATTTCCCTGGCAATGGCAGCGGCTGTGAGGGCGTAGTCTCCGGTGACCATGAAGAATCGCGTCCCAGCGCGGCGGCATTCGCTGATGGTGTGGCTGATGCCGGGTCGCGGAGGGTCGATGATGCCGACAATTCCCACAACTGTCAGGTTGCTGAGGGCCACCAAGGCTATTTCACTGCTGAAGGCGTTGGTTCTTGGAGGTGCGGTGGTGGTAATATTAGTCTTCTCACAGATGAGAATGACGCGCTCTGCCCGTTTGGACAGAGTATCTTGGAGTCTTCGGATGGAATCACGGGCTTCATGATCCATCGGCCGTACCGAGTTGTGTTTGGCCGACCAATAACTGGTACAAGCAGGGAGTAATACATCCGGGGCCCCCTTGATTATCGCATGGTAGGAGCGGACATCATCCTCATCCTCACTGGGTCGAGGAGGTGAGTCGAAAAGTGTGAGCATCCATTTGTTTCTTGAATTGAATGGGATTTCGAGGACGCGGGTTGTGGCATGTTTGAGATCATCACCAGCCGAACCAGCGGCAGCAAATTGGAAGATAGCAGCGTCGGTGCGGTTTCCCTGTACCCTACGATCTGTGATTGGGAGGTGCATTGTTGTAGGACTGAATGAGGCGTCATTGCAGAGAAGGGCGGCACGCTGAAGGGCTGAAGTCGGGGCGGACATGTCGCCATCTCGCTCATCGTTGACACGATGGAACTCCTCTGTCGATTTGAACTCATGATCGGCAAATGCGACGGACTTGACCGACATCTTCCCCTTAGTCAGGGTGCCGGTTTTATCAGAGCAGATGACGTTGACACAACCCAGTGTCTCGACGGTGGTCAGATCTTTGGGAAGGATGTTGGTGGTCTTCATGCGGCGTGCGATAAGGAGAACTGTGAGAGCGACAGAGACGGGCATCCCTTCAGGGATGAAGGCAACAACGCAAGCCATGACCTGGACAAGCATGTCTGGGATGTTAAGGAAATCGGGGTGATCGACTCGCAGCCACCCTACCCAGGTGAAAAGAATAGTCAGGGCAAGACAAATCGTAAGGCAAACAATGATCCTGACGAATCGCCAGATCTCGCGTTGGATCAGTGTGCTCTGCTGCTTGATACTAAAGGTTGACCGAGCAATACGGCCCATGACGGTGCGATCGCCGGTGAGAACAACCATCCCAACACAGCTGCCATTGACAACAACGGTTCCCATGAAGGCAATATTGCGTGTCTCCAGGAAATTTCTATCGGTTGGTTCAATAGAGCCCTCAATTTCCTCACCCTCCCCAGTCAATACAGCCCGGTCGAACCTGACGTCCCCCGAATGGTTAAGAATCCGAATGTCGGCAGGGACCTTGTCGCCAATGCGGAGGTGCACGATGTCACCAGTAGCTAAGTCACACGAAGGCACAATCTTGAGCTGACCTTCTCGCGTTACCATGGTATCAGAAGGGAGCAGTTCCAAAATGGAGTTCATAGTTCTCTCGGTGGACCAGTCCTGGAAGGCAGAGAAGCTGGCCTGAAGGAAAATGACCACCAGAATGAGGATAGCAAGAGAGAGATTCTGAGGAGACGGCGGGTCGCTCAGAGGGCGCCAGCAGATGAAGAAAATGAGGGAACCAATCCAGAGGACGGAACAGAAGCCGCCGAAGACATAGCCGAGGATCTTCTTGGTGTAGTTGGTCTTGGGCCTAGGCAACGCGTTCTTGCCATTGGATGCCAGGCGGAGGGCAGCAGCCTCTTCGGTAAGGCCATTCGTGTGATCGACGGCGAGCTGGCTACAGAGCTGATGGACCTGGAGTTCGTGGTAGGGCAGATGAAAGAAGTACTCGTCCAGACGAGGGTTGGGCTCGCTCAGCAAGGCCTTGGACAGGCTGTCATCGTCATCATCCTCGGCGGCAGCCTTGGCCTCTGAGACCTGGATGGAGAGGGTGCGGTACTCTATCTGGATCTCGCCATAGACGGAGGCAGCTTGCAGACGGCTCCTGGCACTCGCGGTGGAGTCTCGGGAGCGTGATCTACGACGGGACGAACGGGAGCGGTAAGGGGCAGGACCATCGTGGCACGTCGCACAGCGTTCATACTTATCACCATCGTTATCGGGGCCATGGTAGTGAAAGGAGATGCGGCTAGCAGCTTCGGGCGACGAGGGGCCGCCAGCGGCCTCCGGGTGATGATGGACGGTGGGCACAGGCTTCACTTGCAACTCAATCTCAGGATCAGCGGCCATAGTCCAGCTGGCTGGCTGGTTGGATCGGGTTCCTGATGGAATGCCCGTCCGATCCGACCGGTCCTCTCTACCGCGACGCTGAGACAACCAGATGGGCCAGTCGCCGGCCGGAAACGACGATGTCGCACTCGGCCGGGAGCGGGAAGGGAGGAAGGGAGGGGCGTGCGTGCTGCAGGAACAGCCTCAGGCCTATGAGAGGCAGGCCAGTGATGACACGAGACGCGCTCAAGGGTCAAAGTTTAGCAGCAATGGGATAGAGCGAGGGAGGCCTCTTGGGCCATTGTCGTTGTGTGTGGAGGAGGCCTCTCAGTCACTGGCAATGCAGAGGTGATGGATGGTGGAAGGAGTGTGAGGCCTCCGACGCACCAAAAGTAAGGTAAGGACAGGCTTGTGTATGTAATATGAACCAGCTGCGCGGGCGATCCCTTCCAGCTGGCTCTTCTGGGCCTGCTCGTTTGTGTTTTCATTCAGCCCCACCCAGCCTGTCCATCTGCTCGCTCTCACTCTCCCCCTCATCGCTCTCTCGATTTGATTGATTCCTGCGTCATTTATTCTAGTTTTCTCGGCAATTCTGCTACTCCTGGTCAGAGAGGCCACAATCCCTCGGCAACCTCCAATCGCTAAATTTCAGCTCTCTGGCCGCTAAACTTTGCAGTCTCCACTGTGTCCGCCCTAATTTGATACGGACCAATCACTGGTCGCCAATCTCGTAGTAGCGGATCTCAAGGTACAAAAAAGTACACCTCTAAAAAGTATTGAATTCACGTGATTTCCGCAAACGACACGCACAAACTTATATTTCGTAACTAAGCTTTGGTGTAGCTCTTTCCAGCTACTTTGTACCGCGTATGATCGGCGAATTTTGCGAGGACCGTGCCTCGGCAAATAGTTAATCCTAGCTCCGTGCCTCTCACCAGCATTCCAAGCATCAAAAGAAGGTTTCATCTTTGACGATGGCATGAAAGCACTAGCCTTGAGTCAAGCCCAACTGCCGAGCTTCTAGGCCCACCGTACGGGTAACCTCTTCCTCTATATTCCCTCTGGCAGGCTTCCAACCAAGCAGCTCCCGCGCTCTGCGCCCTGCACCTCTGGCATTGGTTCCGAACAGCGTGCCTCCCCAAGGAAGCAAATCATCCGCTTCTTCTGCTGTGATTTCGTCAATTGTCGAGTTCCGAACAAGTCCGAGGTCAGATGCGGCTGCTACAACACGCTGGGAGAGCTCTTGAAACGTCTGGCACCAATCAGCAAGGAGTTGTGCGGATGTCCGAGCTGGACTGGACTGCTTACTAATTCTGTCACTCCAGCAAGGTAGAGCCCGTTGCTACCCCAGAGCTGTTCATCATCCACGCGAGCAACAGCCTTTTCGACCAGCCGCACGATGAGCTGGCTGATATCTCCTATGTGTGCAGCCCCCCAACGGTTCAAACCCGAGCCAACTTTCACTCCCCGGCCTCTTTCCAGGGTCAGCTTGGCTAGTCCGGGAAGTTGGATACTTCGTTGGTTGATTGGCCCATTTCCACGGCCGTAGACTAAGGGCGGATAGACGATGGCAGTTTTAACTTGTGGTGAGTCTCGTGCGACGGAGAGCACATAATTGTCGACAACGCGTCGCTGTGGATGCTTTTCAATGTGGGCACGTAGAGCATCAATCCCTTCGTAGTCATCCCAGACAATTTCACTAGCCGAGCCAGGGATTCTGGATGGATCTTCCAACTCGGCTGCAGCAAGCGCGCTGGCACCTGATACTTGGATCCAGTACGCAGGCTTCCCATTACTTTTCCTATCTACTAAAGCTTGGTGAATTGCCTGTGCACTGCCAAGATGGTTATACGCGGCAAGATCTGTGGCAACCAAGTTGAATTGTTAGATCATTTGAGCCTTGCAAGGAGATATTCTTCTGTTCTCTGAGAACTGTCTGACGCACTGAGTACTATATCGGCATTATTTGCCTCTTTTGTGATGAGCTCGGTATCATCGAGGCTACCTCGAACAATGGTTACATCATGGTATAGATGCCTAATGGTATCGACTTGGTTAAGGTCTCGAACCAACACCCTTAGGGCGAGCTCTGGGTGGGATTTTGTCAATTGGTCGAGCAGATCGCCGCCGATATACCCAGAGGCTCCGGTACTATAGCGAAAGCATGAAGTTAGCGTACCCCTAAGTTCGGTGGAAATAGCAAAACAGACAGGAATATTGTTGACATGCTGAATTCTGAGGGAGCAATGCTTGGAACTGAGGTGAAACTGCAGTCCGGGAACTTGATCACTACCTCTCACAAAACAGCATCGATTTATATACGCCATGATAAATTAACCACCCTGCATCAATGGTTATGATTACTGTATATTCTAGAAAGTTCATCACCCGAGTCAGATCATTTATAAGCATGGGCGGTTTTCTCTAGCCCCATTTATCGTTTGGTATTTACATAACGGAGCTGTGACATAATATCGAAGGTGAACCAAGGGTTCTGTGGCCGCCAAGAGCATTTGTCAGGAACGTAGGTTCCGACTATTAAATATCTCAATACAGGTATTGAGAACTATAGATGTTATGTTGGGATGAGCATCGTCTCTTTCCCCCCTCTGTGTTACATTTGACATATAATTCAAGAAATAAAGTGGAAAAGTTAAAGCATCGAAAGATGGCAGTATAACCATTACGAAAAAGGATTCCAATCCGTTTATGTGATCCCAAAGGATTTTTCATAAGCTTGATCGGAATTAGGAAACTCGTCCAGCAATATTGAGTATAGAAAGATTGAGGACATGTTAGTCCTTTTTGTTACGAAGTATTATTTTCGATCAAAATCACACTCGATTATTTACTGAACCTCGCGTAGCAATTTAGTGTGTCTGTTCTCGCCAACCGAAAATTCCTTGATCAACTATCAAACTATACTTAGACGTGATTTAGTTGTTTCTTTCGAGTACAGTTGACAAAAAGCCAGGAGTTGAAATGAGAAGACATTCGAGAAAAAGCTAAACAGTACTTACTCCAGAAATCAATCGCAGTTGAGTTGAAAACATAGATGAGCCAGAAGAATACTGGGAAAATAACGGCCGCGCAACACATTACTTGGAGATTATAAGCAGCGAAAACGGATGATACTGGTTGCGCTACCTCGCCGAATATGGTCCAAATAACAACGAGTCGATAGATGCTAAAAGCTGACGCTGCTATCGGGAGCCCAACAAGAAGTGTATGCACAAGGTCACGAATACGAAACTCGCCCCAAAATTCGTATTCGACGGGAATCCGATAATGAAGTAAAGTGTGAATTGCTGTGAGTAGGGTTACCCAGGCCCAGGCATATGCAAAGCCAACAAACTGATGCCTTAACATCAATGTAGGTTATTAATGATGCCCTATCTGCTCAACAGAGAGGGGGTTACGTACCAGGGACAAGGCGGGCGAACCACCAGCATAATGGTTAAGCAAATAGTCTCACCAAGCACCATGAGGACTCCAAATGGTGTTAGAATTCTGAGTATGCTCTTCATGCGTGATTGCCCCAGTGTCTGTTGTGTTGCTCGATTCGTGCGCCCCGCGCCCCAGAACTTGGCGTTTAGGCTGTATTGCGGCCCAAATGAAACAACCTCATGGGCCGCAAGACTCCTTGGGTGGCTCTGCTGACGTATGATATTTCGGTGAACTTCCTAGACTCCATGTGAATGTGATATTCATGCAGGGGTTCTCCTATGGGGTCGACTGTACCTCGGTTTCTGATAACTCGCGTTTTCGTCTCCAAGCTCTTTCGTGTGCCTCGAACCTTTGGGCCAAAAGGAACAAGTCCTCATCCCCGATTTGGGAAGTTAATCGAGTAAGCTCAATGGCCTGGAGAGGTGTGTCCTTCGTCCGAGACACGACTGGTTCGTATCGATTCGGCAGCCGGAGATTTTGAGGTAGTAAATACACCCAGAAGAGTACGGCAGTGAAATGCGTAACCACGGCTATCAGTGTGCACGATAATAGTCTAACGGAAAGATCTGAAAAGGGGTTCACCTGCGCATTTCGCTGGAATAAGTTGTAGAAATGCCAGATAAGCCAGACTAAGCACACATTGACCACGTCAATGGATAGAAGACCGAAACAGCGCACGTACACATGGTTCCTGCGGTGCCAGACGACGAAGAAGTTGAAGAAGTCAATAAAATTCAAAATCAACGCCGTTACAAGAAGCGCAAGTAGGACATGCGCCTGGCTGGCGGCTGCTTCATTGCGGAAATCTTGATGGTGCCGAAAGTAGGTAATTGATGGGGCGAGTGAACTGAGCCGCAAGCCAAATATGAAACACTGGAGAACTTGTAGAGAATGACGGATCAAGATCCGAGAGTCTCTGCTGTATTTCATGGCGAGGTGTTGTGTTTGCAGGAGGATAGGCCTAAAAGGGGAGATCAGTTTTCTATGTGATGAATGAGGATCAATATGAACTGTCGCGGCTGAAAGTCACATTTGTGCCGTCCACTACTTTTCGTTTGTGGTGAGGTGAGCAGCGAAAAAAATCAAAGGGTTGCATTTCAATCCACACAAATCGACAAGTGATATACCAACTAAAACCTGACCAGATAGTGGTTATGTTTGGTACCTACTAGGTACCTGATGACACAGCCCAAGTGATCCATCAGTTTATTGTTCCAGCTGAAAGCACTAGAACGAGCATGTGCATAATCTGACTAATAGGTTGCATCAATGTCTTGGCTGCTTGTTTTTTATTTCAGCCTTTCCATCGATCATTTAGCATTGTGCAGGGCGATTCTGAATGGCCCTTTTCTGCAGCCATCAGTGATCATACAGAGGTCATGGATCCCCTTTGCCAACGGTGCCAGGCCTTTGATATCCAGGCGTTTGCGAAGGACCAGTATGAGTATCGCGGATACAAGCTCAAGGACCTGCTTGAATCAGCCACTCAAGGTTGTTCCTTCTGTTCGATGCTCGTAGAGAACCTGGAGTTGGTAGTTCAGGGGAAGGACCAACGTTTGCTTCGAGGTAGTAAACGTGGGTTGCTTGAGAACAGCCAAAGTCAGGCGGCTAAGTGGTTTTCCAAGGACCAACTCGCCCTTCTCTTCATGAAATTGTACAGTACGGTCAATACCACCTGGGTTCATTTCACTGCCGGCCGCGCAAGTTCCCATGATGTATCTAGACTCGAAATTTCCTTTTTGCGAGTCTTCATCTCACTCCCGTCACTCGAAACCCTGAAAGGGGACGCCTTCACCTATAATATTTTCCTCCACACTGCTGCTGACCCAGGTAAGTCTGCGTAGTCAAAATGCTAATGTCAGACTTCTGATGCATTTCCCTCAGGAACGAAAGCCTACGATTCAGGGGATATTACTGGCAGTCTCTACGTCGAGTTGCACCACTCAGTATCGACGCATCTCAGCACCATTAAGTCATGGCAAAAACAATGCATTGAAGGCCATGAAGAATGCGTTAAAACCATGTCGAAAACAAACTCCATCAACCCTGAAAATGTTCCCCTTCCGTCTCGTTGCCTCGAGGTTGTGACCAACGATCTCCAACAGCACCCAGATGCACCGCCTTATACCTTTGTTTTGCGAGAAACCTCGGGTTCGGGGAAGTATATTACGCTGAGCCATCGTTGGACGGAAGAAACCGAAAAGTACAAGACCCTAACTAAAAACCTAAACTGTCGTATGGGTCTGTGCGATGTGGCTTGCCAGCAATGCCAGGGCAGTCCCATGGAGTTGATGCCTCTTTTCAGAGATGCCGGTCAGCTCAGTGCCGGACTTGGGATAAAGTATTTATGGATTGATACACTTTGCATTGTCCAGGATGATAACCTAGACTGGGAGAAAGAGTCCGGAAAAATGGCAGATTACTATCAGAATTCGTGGCTCACAATCTCAGCGACCTCTCTGTCCGTGGATGGTGGGCTTTTCGGGGATGTCCCCAGCGAAAGTATGCCGCGGATAACGCGGCTACCGTACAGAGATAAAGAGAGAGTACAGCATGGTCACTTTTATGTCCAGTGTATGGAAGCCGAGGCTCTTTCCATGGACTATAAAACGAACATTAGTCAGAGCTCGCTCCTGAGTCGTGGTTGGGTGTGCCAGGAATGGCTGCTCAGTCGTCGGATATTGTCCTTTTCAAAAGCAGGGCTCTTTGTTCAGTGCCAGATAGAGCCTCCCAGAAGCCTTCTTGGTGACGAGGTGAATGACACAGCACACTATGGTTCTACTGGCATTTCTTCTAAAAGAATACAGGGAATTGATACTTTGAGCCTATTCACAATCCTAGAGTCATGGTTTGCGGTTGTGGAGGTCTTTTCAGGATTGGAGCTCAAAAATCTGGAAGAGGATCGACTTATTGCTTTGGCAGGAGTGGCCAAGGAATTTGGCCTTGCTATTGAACGAGAACAAGGGGAGGAAGGGGAGCCAGGAAATGGCTTAGAAGCGACTAAACATCGATATGTCTCTGGGCTCTGGTTTGGTCAGTGGAGGTGTCTATTGTGGGAGCAAGTCTCTACCGGCGAACGTGTGAGAATTGGTGGTATACCAAGTTGGTCATGGGCTTCGATGGCGGTTAGGAAGACAAGCAACCAAGAAAGCAATGCCATGACTGGGATGCCCGTGCAGTGGACCACACTACCGCAAGATGACGAGTTGCCGACATGTGTTTGCAGCTTTGCAGGGGCGCGCACTGTCCCAACTATTGATGCCCTTGAAGGCAACTATAGAACATTCAAACCTATGTATGAGCACGCCAGCGTCATGCCCCCTGAGAACGAATACCACGCAAGGCATCGGTTTACAATGCTCCAGATGAAAGGAAGACTCTTAACTACCCATATTGACCAGAGATTCAATGAGTTTGAGAATGCCAATATTGCGGCCGAGTTAACGGAACATTCTCCTGATCTTGGACGTCACATGTGGCGGAGGGTTACGATACCGACTGAGCTTAGTGTTATATCGGGCTGGGCATCCCTCGAGCATCCAGAGTATCAGACCGATATTTCTGCGACTAATTCGACACTCGAAGCTTTTGTAGTTACCCGAAGCGATGGCAATGTCTTGGGGCTTCCGCCATCATTTCGTGTTATTTTCCTGCGGCGTGTCGAAATACCAGGTTTTGATAGTTGCTTTGAACGTGTTGGGACGGGTGGATTATTTGACGCAGGTGTTGATAAGCTTTTTCGAGAAGCCAACGAAGAGATGGTCTGGTTGGTATAGCTATACTTGAGTTTATTCTTGGGTCATGAATTGTAAGCAGCCCATGTTTATAAGTGAACTTGGATCTATAATGATGAGTACGTTGGGTTGGGTCCCGGATGTGCTCATCACTGAGAACTTTCTTTGACCCACGTCAGTGATTTTTAAGACGCAATTAGCATTGACAAGACTTTATACAAGACCTTCAAGATTGAATAGGCGATGACCGCTAGATGGAAACACTGCGCGAAAGCAATGGTCTGAAAGTGACTGTTCACTTCTACGACAGGGAATCCGTCATTGTAGCACCGAAGCAGTGAACGGGTAAGAAAGCTCTGTGGGCCAAGTATCTCTTGACAGAGCCGGCAACCGGGGCGTAGACCCGTCATGCATGTGCTAGTGGTTAGTTGTAGATGGGAGGGATTATAAAATTCCGTAAAATAGTGTCACTTGGGAAGCTGACTTGCCGTATTGCGGTAGTCCAGTCGCATGATATATTTTGAGGGGAAATTTGCTTCTTGTCGCTAACGGGGTTTGATATTTCCGATTAGAGAATCCGGCAAGTTTCCCGAGTACCGTCCGAAGCCGCTTGGATTATAGCAAGATCTGGGTTTCTTTTCCTCTAGTAAGTCGTCTTTGGGGCTGAACTAAGTAATGGAGACGAGTTGTTGGACGACATACAGTGATCATATCCCAAAGGCCCGCATTAGTGAAGTTGATATGAATTTTTATTACTAACGTTAAACTTGGTCACGAGGACATAAGAATAGCTTATTAGTATGAGTACTCAACCTGTCCATATTGTGTATCTAGCTCATACTGACCTCCCCGTGGCTGCTCTATCTCAGACCAAAGGTTTCAGCAACAAGCATTGTGCACCAGGCTGATTCAGTGATGTGGCCTCATTTAATTAATTTCAATTAAAATACTGCTCACCTACTTGCTGCCTTAGTTCTCTTGCTGAGAAACGGTAGTCTATCATGTCCAACGTGATTCTGGCTAAATTTCAATCGACGGGATATCCTGTATTTCGGAGTCTACAAGTCCGCTGCCGAGAGAAGGCTAGCCCAACAGAGTTCATTATAATCAAGAGATGTTATTGGAGACCAACGGGTCCCCGGCATTCTTTCTCCGATAATGAGCACAAATTGAAACAAGACCCGGCGTAGGGCGTTCCATAGTCACGTTTCGGGATGAAAGGTGGGTTTATATCCTTGCAAGTACAACCCTGGTATGAATGGATCACACTCGACCGACAGAGAGGCATGCCACAAATGACCTAATTCCAAGAAGGCAATAAGAGAGTTGCTGGGATCTCTTTCTAGATAAATACCAGTGATCTCCGACCAAGCTGGAAAAGATCAGCAAAATCTGAAGCTGGAGTTTCACATTGTCTCGTGGAAGCTTATCAAAGTATCCTCTCGAGGTTCACAATGAAGTCTCTCTCTCTGCTTGTTACCCTTGCAAGCACTGCCCTTGCCCAGAGCGTTGCTCCAGGATATGGGCAATGCGGGGGACAAGGATGGACTGGCCCTACGACGTGTGAGTCTGGTTGGACTTGCACGTACAGCAACCAGTGGTACAGCCAGTGCCTCCCCGGCGGCGCTGCCAGCAGTACTACCACCAAGACCACCCTTGCGACTTCCACCGCCACTTCCACAAGTAGCAAGACATCCGCCACCGGTAGTCAGCCGACTGGCTTCAAATGGTTCGGTGTTGGTGAAAGTGTCGCAGAGTTTGGTCAGGGGAACTACCCCGGCACCTGGGGCGTTCACTTTAGGTTCCCTGAGCTGTCTACCATTGATGTGAGTTAGAGCCCTGCCTTGCCATGGCTGCTGTTGAATGAAAGTTTGGAGAGGATATTGATCGATCTGTCAACAGACCCTCATTGGCGAAGGCATGAACATTTTCCGCGTCGGCTTCTCAATGGAGCGCCTCGCGGTCAACTCCATGACTGAAACTTTCGCCGCGGCCTACTTGGCTAACCTGACTGAAACCATCAACCATATCACATCCAAGGGTGCCTATGCAGTGCTGGACCCCCACAATTTTGGACGGTATAAAGGCAATGTCATCACTGACGTGACAGGTTTCGGCACGTTTTGGAAGAACTTGGCTACTCCGTTTAAGAGCAACTCTCTTGTCATCTTTGACACCAACAATGAGTATCATGATATGGACCAAACACTCGTGCTTAACCTCAACCAAGCCGCTATCAATGCCATTCGAGGGGTCGGGGCAACCAGTCAGTATATTTTCGTCGAAGGCAACGCCTGGTCTGGTGCTTGGAGTTGGACCAGCACCAATGACAACCTGAAGGCCCTCACAGATCCACAGAACAAACTGGTCTATGAGATGCACCAGTATCTAGATAGCGACAAGTCCGGTACGCACCCTGAATGCGTCAGCACCACCATCGGGGTTGAGAGTGTCAAGGATGCCACCACGTGGCTGCGCAACAACGGCAAGATTGGTGTTTTGGGAGAGTTTGCCGGAGCTAGCAATAGTGTCTGCAAAGAGGCTGTTACCGGACTTTTGAAGCACCTCAGTGAGAATAGTGACGTTTGGTCAGGTGCCCTCTGGTGGGCTGCTGGACCCTGGTGGGCAGACTACATGTTCAGTTATGAACCACCCTCTGGTGCTGCCTATACATACTATGGCTCGCTTCTCCGACAGTATTCTTAGTATATTAGCTTATTAAATCGGTCTCTCACACAATTAGCTTTTTGTTAAAATGAGACAGAGAAATGAAAATATTGAATGGTCTTTCTAACTACTTTGAAGATGCAAGACACACTAACTGATAAGTTCTACTTCCAACACCTAGAAACTACGAACAATATTCGAGGAAGAAATCCAGTGAACTCAACCTTGGTTTCTTTTATTGTAGAATAGAAGAACTCCCTCCTCCGATGCGCTGCTTAGGAATAATTGGGAAGCCTCGCCTGACTTGGAATTTGGCCGTCCGTTGAATGCACAATTGGCCATGACAGACAGAAGAATGAAACTGGGGTGATGCAAAGCCTGTCAGGATTAAAATCTTACGTGCATAGGTAGTGATGATGAAGCCCCGCAACAGGGCGTATAACAAATTTACAGGTATTAGCTCACAATGTAGCTGTCTGGTTCAACTTCTTTGTGCGGGATTCTGGAAAACTGTAATTACAATGGCAGTTATAGATAATGAAAGAAAAATTATAATTGCCATTCCTTGGAGTTTGGGAATTGAACCCTACCATTTCATGTAGAAGAGGCAGCCGGACTATTTCAACATCGGATTTCCCGGCGAGTCAAATTGGCTTGAAAATAAGTGCCAAAATGGGAAGTTTCCTCGCACATTCGCCCTGAATTCGCTTGTGCTTACTTGTATGACTGCATGATAGACTAGATCTCGGAACAAAAGTCCCTAAGCCCCCGCCTCTGATAGTAAACATTCTGTCCACCTCTTATAGACTTACGGCGTACATAGTGTAAACTTGCACATTGAAACCTCAAAAGCTTCAAGATTACCACCGGCACAATGAGCTCCGATTCATATGATTTTATTATCGTGGGAGGCGGCCTCTCCGGATGTGTCCTCGCCAATCGACTACGAGAGTACAAGAAAACGTCAAAGATCGTCTTGCTTGAAGCTGGCAAAGATACCCGCGAGCGTTCAGATGTCAGGCACCCCCAGCTTCTCAATCTTGGGGGCGACCTGGATTGGTCCTACGAAACTGAGCCAGTCCCGAACACCGCGAATCGCACTTTCACACTGAATTCGGGCAAAGGTCTAGGCGGCGGCACAGCAGTCAATTCAAGTAAGCGCAGCCTTGTGAGATCTTAGGGAACCTAAGCAAAGAAAATTTCCCCGTGAGACAAGGCGAAGAGTACTAATTTTCTAAGGCGGCTGGACTCGCGGATCTACGAATGACTTCGACGAGTGGGCGGCTCTGGTCAAGGATGAACGCTATAGTTATGCCGGGCAGCTGCCGTGGTTCAAGAAGTGCGAGCGCTGGTTTGATGAGAAGAACCCCGACCAGCACGGACTAGATGGACGCATAACGGTTGGCTCTTCTGGGTCAAACAAGCGCGTATTCCCCTTGACCGAAAAGATTGCAGAAGCCTGGGATGCACTTGGAGTTCCTGTTCTCCCGGAACTTGATCAAAATGCAGGAGACAACCTAGGACGGGCTTACATTTGCGAGTCAAGACTGGATGGTCAGCGACAATGGTCTCCGGTAGTCTACCCCCTTGACGGTGTTGAAGTTCGGCTTGAAGCTTTGGTCCAAAGAGTCGTGATGGAAAACAGCAACGGACAACCTCGTGCTACCGGTGTCGAATTAACTGACGGCAGCATCTTGTCAGGTAAAGAAGTCATTCTGTGCGCCGGAGCTTTGAGGTCTCCTCAGCTGCTCCAGCTCTCCGGTATTGGCTCGCCTACAAACCTCAAACAGGTCGGAATCGATCCAGTGATTAACCTCCCAGAAGTTGGCAAGGGGCTAACTGACCACTTGAACTTCTGGCAGCACTGGCGGCTTCGGGACCCCTCCGCGGGTTATACCCTTGGCTCTTCAAACCCCTTGTTTTCTGAGCCCCAGTATACCAAGGGAACTCCTATGGAATGGGTCGTGACTCACTCCCTACCAAAAGAAGATCTTGCTATTGCCATTGAAAAAGACGAGGGTGTCAAGCCAGATCCCTTCAAGCACCCGCTTCTCTCCAGGGCCCGTACTTTCAACGAGACCTTGCTCCTCCACGCAAAGGTCCCACTACCTGGCATTCCCATGGATGCTGAGCACATGACTACAGCTGTCATCAACTTCTTGCCCACTTCTAGGGGTACAGTCTCCTTAAAGTCGGCGAATATTGAAGATCCGCCGAAGAGTAAGTGCCCCCGCGTGGCCATAAGATTGGGGTTCAAAATTTAACAGGAATGCACACAGTCAACATGAATTATCTTTCCACTGAGGTAGACAGATATCAAATGCGCGAGGGTATTCGAAAAATTGCCTCGTTGATGCTCGGCCCTATCTTCAGCCAATACATTGCGGGCGAGACAGTGCCCGATGCGTTGGCGGTCGAGCCTGTTACGCTCAATGATAGTGACGAGAAACTGGATAAGAGGGTGGCTCTAGCTGCTTCGACGACCTGGCACTATTCTGGAACTTGCTCCATGGGCAAGGTTGTGGGTACTGACTTTAAAGTGTATGGTGTAGAGGGTTTGAGAGTTGTTGATGCTTCGGTAATCCCCGTGCCACTGAGTGCTCATATCCAAGCACCGCTTTATGGGCTCACGGAGCAGGCAGCGGTAATCATTGCCGGTAAGGCACAAGATTAAGTGACCAATGAGATGGAAAAGTGTGCTTCGAGTTGTCAAATGGGTCAATGCTATCATTTATCCATTCACATATGCCTACGAGCAATAAATGTCAGGCCTTTGAATCTCTCTACTAACTATCAACATCGTAATTGGTAGAAAACCCCTGCTTCAACAAGAAAGTAAACCCCAATGCAATTTAAGTTATTTAAAGGTAAATTGTTTGCTTACCAACAACCAACTGAGACTGGCGAGGAATCTGCGGAACCGACGGCTCGACTTCGACAGGCTGTCAATAATACGAAGTAATTTTTAATTTGGATTTTGAACTATCTTTATACGGATAGGAGGAGGATGTCGTGTAGAGTTTGATCTCGTTTAGGCTCCTATGTAGCGCGTTCCACTCCCACCGCCCTATATTGGTCTGGTATATCAGTACGATATACTTCTTTTAGTTATTATCCATAAGCCGAAGTCGTGCATAGACTACCTCCTCGGTAAGACTTATTTTGGAACGAGCGCGAGTTATTAGTCGGCTTTGCTGCTGCGCTTTGCATGCGCCTTCGCACGTGTCAAGCCAACTCCTGCAGCAAACGCGAGGCGAGTCGCTCCAACAAATCCCGTAATGAGGATTGCGGCCCAGTCTGAAGGCCGCCATGTCGCCCAGTCCAGTCGGTTCTGCACGCTGAGCGAGCGCCAGTATGAATACATCAAGACTGCATCCCACCCAACCAGGAGGGCAATATTCAGAAGCCGCCAGATGCGAAGATCCTCAGTATTGGTTAGGAGGAGTCCCTGTATGGCGCCAACGGAGATATATGCTGCGCCGAGCTCGTTGGTCAGGATATTTTGTAGGGGGTCAAGAGTCGTGAGGGTTCGAGGGACGAAGTTGTGGACGAAATCCGCGGGATTGGTGAGTAGCTGCAGACCGCCGCCGATGGCGGACAGCGGTTCCCATCCTAGGAAAACAATGTGGTAGAGGAGGGGGATGTTCTTCGGTATCATGATGTCGAGAAACTGGTTACCGGTGACAAACAAGGTAGGGTAGTTGTTTCGAGTGCTAAAATTTAGTTTATGAACTCCGGACCGTGAACCCCAGGCTTCTTATGAATTTATAGGCACGGAGGAAGCGGTAGAGGATGCTTAAAGCCGGACGGATGTCCCCGTCTATTTGTTTGTGTAGCCCTGTCTTTTGCTTGCGTCATGACAACAGAAGTAAGCACTAGCTAGGTCGAGTTGATTACTGTGTGCTGTTGGCAATGGTAGGAAGTTAAACCCTGTCCTTCTTCGGTAATTGACAATAACTCCTGAATAGGAGTGCCGGCGGCTGGGCGACATTCGTTAGGAATCCTTTGGTCACTGGTATATCACGAAGGAAACACAGATGGAAAGAGAAGAAGGTGTCATTGTTATTTATGACCAGATAATTAGAGGTAATAAGAACAAGCCCAGATTGTACGCCAGTTTAGTCAACTGCTCTTCTAATGTACGCATAACCAGGAACCTAAGATACTTTAATCCACTTTTCCATTCCTAAAGTCTCCGCTGGCCACGCCATTGCTCTGATGGTTTGTCCCGCATATTGAATCAAGCAGCGACTGTCACTTCAAAGACCTAAGCTCTATCCAAGTGAGTGACAACTACCCTGGACCTAGTCTTCGAGGATCATTGGGGATGAGAATGCACTTACAGACGGAGGTTCCGATATGTATAGGCGGCATAATAACGTTTGATTGATCAATATGCCGCTCACAAGGCAGAGCCAGCGCGCGGTCAAGACATGCACAGAATGCGCGCGTCGGAAGATTCGCTGCTCGAAAACAGTTCCATGTACAGCTTGTGTTCGCAAGCGCATGGAACAGCACTGCCATCGCGAACCTGTCCGTGTCGTAACTAAGCATATGGCCGTGGTGGAATCGGCGTCTGTTGATGATCAAGCTACTGAGACATTCAGCGGCAGACCTGGGTGTGAGGACGCTGAGAGACCCAACAGTAGGAGAACTGGAGTTAATGTCGTTTACAATTCAATTGGCACTACACAATCTACACTCGCCTGCTCCGATAGCGTTGCCACTCTACATGGTTCTCGGCAGCCAGATGAGAAGAGTATGAGTGTGGCTGCTGTGCCCAGTTCAAGGCTCACGAATGACAAAGCAGCCAGCCTCGAATTTCTTGCTTATGGTCGCCAAGGTACACTGAATCACTTAGGTGGCCTAGAAGGCTCTTCATCGTATTCCGGATCACGAGGCCAGGACATTCAGGAGATCATCGGAGCAAGATATCACCCACTTGTGGAATGGGACCCAATATATCCAATTGAAGAAGCTCGTGCACTGCTTATTATCCATAGGAAACATATTGCCTGGATGCATAATGTGGTTCACATGCCTAGCTTCATCGAGCAATTCGATATCAATGCTGCTTCGGGCCTTTGTGAGCAGCCGTGGCTCGCTCTCTACTATGCGATTCTGACAGCGAGTGCCCGTGTCTCCTTACCCTGAAATTTGGTCATCTTGTCTAACCATAGATAACAGTCAACTCTTTACCATATTCCGGCATCCTCCATGAAAACCCTAGGTCTTAGTATTGTCAGTAGGTGGCCCAGTTATCAGTATTTCTCTTTTCTCACATGGCCGCTGAATCCAACTGTTGAAAGCTCATGTAAACACGGTTCAAGAACTGTACGACAAGAGCATCGATTATCTTTACCGCTCGAACTTCATATCTAAGCATAGCCTCAGCTCTGTTCAGGCCATCTGCGTGCTTCTTCAGGTAGCGCATCATTACGATCAGTCGGATACAATCTGCGTCCTTGTGGCTGCCGCCATCCGCATTGCACAATGTTTGAACATAAACCGACTAGGCCCTGATCCCAACATGAATGCGCCTTCCACTGCCGGCACGTCTAGTGTTGTTTCGTCTCTTATTGAACGAGAGGTGAAGAAGCGGATTTGGTGGTTCCTGGTTCGCCAAGACTGGCTCCAAATACCATTTCAGAATACATGTTTGATTCATCTCACTCAGTTTAACACTCCGATGCCAGTCAACTGTTTTGAGAATGCAGATGAGATGATCAGCGACGGCAGTGTAGTTGCTCAACCAGAAAACGTCTTCACACAGACTAGCTTTACACATGTTCTCAACCAAGGTGTGTGTTAGCTCTTAATTGAAAAGAAAAATCCTGATTGTTATCTAGTTGCCGTAATCATTTGGAAGCACCAAGATCGCTTGTGTCAAGTTGGGTTTCCGGGAGACCTCGAGGACGGTCTGATGAAACTCTACGACCAGACTACCTGGGCAGATGAGGAGCTGAAAAAGATATACTCCGGCTGCGCTTCATACCTTCAGTACTCTTCTTCTCTTTCGGGACAACAAGCGCATGAAAATGCGCCTACAAGCCCTTTGAGGCATCTAGCCTGCGTCGCTCTTCTCTCCGCGGCACATAAGGTAATAGATAAACACCAGGCCGAATGCCATGAGGGTCCTAACTCATTCGTGCTAGATATTCACGGTGCACCGCCACTTTCAGCTACGTAGCTTTCGCGACACTCGTTTTGCGTATACTCAAGTAAGGTTTTCTGCCATCCGTCTCTGATATGCCGCGTACAGGACGAATGCACTAATATTGGGTGGGATTCCATAGTTATCTTGCGTGTCATTGGCAGAGAGAAGCATTCGAATGGTTGAACAATGGGAAAACACCCTTGACTTCGAAATCGTAAAGAGAATGTGGACCACTCCGACACAGACAATCACTTGCTGCATTACGATTTTATTTGCCTTAATGTTTCGCTTCAAGCACCCCCTCACGTACGACTACCAAAAATTGCGAGAATATGTCAATATTGGTCGTGCGTTTATCAGAGAGCTGGAGCCACGGAGTTCGATCGCCCGCAGGGGTGCGAGGCTTTTGGATGCCTTGATCGGGATCGATCACACTTCTACTGACTCTGAAGATATTGAGCTGGAGATTGGAGATGTAATACGCCGCGTTGCGATCGCAGAAAACTCCGCTGAAACTGGCGATCAAATTTCTGCTGGAACTAACGAGCAAGGAGATGAACTTGATATTCTGGAACTATGGGACGAATTCATTGGAGAAACTGACTTGAGAATATTTGAAGGCGTGTACTAGCAAGGATATCTACTCAGCCTTCCATCAAGTTGGTATGAGACATGCCTCTTAGTAAATTTGGAAAACCATTTGCCATAAGGTGGAGGTCAGAGATCTACTGTAAATGACATAACGCTGGCCAGAGCTTATGATAAACGGAAAGAGTGAGGTAATGAATTGGCCCATGATGTTAGGTATCTGAAGGATGGGATTACTACTCCAATGTAAAAATGATAAAGAAACCGAGGCTTTTTATTACAATCTAGAAGCCAGTCTCTAGCAAACGCACTGGATATAAAGATAACCCTGAAATTGCCAGGCAGAGCTGCGTAGGGCTAAGCCTCGCTTGTTTGTGCCGGAGAGCTGGCGCCTAATCCTGTGAGACGGAGATCTGACCCGTTCCGCGGCCTTGGCCTGATCCGCGGAGCACGAGCCATCCGATTCACAGCCACTTGCCGTCTTTCTATGCGGATTTAATATATCCGGCAAAATTGGGAGTATAAAATAACTTCTCAGTTCCTCTCGAATATGTAATTATTAGTATCAAGGACTCAGCAGCCAACTCACCCTCTAAATCCAACATAAGCATTTACTTCGTTCTCTAATTCCTCGTTTCTGCAACTATGGTGAAGCTTCGGACAAGCACTGTGGCGCCTGACAAGGCAAAGCTTACAGAAGACAATCTCCCTGATCAGACAGGAAAGGTAACTTAGAGCTCACAAATTTTCCTTATTCTATCACGCAGACTGAAACGAGATCTAACTCTACTACAGGTCTTCATCGTTACCGGCGCCTCCAGCGGTGTTGGTAAAGAACTCACGAGAATTTTATACCAGCACAATGCCAAGGTATGGCTCGCAGCAAGGTCTGAGTCTCGGACTATGGAGGCTATAGAGGACATCAAGAGCTCCCATCCTAGCTCTAGAGGCCAACTGGCATTCCTTAGCCTTCAACTAGACGACCTGTCGACGATTAAAGCTTCCGCAGAGGAGTTCCTCTCTAAGGAGTCCCGTCTCGACGTTTTATGGAACAACGCGGGCGTCATGCATCCACCAGAGGGCTCAGAAACTGTTCAAGGCTATGAGCTCCAGCTTGGTACTAATGTTCTTGGCCACTTTCTCTTCGTCCGATTCCTGACCCCAATTCTACGACAAACAGCCGAAACGGCGCCTCGTCACACGGTCCGAGTGGTTTGGGTTTCTTCCATGGCTGCTGATTTTGCCCCTTGCCCAGCGATTGATTTTAACAACATGGATTACCACAAAGATGAAAGTATTTCTCAAAAGTATGGCCGATCCAAGGCAGGAAACTTGCTCCACGCAGCCGAGTTCGCCCGGCTTCAGCAGAGTGCAGGTATTGTTAGCACGGTGAGTGACTCAAAATGAACTTCTATGAGTTCTACTATGTGTACTGACTGGATCTCTGACACAGTCTTTGAACCCGGGACTGCTCCAGACGAATTTGCAGCGGAACTTCTCCGCCACGCAGGCGGCCTTTGTTGTAAGTACAACACTCGGATACAACGCGCTCCAAACAATTACCTAATTTCTCATCATGTGAATAGAAAATGGCGGGAAGCCCTGCCAAGTACGGAGCTTACACCGAATTGTTTGCTGGACTTGACTCTTCCATAACACCCGAGGATCTATGGAGTAGGTACTCCATCGTTTTATCCGCCTGGAAATCATGCTAATAAATCTCAGTCACACCATTTGGAAGGAAGGCAGAGCCACGTCGAGATCTCGTGGACCCTGAACTTGGTCGCAAATACTGGGAGTGGAGCGAGGTTCAAGTACGGCCCTTTTTGTAAAGCTTTAATTGATCGGGATGCAAGTTTGTCAGCTTAGATGAATGGGGATTTATTTCGCATGTTAGATAATATGACCTTTGCTTCAAGCCCAAGTTTATAAAATCCTCTCAGCTTTTCTGATATCCCCTTCATCCACAAATTCTTGCTCACCTGTTTCAAGCACTTCGAAGACAGGCATTTCAGCCAGGCCAGAAGCAACGTGATGGACCGTAGGCAGCCTCTCCCAATCCAAGGAGATAAACTCGATCATAGAGTCGCCCCTCGATGTAGTCGAAATGTTCCCTGTGAGCTTTGCTGTTCTGTCCAAGGCAAATACCGCATAAGATGTGCCTGCCTCTTCCAACTCTCCCACCAGGGGCATGTTTTGAAAATAGAATAGCTTATCCTTCAAGACAGATGTACCATGACCTAATGCATCAGCTTCGATCGGCTCAGGTGACTGCAGGAAGGGGATACCCCGTAAAGTAAGACGTAAGAAGATATGTCCGCCTTGGCTGCATCGAACTTGGACGAGCCCATCTTCTCCTCGTGCGATCTCAATATCAGCATATAATCGAGGAAAGCCTGGGGCACTGCTAGCTGCAGCTGAGCTACTGGTGGAAGACGCCAAGAGAGCCACCAAGAGCGAGCCACCAGATTTGCTACCATCTTTTCGCGTGAACTGAACACCGTGCAGCCAGAGTCCCACGCTCCTGTCCAATACCTTCCCATCGTCGCTGAGTTCCTCTGTGACCTCGTAGCTGACCTGAGCGACAGTTCCAGGGGCCACAAAGTTGAAGGAAGTTGGGGGGAATAGTGTCTTTATGAATGTGACGGAGGTCTTGAAACGTATGATATACCTTTTTACTCTCAAGGTCTTGGTGATTACCGGTGCCAGAGGAGTAGGCCCAAAGGAAAAGCTGAAAGGGCCCCAGACGCTGGGTTCATTGTTGCGTTTCCAGAGGTGTTCCTTGAGAATCCGCGTTGAGTTATGCCACTCGTTGTGCCCAAAGTTGTAGGCTATAGAATTAGTCCCTACCAAGATCGACGGTTAGCAGCCGAAGAGAAATTTAATGGAGGGCAATAACGAACAATCGTAAGCTTTCCTTTCTTCCTCGCTCAAGTCTCGTCCAGACATTCGAGTGGCTTGCTGCACTTTGTGAGCTCTCTCGTCGCGGATCTTTTGATACAAAGCAAGGCGATCTAGGAGATCCTCAGGTGTAGTCTCCCGGGGCAGTAGACAAACTAGAGATACGGCGTCTTCGACGGCAATGCATGCTATACATACTCAGTTCGTATTTCGAGAAAAGCAAGTATTGAATGAATGACTACCTCCTTGCCCTTGGACTGCATCTCAACTCGTCAGCAAGTCACTTTCTGTATCATGGCCAATAACCCACTCACAGGGCTGGAAAGGATGGGCAGAATCGCCCATGAGAACTAGTCGCTCATTATACCAACGTGGGATGCGTTCCATATCTAAGATTGACCACACTCTCAGGGTAGTACTGTCAGCTAATTTCAGCAGTTCCTGGATCTTGGAACCGAAGGTTCCAAAGATTTCTAGCAGCTTTTCCTTAGTTGCCTCCTGGTCCCAACCTATGCAAACATTAGGGACAAGTTGGCCAATGCTATTATGATCGAAGCTTTTGCAGCCTCACCTTCTCCTTTTGCTGGGGACATGTCGCTTGGATGTATACCAGCGAAGTTCATGATAGTATTGTTTTGGCAGGGATACATGATGAGTGTGCAACCATCATTTCGCCAGCTTCGCATACAACCGTCCTTCTCCACGAAATGTGCAATTTCAGGATTGTCTTGGATCTGTTTTCGGGGTATCATGAATCGGAACATGTTTTTACCATAAGGGAATGGCTTGATATCTGGCCCGACCACAAATTTGCGGGTAATAGACTGATCAGTAGATGTCATGACGAGTCAGTTAAAGTCAATAGAACCAGCCACTGCCGGTAGAGTATTCAGCCATGGAGAACATACGCTCACGCCATCAGTACCTATGATAAGGTCTCCGGTATGCTTCGAGCCGTCTGCCAGGAAAATTGTAGCGGTTGAAGGGTCCACATTGACCACTGGACTGGCTAACCGCAAAGTCACAGGCAAGCCAGTTCCAGCCGTTCCTGTTGCCTTCTCTTTCAACTTCTCGTGAATTGCAACCCGATGGCAGAGAACCCAGGGCTAGAGTAACCGGAGACGTCCAAGTATTAGTCTCTTCCACCTTGAACACGAGAAGTAATGAACACCTACATCTTCCCATATATCCATGGAGCTTCGAAGGTCCATCTCTCTTAGGACCTTGCCGTTCTCATCGTGCTGAATAATCTGTATTGAAAATTAATACCGGTAACCAGCCACGGATGGGTTTGATCTGTCGATCTGCTCTGAGCCACATACCGCTTCCATTCGATTGGCTCCCAAGTCTTCTGGGAAAATTCCCAACTTCTTCAGCAGACTGTGGCAGTTTGGGCCAACATGGATGGCAGCACCAAACTCCTTGGCAAGTTCGGACCTCTCGAAAACCTGCCTTCGTCAGTGCTAGAGACTGGATGACCGACTGAAAGTTTTGTACAGTGACTTGATGCCCTTGGTGTCGTAACCCTAGAGCGGCTGTGAGCCCGGCGATGCCTATAATCCATCTTTGTTGTTAGACCGCTTCTGAAACATGAAGTAAGTTGCGTGATTCGCACCTCCGCCAGCAACCAGTATCTTGAGAGGAGTCTTTTCCGCCATTCTTGATGACCTAATGGTTATGTGCAACGGGTTGATGAATCGTCTAATAACAAAGTTTGAGTAAGAGTTTGAGTATAATATAGGCGATTGAGCGGACCCAAGCTTCCATGAAGAATATTGATATGCCACACTCTGAATCGCATCGGCGGCATCCTTTTTAAAAGAAGAGTATGGAGCTCGGCATACAGTTCACTTGCCGTCTGGAAGTACAGACTACAGCAACCCACGACGCCAAGCTCGGAGGGCCGAGTTAACAGTTCGGTGTATTGCTCAGTCCCATACAAGCGAGACATACACAAAAACCCGAGTACAGAGTTAAACTGACCCCTACCAACCCATTTTTACACTACCCACAAGGCCGGATTTACGGAAGTACATGAAATTGCAACCATTGTTATATCTTACCTGATGATAGGCTGAGCAATTGAGAATGTCAACGCATTGGCCCATTGTCGGATATAATGATCAAACAAAGTGGGTTTGAATCACCAGACTGCAGTGCAAAACAACCTGCTCTACCTTTACTTCCCATGGATATAATTGCCGAATGTTGCCTCACTTGCCCCGTCGTGGCGACCAATTAGATCTATATGTGGTTCGATAATAATACCGCCTGAAGCGAAGGTAACGCACCCTAGGACGCATAAACGCAATGCAAAAAGCGATGTGAATCATGGCAATGGTTTCGTAATCCCAAGCCTTCAGTATGTCCTCGAAGTGAGGCATTAATCATGTTCAATACTCTGCATGAGTGTAAAGGAAGCCCTCGAATATGGGACCTTACTTTTTGCTAACCAAGAAGGGCTTTGAAATCATCCTTAGATTCAGATAGTCTCAGTAAGTAAATCTACTTAATACTGCGGCTTGGATTTTTGAAGCGACCTTCAGAGATCTATGAACATTGTGGTTCTATGAGGCTTGTTGGGGATTGGACACAATCGTTATATCTTACCGTGTTGTATACAATTTCTGTGATCTTCTATATATAATTGAGGTACATATCGGGAATTCCCGGTCTGGCATTCTACACCAAAAAAACCTCTCTATTACCATCCTTTAAATAAGCTAAGTCGCTTGCCTCGGGGGGCATCGTTGCTAAATTCCTAACTGTTTAGAATTGTAGCAGCCATATGCTATGCTCCATTCAACTGTGGTTTTTCAGCCTTTGAATGACCATTCGTCAGATGACCGTTCGTTTTGCTCGACGCCTCTGGCACCTTGGTTGCAAGAAGCTCATCAACCATCAGCTGGCAACAACCCAAGTACTTCGTAGTATCACACAGCTCGGCTATTTGGGCCGAATCTATGTGGCTCGTTACTTGGGTGTTCTTGTTCAGAACTTCCAGAAGCGAGCAGTTGTCGTCGACTGCTGCAACACACGCGCGATACACTACCTCATGAGCTTCCTGCCGCCCAATATGTTTCGCAAGGCCCATCATCACAGCTTCAGCCACGATCAGTCCTCGTGTAGAGTCGAGATTAGTGAGCATGGCATCGGTGTTGACTTGAAGCCCTGACAGAGCAAAGTCTGCTTGGTGCAATGCGCCGACTGCGGAGATGAAAGCCGTGGGAATAGCTGCCCACTCAAGGTGCCACGGCCCTGAGGCTCGCTCGAAATCGGCGATCATGCCGTCGAGAACAAGACCTGCCTGGGCGCGCAGGATCTTGGATTGTGCTAGGATGACTTCGCTGCTGATTGGATTTCGTTTTTGTGGCATCGTGGATGAAGCTCCTCGGTGTGGGACATATGGCTCGGCAACCTGTTATTGAGAGGAACATTCCCAAGCATTAGTTTCAATTCCTGTGTACTTCAGCGGGGATGAATAGTATTACCTCGTTGAGCTCGTTGGAAGACATGACAATGAGATCCATAGCAATCTTGCCAAGCGTGCCCCCAACCAACGCGAGAAAGTTGACAATCTCAGCAACCGAGTCTCGCGCGACGTGCCAGGTTACTACAGGGTCTCTCAGGCCGAGGATCTTGGCGAGAGTCTTCCGCACTCGAATTCCAACATCTGAGCTACCAAGAGATGCCAGAGTCCCTGCAGCACCACCGAATTGTACCATCAAACACCTCTCCTTGAGCTGCTCCAGGCGCTCTACGTGTCTGCGAAGGCCAGCAAGCCAGACTGCGCATTTATAACCGAAAGTGATAGGCAAGGCGTGTTGGAGATGGGTGCGACCTGCCATAGGACTGTCGCGGTATTTGGCAGCCATGTTCTCTAGTGTTGCTACCACGGATCGGAGGAGTCGTTCGACAATGACGAGGCCAGACTTGCATTGGAGTATCGAGGCAAGGTCCATGATGTCTTGGGTCGTCGCACCCCAGTGGATGTATCCAGCTGCTCAAGGCGACTTTAATTAGATATATTACATCTCCAGGGAATCAATTGTAGGGAGCTCGACTTACATTCTGAGTCTGGGACCCATTTGGACATTTGCTCCACGAGCGGAAGCACTGGGTAGCCTACAATCTCGGTCCTGGCTGCTAATCGCTGCCAGTCGATTTTTGAAACATCGCTGTGCTCACGAATGACTGAAGAAACGCCAGTTGGAATCACGCCCTCCTGTTCTTCTGCCTGAGCGAGGGCGCATTCGGCCTCGATCATGCGAGAGACGTAGGAGCGCTCGGAGAAACACTCGCGCACCTCCTCGGTGCCAAAAATGTTTCCGAATAGAACGGAATCGAATACTGTCGCAGCTGCCATGCTCAATGATTGTTTGCAATGTACGGAGTATAGAACGAAAGGACGGAGCTCTAGAGTATGCGCAAACAGCGAGGACCCAGACTTCCGGGGTATGAGTGGCAGAGGCACGTTTCAATAAATAAAATTTATGAACTGGATCTTCTCTGCTACTGGTCAATGCCGAGCGTCCCGATTATTCCCCTCATCGCTCTTGCATTGCATACATGCTAGTCGGGAGCTGTGGTTTTCTCATGATGACCCCACGCTCGGGACCCATGGCCTACACGGGATAACGGGATACGACTCGTGAGGAGACGGGATAGGACGCCAGCGGCCAATGTGCGGCTCGCATTTCGTCCACGGCGTAGCGGGATAACGGGATAGCGGAATAGCAAGGATCTAGCTGATGGAGTCACTCCGCATTCTTCCCCCGGACTGTGTGTCTTGATACTCCACACTCAGTCGACCCTGACTCTCTCCAATGGATGAGAACATGCGGGGGAAAGGAAAATCTTGCCAACATGCTCGCTTCTCGTCAATGAGGCATGGTAGACTCAGGGTTATAAAAGCCATTGCGACCCGTTCACAATCGCTCTCCCAGCCCATCGAAGGACCACGTTCAAAGAGCGACTGTGGCATATCCTTAACTCTTTTCTCCTGCTCAAACCTTGTTCCGAACCTTGTTACCAGCCTTGTTACATCTTCCATCAAAACAACTTGATTCGAGCTGTCACAGAAACTATGGGGTCACCACGCTCATCTCTATCTGCTCGATCGCAAAAACATCAGGACGATGCCAAGTTGGACATCGCCCATGATGAACAACCCTCCGTGGCTCAAAAAGGGGTGGTAGCAGGTGACTATTCTGGCGCCTCAGAGAAGACCGATCCTGCTGAGATAGCCCTCGTCCGAAAGCTTGACAGGTATATCATGGTGAGAACTGTCCGATCAACTCTTACAACGCACTTCCTAACCATGCCCAGCCTATTCTCTGGGCCATGTACTTCCTCAACTACCTTGATCGCAATGCGCTGCCTCAGGCTCGCCTGAACAGTCTCGAAAAAGACTTGAACCTCAAGGGGGTCGAATACAATACCGCCATCTCCATCCTCTTCGTCGGCTACCTGTTGATGCAAGGTTGGTTCTTGTCACACACCAGTCTCCTTGAAATTGAAACACTGATTCGAGATTTAGTTCCCTCAAACATGTTTATAACGCGAACAAGGCCCTCTGTTTATCTGTCTATCTGCATGATAGGTTGGGCAGCGGTCTCAGCCGCGACCGCTGGAGTTACCAACTACGCCGGTTTGGTTGCTTGCCGATTCTTCCTGGGTTTCGTTGAAGCTGTAATTCTTCCAACCAATCTCCTGAAATTGACTTTGTGGACCTCAACATATGCTGACATTCTGAATAGCCCTTCTACCCCGGTGCTCTCTACCTTCTCTCGATCTATTACACTCGCAAAGAACTGGCCACTCGCATATCGATTTTATATACCGGACAAGTCGTAAGCACTGGCTGCTCTGGGCTCATTGCTGCGGCAACTTTTTCTACGTTAGACAAGGTTAGGGGCATTCCTGGATGGAAATGGTAAGCCCTTCCTTCGCTATTTTATTCCAGTGCTTAGATATTGTTGTCGTGAGCTAACACGGCCGAAGGCTGTTTATCATCGAGGGCAGTGTGACTTCTCTTGTCGCGATATTCGGCTTCTTCCTTCTACCAGACGACCCCTCTCAGACACGTTGGCTCACACCCGAGGAACGAGAATTGTGCATCTCCAGAATCAAGAAAGATACCGTCAATCAGAAGGAGCGAGGCACCACTTTGGAGGGTCTGAAGCAAGCCCTCAAGGACCCGAAGACTTGGCTCTTCTGTCTCATGCAAAACTTGCACATCAGGTGCGTCTTCCCATTTCAAAGTGGCAAACCGTTGAAGGTGACATGGCTAATAAAATTCACAGTGCATGCTCTTTCAACAATTTCTTCCCCACCATCGTCCAAGAAATGTAAGATAATCAAAAAAGTGAGGCCGAACGTAGCCAGACATTGACAATACTTTGTGCAGGGGCTTCGAATCCACAACCGCGCTACTTCTCACCGCACCACCCTACTTCGTTTCTGGTATTTTAGGTATCCCATTTGCGTGGTCATCCGGTCGTTTCAACGAAAGAACCTGGCACATCACAGCCGGTCTTGCCCTGGCCGTGGTGGGATTCGTCGTCAGCTGCGCAACCGTCAACTCCGCGGCCAGATACACAGCTACTTTCCTGTACGCTACAGGTGCCTATGGTGTGGGCTCCGTCATCCTTGGATGGGTCAGCAACACTCTCTCGCAAACACCTGAGAAGAAGGCTGTGGCTTACTCCCTGGTCAACGTTACGGCCAACCTTGCCTACATCTACTGCGCGTACCTGTGGCCCAAGTCTGATGGTCCGAAGTACTTAATGGGATTCTCTACAATGGTTGCATTTGCGGCTACGAGCATTCTCTGTGCTTGGGCAATGAAAGTGTGGCTCATGAGAGAAAATCGCAAGATTCGGGAGTCCGAAGATGAGAGTATCGCATTGTATGCGTACTAATGACTGTCAGGTCTTGAATCGAGATGGCTTCATTCCACAGCATAGGATAGAACTATTCACCTTTTTGTCACTCAGGGGCTCCTTGAAAAGAGGTTCACTGGATATAGCTACATATGGCGTAAGTTCGATGCAGATCATGCTCTGTATATACATCTACCTGTCTGGTTAGTCCAGGCCGAAGAAATCACGTACGACGGTAATTACCAAGACACGTTCTGCTCAGATATGACATATCAATCCTGTGTCAGTGTCAGTGCTCTGGCCAAGGGGCTACTGGTACTCACTGGGTTGGTTGGTATACTTGCGCTTGGTGTATTGAAGTGTTTGGATTGATGTAAGACAAACGAAGGAAGCCGGGTAACGAGGGCAGCTTTAATAGTCATTTGACGCGCAGCTCATCCTGACGGCAAGTGAGTCATCGGCATGAAGATTTAGAGAATTTTCTGCCGTATGACTGCAGTCTTGAGCTAGCAAAGCTTCCTTTATTAACCTTTCGTATTCATTGTATTAAGTTTGTTGGGTCTGACATCTTCTTTGTTTAACTTTCGATCTAATCTCCTCCGTTATGACATATCAATCCAGATTATAGGCACAAATTACATATAACACTAGTTTAATATTGGGGTTCATTGATGTTGTTGAAGTGAATTGGTTTGATATTAGACAAGATTCAAGCAAACCAAGAATTCGATGGCATCCACCCTTAGAGTCAGCGACTCTGTTCATACTCGATCAGAGGCCCGTGACGGTTAAACCCAGAACTCCAGCATCGCCGCTCAACAATACAGCGCCACCGAAGCGGGAAGTGGTCAGATTCCGGAGCGAAAAAGGCTGTGTGGCCTCCTTGCTTCCGAAAGTTGTTCGGCTCATGGCCGAGCTTGAATGGGCGAGTCTAATGGCTTCCTAGCCTTAAACATGCACACCCTACCGACAGTCCAAATCTCAACTTCCCCAAAGTTCCTCTTTAAACCTTGTTCAAACACCGCAGAATTATCATCCCAATTGCAAAATACGCCCATTTTATTATAGATTCTCATCAACAGATGAGCAAACCTATTCATGGGAGCTTCCTTGCCCAAGATTGTCCAACCGAACAAGATCCCGTCACGTGCCAAGTGTGGCTTGACATAATCAAAAACCCGAGTCTTGCTCTCCGGAGATCCAGGGAGACAGTGCAAGAGGTAGCAAAGACTGACGGAGTCAAATCTTTCTGACTCGGGTAGGGGGAGCGGCTCGAGCGCGTTGGCTACGAGGGTCTTCACCTGGACCATTTTTCCTGAGGATTCGATTCGTGGCTTGGCATAACAAAGAGTGTTTGGGTTTATGTCCAACAAGGTTATTTCCTGACATGTAGACTGAAACATGGCTTTCGCTGGGATATAGCCGGTGCCGACGCCAATATCTAGGTGCGTTTGACCCAGAGCGGACTGGAAGAACGGGACCAGGGCATCATCGGTAGGACACTTCCACACATAAGTATTAGAGATCCATAAAACCAAGAAGTCGTAGAAGGGTAAAAGAAGGGGGTGTACACCCGCACCGCAGCCTTCACTGCTTTGTCGTCCGGATAATCCTCAGCCATGCTAGAGGAACCTTAAGAGATAAGAAGACAAGAACAGTTTGGGGGTGGTTTGGTCTCTTTGTGGCAATAGTAGCAATAGCAAGGAATCAAAATCAACAGGGTTATTCACTTCGTATCTACTAAAATTAATGAGCATGTCATCTAAGGACTTCAGTAAGTCCCTCAAAGGATATACTCCAGCCGTTCTTGAATGTGATCCATTTCTTCATGCAGAGCTGGGTCCTATTGGTTGTATTTGCAATCATCCTGGACCATTGGATTCGTTCTATACCCGTCTTGAGCTAAGGCCGAAGTCAACAACGGTAGGAGCCAGGGTCAGACACGTCAAACCAGGATTCATTCTTGAAGTGATCGCTAGGGTGATAAGATTAGCTATCCACTAATGGCGGCAATCGTTATCAATTTCCATAACCCCTACTTATCATTTTCATTTATCACTTCGCCTAGACCTCAGTCAAACCGAGGTCCGCACCGTCACCGGCTCGGGGTTCCGGCCTACCCTATAGTGAAAACAACATCATCAATCACACTAAGACCATACTCAAAGTTCATGAGACGAAGTGACTGATAATCCGGATACATTACTTTTTATTTTTTCAACTTGTTAGAGCCTTCTTGTAAAAGATATTTGCCTAACTTGAGACAATTTGGAATTACAACTCTGTACATCTCAGTCTTAGGAACACACTTACTCAGTGGTGCCAAATATTGACCGAAATTGAACCGAAAATCGTGAGTGTAAGCTGATCTTACCTAAAAGGTAAGAGTTTCTTGGTTTCTTTGTAAGCAATACACATGTCGCGCTTTTCATCATCGCAATCGTCAGTTGCAAGAAGTCGCTTCTCATGGCAAGCCCGCTTGTGACGCGGCGGAATGGAAAGAAGCAGGCATGCGAGCCATGTCGACGACGAAAGGTAGCATGCGACCACGGCTACCCGGTGTGTCGACGTTGCATGAAACGACCGAACGGGGAATCAACTTGTTATTATGCAGCGCCAGGCCACCCTACTCAGCCGGAACACGCAAAGCGGGCGTCGGACTCACGCTTTACGGAGACTTCATCCTCGCCGAACGGACATGTCGCCCCGGAAGATAAGTTCTGGAGCTCACCAGCAGCTAGAGTGAACCCAGGTTTCTTCGGCCAGAGTAGTTTCTTGTCTGCTTACTTAGAGACTGAGACAACTCTGGCTGTGCAGGAACCCTTGCTCATGAGGGACGCGGCCTTGTCCTCGGACTCAGTCTTGGCCGATGAGGCAACGCCGCCGTCGGTGACCGAGATTCAGGACATGACGAATATGGACACAGCAGCAACCCAACTTGCTGTCCGCGTCCTGCAAGCTATCCCCGGTCGTGAAAAGACCACTGCCGCTCTGTTTCAGCTCCACTCCAACCCGAATGATGAGTGGATGAGGATAATTGGCGAAAGGTTGACGGCGAGTACCTGGGAAACTTTTGGTTCCTATCTCCGTGACAGGGAAAACAGAGCCAAGCTACGTGAACTGGGCGGTATGATTTGCATCAACACGAGAAGGGTGTTGAAAGAAGACCAAGAAGACCCTTTGGAATGGCTCCAGAGTTTCTCAGGGCCCAACCTTCGGTGGGAGGCGGTTGGGTTGATGTTTATGTATGCAGCCTTCGGCGAACTATCTGCCTCCACAAGTGCAGATTCCAGAAAGCTCATAGGCAACTATACGGAATATTGCTCATCTTGCATCACTCTCGCCAACATCGGGGGTAGCTCTGGCTCCTTGATGCTCTTTTTATTGTATAAACGCTCGGTGCTACATGCGTGCATGCATGGTGATACTAGTAAGTGCATCGATCTTTGGCTGGCTAGCAAATGAATCTTAAAGTATGCAGGCTGACCTTGAGTAGGCCTTCCATACTGGAAGTTTCACGCTGAAACAGTTGCTATGTTGACCTTTGCTGGCTATCATGACGACAGGTCCAGGGACCCATTGGCTGCTGCTTCAGAGACAACGCCAGCGTTGGAGGCTCGGCGACGAGTAATGTGTCAAATTTTTATTGTAGATAAATACTTGGCCACATTCGTGGGACGGCCACCTCTACTGACACGAAGATTTTGCTGCATCAAGTTGCCGTTGGATTTGGATGACACTGCATTAGTATCTGACAAAGACGCATTTCAGGAGCAAACGCGTTCTCTTGATTCGAACGGGTGGAACCAAAGAGGTCGCATATACTCAAGTTCGATCCTTCGCTTTCGCATGTTGGTGGCTTTACTCCGGGATGCCATTCTCGAAATTGGCCTGGGTTATTCTGATGATTTTTCCCTCGATGATATACTGTAAGAGAGCACAAATGCCATATGTTGAAGCGTGCCGATGATCTCTAATCACCTTGCAGGAAGCTCAAAACGAAAGAGCTAGAACTATATGAAAAGCTACCAATTCACATGATTGGTAGTCCCACATTTGACGACATTGCAGGTGTTGATCCGCAACTGATCTACTCACAACTAGTCATACGACTTGACCACTTGCTTAATCTATTCTTAGTAGAGCGATTACTAGTCAAGAATGGCCATTCAAGAGGAGACCTCCTAAGAACTAGTTTTGAAATGGTTGCCTTGACTATGCACTTTTGGACCAACAAACACAGATGGGCAGAAAGCCAACGGGAATGCCACTGGTTGGTAAGCTTGCCCTGCCATATATCTGATATCCCCTATCCACATAGAGAGCGATCTTCATCATACTGTGTCTAACTGGTTCTAGATAATGGGACATGCAGCTCCCGCTGGGGCGGTTTTGTGCCTGGAGCTGGTAGACCCGAACCCTATGGAGGATGTAGCAGACGGACACGTTATCGCAGGCGAGACCTATTCTAGATCATCTATCATCCAGCAACTGAGTATTCTGGTAGGATTCTTGAACTCATCAGGGCCATCACAGCCTAATCATTGTGTTGCATCCAACGCAAAATCCGTTATTAAAAAGGTTCTTGATCACGTTCTCAATCGAACGATGCAGCCCCAAACACCACTGGGGTTAGGAAACTTTGATTCTGCAACTGGCTGGGAAAGCTTCGCACAATTTAATCCTCTAGATGATATTAGTTGGTTTGGTCAAGACTGGATCATAGAGGAGCCGAATAGTTCAAAGTAAGCAGGCAAATATCATTGTGAACACATAATACACCAAAGTCGGGTTCTGTTGGAACTGAGCAGTGGTGGTTTTCATGTCCATCTTTCCCTCTTCGTATGGCTTACTCTCTTCAACACCTTCTTGTGAAAACAATGGAAAACGTTGATATCGTAACCGGAAATCGTGTCGCCATTTATAGTCAAGATTTGATGCACCTGCAAGGTAACCTTCGGGGTTTGACGGCTGCTTGGGGAAATACTCGCTAAAAAGTAAATAGATCACTAACTAAATGGCTTCTAGCCTTAAGTATAGCCAGAAATTTATAATGTATCTATAGATAAATTGGCTGTAGTACTGTATGTTTTTTTATAATACCTTATGCTCCGGTCCCAGTGCCGACATTTCTCGGTGCTCGGCGTTCGGTGCTTACTGCCGGCGCTCACCCACCTCCAGCGTTCCTATAACACGGTGATTGCAATAAAAACGGCGTTCTTGTAATGAGTACTCCCGGTGCTGCCGGCTATAAATCCTAGCTGCATATGTATTTGAATACTCCTTGGAAATGTATATAAGTAGAGGCTTTTCCTCCGAAGCCATATTGAAATGTAAGGACAGTAGAATCAAATACAAGCTTGGTTTCCATACATCTCACTGGCCATTTTCATCATGTCGAAGAAAATCGTTACCGTCGTCGGCTCTACCGGCTCTCAGGGTGGCTCAATTGTCAGGGCTCTGCTACAAGACACCTCGTATACTGTCAGGGCTGTTACACGAAACCCCAAAAGCGCTGCGGCCCAAGAGTTGACCAACCTCGGTGCCTCCGTGGTGCAGGCAGATGTCAATGACTATGAGTCGCTTGTCCGGGCCTTCTCAGGCTCTCACATCGTTTTCGGCGTTACCAACTTCTACGAGAGGTTCGGGAGCATCGGTGCCGAGGAGGCAATTGAGATTGAAGTTCAACAGGGCATCAACTTGGCCAACGCAGCGGCGGCAACAACGTCTCTTGAGCACTACATCTGGTCCAGCCTCCCAAACACTCGCAAGATCTCCAACGGCAAGAACGTCGTGCCGCATTTTGAGGGGAAAAACAAGGTGGATGATTATATCAAGTCCAACCCCTCTCTGTTGCAGAAGACGACATTTATCTGGGTCGCGTTCTACGCCACCAATATTCTGTTCCCCGTCTTCCAACCATTCAACGTCCCCACTGCCGGACCTGATAAGTTCATTCAGCTTCAGGCTACACCAGAATCTGTTTCGATCAAAAGCATCGGCGACGCGAAAGCAAACGTTGGCCCCTTTGTCAAAGCCATCATCGAGAAGCGAGAGCTGACACTGCCCGGAAAGTTCGTCCTTGCCGATGTCGAAGACTTGACCGCCGGCGAATTTCTGTCTCGCTGGGCGGAGGCGCAGAAAAAGGAAGCCAGATACATTCGAGTGGACAAGGAAACATTCTGCGAGACTTGGCCCATGTGGGGCGAAGTGATGAACAAGATGATGACATACTTTGAAGAGGCAAAGGACAAGAGCTGGAGTGGGGAGGAAGGGATTCTCACAAAGGGAGAACTCGGAGTCACGGGGCTTGTCAGCACTGCCGATGCTTTTTCGAAGTTGAGTGACCACAATTAAAGGTCATGGCATTATACTACTGCGGTTTGGACTATAAGGAATTAATTTCTTTCACCAAAAAACTCGCAACTACTGCCATCAGATAGTGACAAGTACCCTCTTATGCTATCTCTAGATATCTCAGAATAAACATTCTTATGCTCGCCAAGAATACGAAGTTCCCTGGGCTACTTGAAACGGAGATGGTTTTGTTGTTTCGAAAATTCTGTGAAATATGATCCAGTAGATACGATAAAGTTTCCATAGCCTACATTATTCATTCATACTTGTTCGTTTACATTGCTTCGTCAGTGACACAGAGGCCGGCTCGACATTGTCTAGTAGAGAGCGCCGTGGTGTACGAGAGTTTGCAACTAGGATTCATGACGCTAAAAAGAAGCTTCTCCATATAACCGGCCGGAGTCGGCTCCCACAATTCTAGAGCCCACAATTCTACCTGGAACCTTTTGGCTCGAGCCATTCTCCGCTTCTCTTCATCATCCCAACGGCTCTGAGACTTTGCCACAAGAACAACGGCTCTGGGCTCTTCGTCTAGCATTGAGTCCGGAGACTAAGTGAATTGACTGTGCAGTTACTCTCCTCCGACGTAGGCATTGGTTCGCAAGCGGCGACCCAATCCTTCTCTAGTTAGGGGATGGCGACCCCGGCATCATCGGAAAACCTCTCTGCAGGTCAAGTTTGGTATGTCTTCAGGAATAGCCCGGTTTTATTTTCTTCTTTGTCCGCTGCTAACCAAGGGGTTGACTCAATAGCGATCGATGCCGTCGGTAAGTCACCACCATAGCTGTGGCACTTTTGATGATTGTATTCTGATAACTGAGTGGGCGTTTATAGGCGCAAAATAAGATGCCATGGAGATGGCGAAGATGTAAGAAGCATAGAATCCCTGCTGGCTTTGGCTTATTGATTATTTCACACAATGGTTGAAATGTCCTACTAACACGAGACTGCAGTGCGCGCCTTGCTCAGTGGCTGGAGCGACATGCGTAAGAACGACCAGGCTTCAGAGGAACAGGAAACGAAAGAGGTACATGTTATTGTAGTCCCTGGTTAGCACCTCACTTGATTTTCTCTAACAGTCTTCGATTTCTAGCTACTATGAGGCACAAGACAAGGAGCCACTTCTGAGCACCCAGACATCTTCTCCAGACCATTCGCACAGTCAAAGGGGAGCCTCAGCCATTTCCCCTGGCGGACTGGTTTCTACAACTGAAGCCATTTCATCGCATGATCTTCAACTTCGACCCCTGAATGATGCATTTCCAATCAATCAGGGTCGCTTGCAAAGCCAGACACCACGAACGACTGCTTTCGCAGCGGACGCCACTATCATAGACCAACAACCTGCTGCAGATCCCGTAATAGGGCATATGGGCCGGTTGGTATCTAATGATGAGCAAATTGCCATGTTTGCTGGGTCATCCACTGGAGCACACTTTATTAGCCAAGCGGAACAGCAAGTTCAGATGCAAAAGATGCATGCGGATGCATTCCCAAGCTGTACTTACAGCATGCATCTTCATAGTCTCTGGGATGCATCAGTGAGAAGATCTCCGTCGCAAGTCACTCGTGACATTATCTCCAGACTTCCTGCCCAAGCTCTCGAGATAGTGGCTGCAACAATTGATCGTTGGACTCCGCTATATCCAATCTTTCATAAACCTTCGACCATGGAGATATGTAGACAAGTTATCTCCCATCCGCATACAAAAAACGTTATCATTGTATACCAAACTCTCATTTTGCTGGCTGTAGGGAGCTTAGGCAACCAAGGAACATGCATGCGGCACCACTACCATTATTTGTGTGCCTCTGAGCCCTACTATGACATGTCCGCGTTGATTCTCGGACATATTCTGGACCGGCCTTGCCTCCAAACGCTGCAGGGTCTTGAGATGACGCAGATTTATCTTCAGCTTACCTCCCGCTATACACATGCTTCTCACATTAGTGGAGTTGCAACTAGGCTGGCTCAGAATCTGGGCCTTCATCGACACTCGAACCGCTTCAAGTTTGATCCCTTGGAAACCGAACTCCGACGGCGTGTATGGTGGTGCCAATATACCCTGGATGTGTAAGTCCCCAATGACACCAATGTTTCTGTAGCTAGCAATGAATCTTCGCTGACAAAGCCGCCTTTTGTAGGATGTCAAGTGCTCATCACGGAATCCCGCGTCTGATCCGTGATCAGGATGTTGATACGGACTTGCCCACTCGAGTTGATCACGACCTCTTATCAAGGTCCCATGTATCCTTTCCTCTGCCAGGAGAAGCCACCCAAGTTGATAGCGCCATGCTTCTCTTCAAACTCGCTCGCATAATTGGAGATACTCTTGAGAAACTATACAGCACTACGAGGCGGCGTGGTGGTGTGGCAAAAATAACCAGGCTGCAGGCTGAGCTTGACGCCTGGGAGCACTCTCTGCCAAGCGAATCAGATGCTGAAATGGCTGATCCAGGGACCGGCGATCCAAAGAACGATACTCAGGCACCTGCCATCTCATCCTTTTGTCTTGCTTTCCTCAGAGCTACACTCTGCGTGGCAACAGCACACGTCCACCGTCCAGCTCTAGCATTCACTACAGTCAATCCACAATTCCAGCTTTCGCTCAAAGCCTGCACTCGTGCAGCCTCGAATCTAATCCAAATCATCTCCAATACATTTCAAAGCTTCGACGCCCAGCTCGGTTTTGACCAGGCAAATCACCCTACAAACAAGCATGTTGAACCGTTGGTTATCATTCTACTGTACCCAATAGGCGCCCATATGGTCTGGCAAGCCGGCCTCACCATCTTGTTCGCTCACTGGAATGGATATACGGTTCCCGACCTGTCGGTGAATGATGAGAACACCGTTAAGCAATGTTCTGAGGTGCTCAGGAAGCTGGGCGGGTTCGCAGATGACGCTGGTGGCAATCTGAAGCAGTGCGCAGATGTCCTCGACCTCCTATGTCAAAAGACATTCACAGGAGCAGAAGTTGCCAACTTGACAACAGAGCAGCTGCAGTGGAATGTTTGGGATTGGCCTATGGCATCTGCACTTGAGCTTGCTAACACGCTTGATGCAATACCATTTGATCTGGAATTTTCGACGTGGGATTCTCAGTTGAATGACCCAAGGTAGCAGCGACAGCTGGATTTAGAAGTGCTACAGTAGCCTGCCGCGGGGTTCTAGGATGTCATGGCTCAGAATGGGCGCCAAGAAGGAGAAAGGGGAAATAGAAAATGAAACTGCAACCATTTACGGAATAAGATTCTCCCCCAGAGAATCCTACCCCAAATCATGACTCAGTGAGCCTCAACCCTTCCGTCTAATCCCAGAAGCGGCGGAATAGGAAATCCGGAGGCAAATTCACCGGCAACCCCCTTGAAACATTCACGACATAATTTTCCCTCCAACCGCACTGCTGCCAGGAGCCAATATATGCTTAATTGCATGGGATCGGCGGTGGTGGAAGGTATTGGTTCGAGGAACTACTGATCCTCAAGTGTCCGAGGGAGACCAGGGTTGGGAGTGAAAATAGCAATTGCTTTTTAAACATGAAACGATAAATTAAATTGCTCTCGGCCTCCCCATCCTCAAAAAAGCCGTGAACGGACCTGTAGTTCTCACTTATCAACCAGATACTGTAATAGCAGCCAAAGATCAGTAACCTACCAGGTCGAATTATTCATCATGAAGTTCGGCTCCCCGCTCGCTTTATTTGCGCTCGCTGGGACGGCTGTTGCCTCACCCGTGTTCCTTGAAAAGAGGGCATCCGTAACTGACGCTTGCAATATTGGTTACTGCACTCAAAATGGCGGGTATGTACCGTGGCTTTCCTATCATAGAAAAGAGATCGCTAATATTCGGAGGGCAGAACTACGGGAGGAGCCAGCGGCTCACAAGTAACCGTGAAGACTGTGGCTGAGCTTCAAGCTGCTGCCAGCGCAAGCGGTGCCGCCATTATCCTGGTAGAAGGCAATATCTCCGGGGCAGCTAAGGTGTCTGTCACTTCTGACAAGACTATCATCGGAAAGTCTGGAAGCTGTAAGATAATTCCCCGACCCCAGCATCGAGCTCTCAAAGTCTAACAGAGATCCTTTGCTGCTTGAAGCACTCACCGGCGTCGGCCTCACAATCAACGGACAAAAGAACGTCATTGTCCGAAACCTGAAGATCAGCAAGGTATTGGCTGAATATGGGGATTGTATTACCATCCAAAAGTCGACCAATGTCTGGGTAGACCACGTCGATCTCTCGGGAGACCGAGACGTGGACAAGGACCAATACGATGGACTTGTCGACTTGTCTCATGCTGCCGACTATGTGACCATTTCCTACACTTATTTCCATGACCACGTGAGTGTCCTCCCCTCACATTTAGGCGAGATATGATCATCTTTTGACTGACATCACTGGTGGCGCTTGCTTTAGTCCAAGGGCTCGTTGGTTGGTCACTCTGACAAGAACTCCGCCGAGGATATTGGCCACCTGCGCGTGACTTATGCCAACAACTACTTCTACAACGTTCGCAGCCGTGGCCCTCTCTTGAGGTTTGGAACTGCTCATGTCTACAAGTAAGTTCCCCATCGCGACCGCAAACTTCAAAATTTTAGCAACGAGATGATGAAAGCACATCACTAACATCCCAAACTAAAGCCAATACTACAACACTATGGACACAGGCCTGAACACCCGAATGAACGCCCAGGCGCTGATTCAGTCATCTGTGTTCACAAATGTAGGCAAGAAGGCAATCTTCAGCGAGTCGAGCAGCGAGACTGGATACGCCGTGGCTATTGACGTCGTGCTGGGTGGCGAGAGTGCCAACACGGCCCCGACCGGCACTCTGGGCGCCGGCAGCTTCCCTTACTCATATTCTCTACTAGGGTCTGGCAGTGTGGCTTCAAAGGTACCATCTGAAGCTGGCCAGAAGCTGAGCTTCTAAGAAAGTTTGCAACTGGCGTTGATCATTCATCACTCCTCCTGAGAATGATATCTTTAGGTCGTGATACTGCTATGATATAGCTAGTTAGACACTAGTAACACATACTTTTGATGCTCCATGGAAGAATCTTGGATCATGAAGTAGAATGTTTAAATATTGTAGTGCCACATAATTATTCATGCGGGCAACATGTGAAACAAGGCTGTTGATGTTAGTTACTCCTATCATGAAACATAAATCCATTTTGTTATAATACGACGAATTCCAAGAATCATTCACCCCCCTGGATTCTATGGCGCTAGAAAATCGTAGTGGAAGAATAAGTTTTATTCTGAATAGCCAAGACAGCCTCACCGAGTAAGTAATGATGTGAGAAGATCAACCTCAAGCTAGCGAGGCCAGAGATGTCGTATCAACTTGAGTGAAGTTTTTACTGTCGAATCAAAAAAGGTGTTTTTTTTTCCTTCCAAAACATACTGCATTTGCCCAAAACTCCTTCTGCTTGACAACATTCTCTCCCTTCCTTCCTCGGTCTGTTCTGTGCTCTCTTCCCCCTTCCCTTCTCAGTCCCTTCGTTTTCTCCCAGTGGATTCAATCAATGTCCCGGTTTAGCTTTTCATTACCATAAATCTGAAACTTTCATGAGAAAAGGTTAGTTCCCAAAATTTATACTAAACAACGGCCGCTACTGGCCTAAGCACTCTGCAGTCGGGCGACATTTGATAAAACCTAGATTCAGCATGACTGACCCTATGGCTTGATTAAATTTTCCCTCGGGGTGTATACCTTCCTATCGTCGCTCCTGATTCTTTTTAAATCTTCCCCTCACTGCATCTCACTTGGCACTGGATGCTTTTATCCCACCAGCTTGAGAAGTAAACAGCCTCAAGCAACCAAACATTTACTCGCGACTTCCTAGCTTGGCTGGCCTGTCTGTATCAGAAATCGGCCATACGAAGGATTGTATTCGATACGTTCTCATTTTGATACGCTTTACATCGCTTTTTGCTGGGCTCCTCACAAAATGGGGTCCTTTTTTGTTTGGCGGTTGAACCCGGAACTTCAGCCTTCTTCAACCTCGGAGGAAGTCAAAGACAAATGCGGTTACTGTGGGATGGGCAACGCACCAAAGACTTGCTACATTTGCGACGAGGGAAACTTTTGCGGGGGTTTGTGTAACAGGCGAGCCATCTGTTTAAAACAGCATTGCTGTGCCCCAGATCTCAGAACAACAGAGCACACGACAGCGAATGATCTCTATCACGACGTCATAAGGGGCAGGATCCCCAGAAATCCGCTGGTGCTCAAGGAGTACTATTTTGGGAACTGCAAGGAACTTGAGCATCAAGAGGGGCTCTTCCGCCTCTATAAGACCTTGTTTACCGTATTTCGCATTCCACCCTCCATGCTCCACAAATGGCAGAAGTCCAAGAGAATTCACGACAACTCGGTCACGCTATTCAACGAGGAGCCCAAACCCGTTCCTCGGGAGCAGTTTCTTTTCCTCCGGGACAATCCAAACTTGTTCAGCGAGGACAGAAGCGAGACACTGAACGAGCACGCTTTTGCTAGAACAGGGATCATAGGACTTTTTTCAGCCCGCGAGGAAGAGTAGCTGGGGAAAGAATGGCGCAGGAAATTCGCATCTGGAAGTATGTACAATATGAGCTTAGATCTCATATTTCAAAACCGAGTAGAGAGTAGCAAAGGTCATGGAGTAGCCTTGGAAAACAAGATTGGAATTTCGTGAGGCAATCGGCATCTAGAATTGAAGCAATTCACCATTACCAGCAACTATACCACAAACATTGACTGTTCGTGAGAATGAGATGCTGAAGTTTGTCATGTCAGATGGTAACAAAGGCTGTCGAGACCCACGAATCTACTTTGCAGCTCGAAGGGCAGCAGGTCAATGGAGCGACTACGAAGAGATACATCATGAGACCTGAATTCAATCTAAATGACCTGCGTTCTAGGTAGCTAAGAATGTGGCGGTAAACATGCGTCATGGCAAATTTGTTAACTTTGTTTCATTCAGAGTTTGTCTACCCTCCTCGCGCTGTGGGCACGTGAAAACTAAAAGTCGACTGCACGTGAACTTATCAAATCATCCCGGGGGTCAGCAGAGCACCCAGCCTAGGGTGAGAAATGATTGAATCAAACATGAAGTCGAGGGTGCGTCTGTAGACTTGCAGTTCTTGTCCTGATCTCGGCATCCCCCTAGCCTAACTCCCGGCAATCCGCCTTGGCTTCTCTCCACAGGTCGAAGCCCTTGAGAGAGGTCCCGGGGCGTGACGTTGGCGCCGCCAGCTATTACGCCAGTTGCACCCGTGACAAGTGCAGGTAGAATGAAGTCAGCCAGGCCCCTGAAGATTGCGACTCTGACAATGATTCCAGCTTGGTTCAGCTACGCTCAAGACCAGTGTCGCACTTTTAAAATTCAAAGAAATTCATATTGAATGTTGTTACGCCATAAACAGCCAAATATAGAAGCACTCTCGACCTTCGTGACGTTATAAGCCCGTACTTTTGTCATGAGGCACACCTCAAGATTTGACGCCATAATTCCCAAATACCTAATCCGCTTCCATATGCTCTATGCCTGTCCCAAATCTAATTTACCCTAGTGTTGAATATGAAGAAATCTAATAAAACTTGAGGACGCCGGATTCCTTTTGTTGACAGGCCAGTCTGTTGCTGAGACCATGTTTTGTAAGATCGTAGGCGATGGAGCATGGAGAACCATCCTTAGGGCACTATTGTTGTGAAGTTAGAGATGTACGGAGACATTACTATACTGAAATGAAGATTGGAGAATGATCCAAGGTGGGAACATTGTATTTTCTTACCCTTTCCTTCTTTGTGCCGCCGCATTTCCGTGCAGTGCGTGTGATGTCCCATCTCTGGACTTTTTGGCCACCCCGGTCTCGGAAGCCATTCCGAACATAATATTGAAACCTGCACTCGCTTTCTTTGACCACACATTGCTAGTTCAATCAGTATAAGTTGAGTGATGAAATCTTGAGACTCAGCATTGGCTGATTGCCTCATGGCGAGAGAAGCCTGACTTACACCCCAGATCATTGGGCCGTTTGGGTCGATGTTTGTCTCTAGGGCTACGGAGCCCGAGACAAGACCAAGAAGAAGAACAATGGAAAACTTCATGATTAAAAATGTAAAGAGGCAAAAAGCATGTGTGTGTGGGTGTGGGTGTGGGTGTGGGTGTTGGCTGGTGCTGCTGGGATGGTGCTGGTTTGATGAGATAAAGACATGAATCATTAGACGACATGAAGCGTATTTATTACAGTTGTTTCGAAGTTGTCTCACATCGATACAATTTTCTCCTGCAGCCAAGAGCTTCTACTAATGATGGAATGATGGCTTACCTTAGTGTCTAGAGCATCCTATCGGACTTGTTGATGCAACCCCTCGAAATAGTTCACGGCACATTTTCGTACGTACCGTAATATTGGCTTGCATATGGACGGATTTCTGCAAGTAAGTCATGAATCCACCTGTATCCGCCGATATTAATAGCAACTGGCCAGCTGTATCAAGGATCCTACCAAGGGATAAGCATTGCGATTGGCCAGAATCAGACCGCCTCGGCAGCTGAATCCGCTGAGTTGCATCTGCCGGCTGAATCCATACTACCTTAGCCAGCCAATGGGAGGTGGAATACGTATACATAGTACTCAGCTGCTATTGCATGATTCAGGTCGTATTCAGAATATGCAGATTTTATACAAGCACAAAGTACGATTCCCCAGCCGTCCCCCGAAGGAGTCTGGGCTTCTGCTGCTGACTCCACGTCGCAGTGGCGGCCCGTTCCTCCATTTTCAGCTGCATCCATTTGTTGGAATTGGAGTAATAATACAGCCTTCTTGTGGTTGCAATACCCGGACATAGACCGCTAGAACGAGAATCTCACACCCAAAATCGACAGACACGTCTCTTCCTGAGGCGCGCGGCAAGTGACCGCATGAATGATGCTAAAATGTCCTATCCCATAAGGAGGTGGAAGCATATCATGCTGCTGTATTAGCTGAGGCTCCAATAAAAGACAATATTGATCTGCGTTATTTACGTGCTCTGAGATATTTATATGAGAGTAATGCTAATATTAGTTTTCATTCCTTCTTGTAATATTCCTCTCAATTGCGTCGAGCGCATTCGTCAAAGTACACGTTTCCCCGCGAATAAAGGAGTTTATCAAGGTAGACTCCCCCACCAACAGTCTATTTTTCAACCATTCTTTTCCATTCGCACATTTCGCTTTGTTGTTGAGTTTCATTTTTTTTTTTTTTTGCGCCGGTCGCATCGTATTCATTTCATTTAGTTTACCATGCCTTGCTCTCAAATTTGCGACAATATGTCATCGCTGGCCGATGACTCTCTTTCGTTCTCCCGGCAGGTCCGGCAGGAGATTGACGAACAAGTCCAACGTGCCCCTAATTCGAACTACGACATGACTTTGAGCTCTATCATTCATGTCATCAGTGCTCAGTACACCCAGAATACGACAAATTCCTGGGTCACAATTGAGCACCGGCTGCATGACCTGTGGTACATTGTCATCCAGGCAGCCAAGAGCATCGAGCCCCTGAATCCTGCTCAAGATACACTCATTCGGCACATAATGCTTATGAAGGCCTTAGGGCGTCTGCGACGTGCAAGCTCACCTCTCAGTCCGACTATTGCGAACAAAGGCCTTGCCGGCTTCTCCGATGGGGCCGAGCTGTGGTCCGGTCTTCCTCTGCTCGCTAAGGATCTCACGGAAGAATTTTCAACCTACCGCTATTACCAAGACACTGTTTATGACACAGATAAGCGCAAGAACCTAGGTGCCTTCATTGGGCGGCTCCTATCTGTTGGGCTTTACGATGGTTCTGCGCTCTGTGCGCTATCACTGTTCCGCGAAACGTTGGAGACCCCTCGACCGCTAGTGGCTGATGAGAGCAGCGAACCAACACCAGACACTCTGTGGGCCATCGAGGACCTGATTTACCCTCTTCATCATTTGGTCATTGCTTCCGACTTCAGTCTTACCATCTTGAGCAGTAAGCGTTCTGCAGCTGTCGCTGTTACGGCGTCCACTGTCAACCCTGCCGATTACCCGCACTTGGCAGGCCTTGGCGAACTGGCCGTCCAGGCTGGTCTTCCAAGCTCCTCAACAGGATTCAGTCCCGATCGGTGGAGGTTCTGGATACAGCGGTTGGAGGAGTTGGCTCAGTGCGGGATCAACCACGTCGCTGGTGATGCGACGTCGTGTCTGACGGTCATGCAAATGGCACAGGAGGACACTATGTTACTTTAGCTGTCAAGTTGGAGATAGAGTGAATGGCTCCGCCTTATTGTGATAATAAACCTTCATCTATGGAGCCATCTTATAGCTGTATCTATGGATTTGATAAATTCTGAAAAGGGTTAAGTAACAAGGAGTTGAACCAAATAGACCAAGGGACAGTTTGAACACCCACCGCAGTTTGCTATCCATTAGCCCGCATTCGTAGTGACGGTTAATTCGTAGGAAGCTAGTCCAGATGTCTGCTGTTAAGACGGGGGATTGCTAAAGGCTGAATTTAGCAGTCAACTCTCACGACAGTCAAATCCTGCAGACTTAACCTCTCTATCTGCTATCAGAGGAAGTCTTGCATAAAATCACGATGTCAGCAACTGAGCCTCCTTTTAGCCACAATACGAATTCAAGTGGTATGTGGCTACGCTATCGCTGGAACAAAAAAAAATTGGTCAGGGCTAGACTTAAACGTTACATACTAGATTGTGTTGCTCCACGGTTTCAACTCTTCAAAGTCGACAATATGCCACCTTGATAACAACTGTACAACATTAAGTCTGGAGTTAAAAGGGGGAAATTGACTTCGGGTTTCATATGTACATTCTTCAAAGGTAGGGAAAATAGTCAATCAAGTTCAGGGTAGGCTATATACTGGGCTATCTAATAGTCGGTTTTCGTTTTCACGCCAACCATCATGACCAGCCGTTCAAGTTATTATAGCAGTGGCGTACGCCTGCTACTTCTTCGTGTTTTGTCTAAAAATGCAGGTCAAAGAAGCACCTCGAACCTCTGTCTAACGAATTTGTCCGAGCCACAACGATTTAGGTAGGTAGCTCATAGGAATTCGTTGTGCTGACTTCACGTGACGATCTCCCTTGTCGTGCAGGGATGACGACGGGCATTGTTGAGCCCCTCATTTGATCCCAGGAACTTGCGCATAACAATCCCATCATCCGTCGAACAGCAGACCAGCCCATAGGTTCATCAAGTTTGCCTTAATAGTCGCCAGGCGGGTGGGTCTCTTTGCCCCACGAGTATCAGACCTTTGTGAATGCCCAAAGTCGAGATTTGCCGCTGGCTGAATCAATCAGTCAAGTTCGCTTCACGCGCCCTAATTTTCGATTAAATCATCATCGCAATCATGTCTAGATATGGCTGGTCTAGCGCTCGCGGTCGCATCTCGCCCTTCAGGGGTCCAGATGACGACAGTGTTCCCCACGTCACTGATGAAGATTTCGCATACATCACCTCACAGGACCTAGAAGATGCTGTGACAAGTTCTTCCGGATTATCGCGACGCGATATTCCGGCCTCCGATTCTCAGGAAGCAGAAGACGATGTTTTGTTGGTGAAAAACAAGGGCATTACGTACCCATTGCACTTTCCGGCCTACTGCATCGGGGATGGCAAGCTCGTGGTCACAGATCTCAAGGCCAGGCTTGGCACAATAATGGAGTTGACAGATACCCAAGTCCAGAACATGACCCTTCTTTACAAGGGTAAAAAACTGCAGCTTTCGGATAGCCCAGTACGAGACTATGGGGTCAAAAACCGAAGCGAGATCTTATCCGTTATACCGGAATCAGGCCCTTCGGTGGAATTTTCGGATTCGGGGTCGCGGGTCAGAAAAAAGGGAGTGCCACCAAACTCGCCCGAGGATAGGGGCATGGACGCTCCAACAAGGTTGAGGCCTGACAATCAAGTCCACGATAAGGGAGAAGTTGTGGAAGAAGAGCCGTACACGATCAAGTGTATTTGCAACTTCACCGACGATGACGGGAGCACGATATTCTGCGAGACATGCGAAACATGGCAACATATTGATTGCTTCTATCCCGACAATAGGGAAGAGGTGTCACGCGAAGACTGCACACTCGTGTGCCGACTGCAAACCGCGGCAGCTCGACACACAAAGAGCTATCGACCGAATGTTACAACTTCTAAATCCAACTCTAGAAGGACCCTCCGAAAATAAGACCAAGCCCCCGCCGTCCGAGAGCCACGAGAAGGGATCGGAACCAAATGCTACGTACGATTCTGACAACGAATCATCGAAACCAAATGATACGTACGATTCTGACAACGAGTCAATAACCTCGGTTGCATCTTCGTTATTCTCAAACACATCGTCGTCAACTGCTTCTAGCGTAGGCCCAGTTGAACATCGCAAGGAGGTCTCTGAGCAGTTGGTGGAAATGCTTCTGAGCAATGGTATGCGCTCGGTGTACCAACTTGCCATCGACAAGCTTGGAAACGAATTCTTTCTAAAGATTCATAATAGAATCTTATCTCGATATCTCAAGCGCCTAAAAGAGTCCACTACTGACCCTGGCATTTTGCTCACAATTCAAACGCTATCGTCTCGTTCGCAAAGGAGTCGTGCCAGTCAACTGATCATCGGAATGCTGAGCAGAAACGCCCTAGAAATATCCAACTCTGGCCGAGAAAAGCGGTTAAACGAAAGACTAAAAATTGCCTCTCGGACCAACAGACCTGCAGAGGACCGGGATGAAACAAGCGAGGAAGAAGTGGATGAAGACGAGGGCTCGCTGAAATACCTTGACTTGGTTGTTGCGTTCTTTCGAGAAAGTTCGCATTTCGAAAAACTCAGATCTGAATTACAATCCGTCACCAACCTTCCAGACCTTCCACAAACCATTTCGGAGGCAGTTGCTCACAATGACCCGTTATTCATCGCAATATTACTAGACACTCAATTCAGGCAAGCAGCCAGTGGTGAGTATATCTGGATAAAGGAGCTCAAGGAGATTGGATACAGCAACACCGACATTGCCCAACTTCTCCATGAAAAAGCTCACGACTCACCCTGGATTTATTTTAAGCCGGAACACATGCCATCTTCAAAATCACGACCTGACCATCACCTACTCGATTGCGCACATAGTCTCAAGTCAGAATCGGCTAGAAAGAATCAGGCATCATTCTCCTCCCCACAGCTCGACAAGGACAGACAAGTGAGGCAAGCAGTTGAGGAGTTGTGTGGACTAGGTGGCATTTTACCCTCCTCGCGCGATAAGGCAGAATGGAACGGGACGGTTGCATTTGACGAAGCCAGATCCATGGCCACGATAACCTACTCCGATCGGGATGCACACGGTCACAATATTCACTATTCCCGGGACCTCTTCCGACGACTCATCCATATCGCCGAGCGTTTCGAGACTGCCGCTCGCATGGTGCAAGACGCCGAGTTCTGTTGTGATTCGTTCACAGTTTTGAAATTTGGCGCATCGTCCAATGAGTTGACGACACCTGAAGTCCAGCTATCTCGAATCGAGTTTTCTTTAGCAAAATCTTTTCTCCAGGAAATGAAAACGGCCGTCAAACGTGGAGAGGAGCGAAATCACGTTTACGGGGATTTTATAGGCGAAAACCTGCATGAGATCCTGAAGAAAGTTACGGATGTCCCTCCAGCGGTAACCGCGCACAATATTGAACATCTCTACTCACTGGCCGTTCAAGTATTATGCGTGGGGTTTATTTCGTACATTCAAGCACATGTTGGTCCCATCCAGCCCTTTTTCATTGACAGGCCGTTAGAAAGAATTGTTCTGAAGGGATGTGTGGACAACATTGAAATTAATAGTGGCCACATTGTTGCTGAGCTTGTTGATCTGACTTGCCTGGGACAAATGTGCAAGGGACCCGTCCTTGTGTTCAGGAAGAGTCTTCCAGGCGACGACGAAGCATCTGACTCCCGAGATTCAAATACCAAGTATGATATCCGTGCGACGCCTTGTGATATTTTAGATACATGGGGCCCCGGAGAGTTGGTTTTCCGATCAGAAAAGTCAAGTTCTGCCTCGGCAATTAAACTCGGCGGTGGATTCATTAGCCCACCATCTTCAGACGTCATGAATTCCAAGTACCATTGGGATTGGTGCTTAAGACTACCCCAGAACCCAGCTCCAATAGCTCTGAATGGACCTATTACAGTTGGTGGGCTGGTTAATGTTAACTCGGAGTGCAAGAATGAGGAACAGGCTTGCTGGTCATCGTCTCTTGGCAAGTTTGAGGAGTTGGGCACGCATCGCTCCTTCTTCGAAGCGCATGAGTATCAGTTCGGTTTTCAGGGAGGCCCGGATAACTTTTCTCTCACAGGAAATAAGGTCTGGTCCAAAAGACGCGGTAGAACAATCAAAACCCGGAACTTGGAACAAGAGGATTACATGTTGGTGCCGTTTCTGAGTTTCTACTGGGGGGTCCGGGTCAGCTACTGTACCGGGGTGGCCCAGCGTGTTTCTCTGAGGCAGTTGGTAGCTGACCTGCTACCAGCTTTCTCCAAAACCTACACAAGCATGGAGTCAAAAAAGAGCTGGCAAGAACTTCTATCCCAGTACCATATTATAAAGACCTTCCAAACATCAAATTCGGCGCAGGAACTTTCCGACTGGCTCAGCAACTTGCCAGACGAACTGTACAAATTCGTGCTAAGCCTCATCAGACAGATCCTTGGAACACTTGCGGATACAGGCTTGAGCCCAGATGGTACACAGTTCTTCGTTGCCTGGCCTTACAATGGCGTAGTGAACAGGTGCTTTCATATTCCGTTGTCTTCATACAACACCTGGGCGCCAATCCTGGCGGACTCGGACGACTGCGCAACCTTTGCCTATATGACAAACACTTGCCTCCAATCTGGGGCCATGACGTGCCGTGGCCCTAATCCAAACTGGGACAATCGATTATATATGCTTGAAACCGCAGTTCTCTGTCCAGCCAGCACCGGAGCTTGGTCTCTTCGTCATGAGCGTACATACTTCTTCCATAAGCTAGACAACAACCTCTATTGGGTGAAAGCTCAAAGAGAGGGAACGCAAAGTGGTGTGCCGGCGAGTCTTGTGAGACTTGTTTCTGCTCGATCCATACCCCTTGATATCAGGCAAAGATTGATATTCAAAGAAGAGCGGAAAAAGGAGAAGAGATTGCGTGAGAAAGATCTTGCATCTGTACCAGCAGAGGTGGTGTGCGTTCGATCGCTAGACGCTTTCTCTGTGCAAAGTTTGAGCAAATCTCTCAGCTAGCGTGATAGTTCTCTAAATCTGTTCTTAAGTTGTAAAGTGACTACATGAATATGTGACAGTTCCGTTCCAGCTATTCCAAACTGAAATTCAATCAATCAGCAAATGAAGCTCGCTTGTGTATACATGAAATTCCTCCTCAAGGCTCAGACGACAGCTGGAGACTAGGTTTAGAAGAATTCATTTAATTACTTGGAAGTAGATACCCTGAGCTGAGATCCTCTCAATGAAATTAAGGGCAAGTTCTTAATGGTAGCATTCGATAGTTGCTCTTCCTTGAAAAAGAAAAATACCATTAAAATAATCTTTAACTGGCTTCGATTACCCTCCCGGGATAATTTGAAAGCGCTTTCTCCCAGCACCAAAGATCTTCGGTCCAGCACCTACTTCCAACCGCAGATGCGCGGAGGGAGGCAGAAGACCAACTCTCCATGATTCCTTCCTCCTTCTGGCGGTTCTATACCTTGTAGAGTCGAACAGCCATGATAGAAAGTTCCTTCTCCCGGCGGCATGCAGCAAAGGTTTCGATCAAAGCTTTAGCAGCTTGGTTCAGAAGTTGACGCCATCCCGGGCGGTTCATCTCTTCATTCCCTTCTTCAAAATCAAACCTTCGAAGTTCCGAATTCCAACTCGCGGTTGATCCTCCAGATGGCTCATACTGGTAAGACGGATCGAAACCATCCGAGGCAGGCTCTAGTGCCGTTTCGCTAACATACAGTGCCTCCAGATCATGGGTCTGGAACATCTGATGAAGATTTGGTATGGCTTCCTCAAAAAATGACTCCGGCATAACAACGCGATCAATATATGAAGTAAGCCAATAGCCGCTGTTCATGAACCTCATATCATCGGGAGCCATTAATTCCTGCACAAATCTTTCCCATCTCCCAGGCGTGACATAAAGCGTGTCTTTTTCGAGACTATAAGGGCGAAGGAAAACCAATGCTTGCCGCTCTTGTAAAAAGCAAAGTTGCAGGTGATGCCCCTGTGCCCAGCGCAGTGCAGCCTGACGGGCTTCGCGGTTCACATCAACGATGGGGACCGCCAGCCATGTCTTGTTAATCCTTGAATTATTAAACATCGCATAACGGTTATCATTCGGATCGTCCCGCTCATACTCCTCATCAGTAGGACTGAGGTAGCGCGGGGTCCAGCAGCCTGCTCTAAAGAAGTGCACCCCTGGCTCCAGAATGGGCAGCGCGTACTCCCATATCTGACTGCGGATCTCGGGTGGTAAATTAGGGAAGAGGTGAAATGTCGACATGGCGGGTAGACTTTCCGCGTGTTGCAAAATACGAGTCCCACGTAAAGCACGGTGGATGCCAAAAGTTAGATAGCTCAAGTGCGACTGAGGCGACAGGAACTTCGTAGGGGCAACGTCGAGAGAGTCGGGGAATTCACGGCATTAGATCCTGAAGGAGGGCGAGGGTTGTAAATCCTTCCCGTTACAACGGCAACACAAAGGGGCTTCCTAAGGCCAGCTGGAAACCCCAAAATACCAAAATAAATCGTCAAGATGTGGGCTTTCACGAGCTGAACTTGGCTGATCAGCCAATGCGTGAGAGTAAGGTGGTCTAAGCGAGCAAATGAGGGGGGAATCCATTATTACTTGTCAGAATGCGCGCATTATTATCGTATGATCTGCAGCTTATTGTCCCTCAATACCACCCAACCTCCGGTATTAACTCTCGGCGCGGTGGCGCAGCGACAACCACCGAGTCGAATTATTCATTCCATGTTGCATCGGCAGTGCACATGCTCGATGTCTTCTTAGAATAGTACTATTTTGCAGTTGGCATGCATGATAGAGGAAACTGTACAGCATGTAGCAACCAGCAGCATGAATTCTCAATCGATTGAAAGCACAGTTTTGATACTATAACGGAGTCAGACAGGATATACGGTGAATGTGTATTTGAATTTATTGAGACAGTCGAACGTCTATATAAAGTGGCACCCGTCTGGTAATAGAGACAGGATGGGTTCCAACAAAACAACCGCAAACAAAACAACCTCAGATCAAGAACCAGTACATTCCTAAGTGAACCGCCACTAAGCATAGATACCCTTCAATATTCTCCTATTTTCCCGCGTTGTTATATCATCCACCAATATTCTCATCTCATGTTCTTCCCTCACATCAGCCTCGTGGATCTGTTCAACCAAAAATGCATGTTGAACTTGGCCCTCTATTTTTGACATGCCTCTTCTGCATGCCGGGTTGGGCTTCTGCGATTGGTATAAGTTTCCGTGCTTCCTTCACACAAGGAAAAAAGACGACCGCAGACTCCGTATCTCACGAAATTGACGACAACCTAAAGGATTCAGTGCTGAAAGGGATGTCAACTTGGTCGGGGGGCAGGTACAAAGCAAGCATGGGTAATTCAGGTCGTCCAGTTATACAGGTTCAGGTCATCCAACAGGGTGTCACCAGAGCAAGGCAGCAGGCCAAAGAGATAACAGCGGAAATGGAGCGACTCGTCATGGCCAATGCTAAGTCACCCTCTCCTCCACCCTCACCTGGGAGAAGCAGATCTGCCTCCCCAAAGTCCCGGAGAGGATTCCGCGGCAAGAAGCGATCTAGATTTGAGAGAAGATATTTCCGTCCTTGATCAATGCTTGAAGATTGAAAACCAACACGGAAACTCCTACCCGACAGTTGAGTGTTAACATCCTCAGCTTGTTGAGTATGGATGAACTGGGCAATGGAAGCATAGATCAGAGGTCATGCGTCTATCGTCCACTTGTCAGTCCCTCGTCTGTATGGGAGAAATGTGTAATTTCAGGAACTACGCTTGGTTTACGACAGGCTGCTAGTATGCTGGGTTCGTTGATCGTGGGAAAACGGCTAGGCCCCTTCAAAACTTTATTGATTTCAACGTCATATGAGCTTTTTTTTAACAGACCTATCAAATAACTACCACATCCGCAAATCCTTCGTCGTTTTATAAGCACATTCTCAATTTTCAAAATTTCCAAGCCCCGGATTGGCAAGTTCCTGATCACTTGTGATGTACGCTTGGAACAGTTCCAACAGCTTGTGTTCCAACAGCTTGTCGTCGATAGCCTGGGGCGTTGTCTCGCCTGCCGGGCTTGGCTCTTCAGCCGTGGCAGTAGCACGGGCTAATTGGTCTCTTAGCATTCCAAAATTGCCACCCGTTAGACCTGTCATGGATATCGTGGGCCTAAACCTCAGGTCTCGTCTGTGGAATGTCTGTCGAAGTGCGTCAAGAACTTGTGCCCAACTGCCATCCTCCAACATGACGTTGTCCAAAGACATACGCCGAAATCTCGGCCCCAGACCTTCACATAACCTTACCATGTGGCGCGGGAATATGGACATCTGCCCAAGGGAAATAGTGCTTAGATGCTGGAAATGGAGATTTGAGATAGTTCTGCCGAGAAACCATGTGCTTCGCCGACCTTGTACGCGTTCCCATGCCTTCATCGGCCCAGTCACATCGACTTCCTCTAGCAGTCGGCTTGAGAGAACAGTTTGCAAAAAGTCGCTGACAGACGTATTAGCCATCTGGAAGTTTTGGGTGATGCTTTCTTCGGGACGCTTTCTGTGCTGCAGGCCTTCAAATCGAAATATTCTCAGATGCTGGCAAGCAGCGCGTAACTGGTCAAGTTGGTGCCCTCCTGGCGACAAGGACTCCGGACAGAGCAGCCTGTAGTCTATATCTGCGACCAAATGCTGGATCTCAAAGCTATCGAAGATGCCCCCTGCTTTATGGATGGCGATCGGAAGGTCCCAAATAATGTTAAGTTGCCTGGCCAGCTCAGCCTCAATTGGTCGCTGCCTTAGTCCCCAAAACTCGTTCCAGCCGTCCGGTGCCTCAAGCTCTCTACCAAATTCTGGGTTATCTGGAAAGCGACGACCGTGAGTGCAGCCCTTCTCAAAAATGCTGAGGCACACCCGGCGGCCTGAGAGAGATACCAGCTTTGCCAACCCGTTGACAAGCGACTTCTCTGTTGCGATGCGATGCTGGTCATGACATTGCACTTTGTATTTCTCATACGCTACACCAATCATGTCGTAATATTGCTCAACTTGATTTGGATCAGCCCCCGGATCTGGTGTTTCAGGCCTGGTGTGTGGAGTCGATTGCTCGCGAATGTGTCGCCTACACGCAAAACCGAAGGACCTGCTTCTTTGGCAACTGAGTACGTGCGAATTATAAATCTCCCGCGAGAGTGCCCGACCAGCTCGTGCGGCAGTCATTGTGTCCGCAATCTCAAGGTGCATAAAATAGTCTTCCACGTAGTGAATATCGACCATCCGGTATCTAGCGAAGTCTGAAAGGCTAGCTGCCACGACGTTGAAATAGTATCTGAGCTCTACCTTGATGGCAAGAACTCCAGCCGCGATGCGCGGATTTCCGAGGAGACCCAAGACACGGTCGAGGGACGGCTGATCGAATGCAACACGGATGATAGGCACCAGCAGCGGAGACGCCTCCTCGTCGAAAAGTTTGCACGCAAGCCGTAAGTTCTGAATGTTCTTGAGCTGGTCCTCGCCGAATCTTATGTCGATGGATTCCAGGCCTATCTTTTGCCCAACAGTAGCTGGGTGCTGGAAGAATTCGAAGATATCCCTCAGGATCTCGCGGGGCAGGCCGGTGATACCGATGACGCGGCGTTGGTTCAGCATGCCATCATCCTCTGCAGCATCGCCAAGCTGGCCAACTGCGGTCGGTCCGCCATGAGCTGCAATCAGACTCATCGAGGACGTCTCGTGGGGGGACATTTCTCGCAGCATACTGTATTTCATCAAGTATGTCTCTGCTATCTTTCCTGTGTGATGAGTTGAATTTGTGAGAGAAATGAGAAGAAGAAAAAAGAACGAGGGAGGGGGCGCAGCGCGGGGTTGCTGCAATATGATATATGATAAGGCAGCAATAATGCAGCGGTAAGGCAGCAGTTGGCCTATAAAGTGGCCGTCCGGTGAGACACACTTGCCGATGAAGCAGCTGAACTCAGCATACCTAATCAATAGTTATTGGTTGCATTGCACTTTTGCGCGACGTGACCTGCTGTAGGGATGTAGCAGATCAAGGTCAGAAATCAGGTGGTGAAAAAACATCCTGAGTTGTCCCAGGAAATTGAAAGGCGTACTCGGAGATGATGTTTGCCTTCTCATATATAGTGTTAGACAGTGATTACTTTTACTAATCTTTTTGAAGTTCGTGTGGTGACTGTCGTCCGTCTTCAAAGATACTCACGAGTCACACAGGTATACTGTACAGGCAAACCAGAACGCCACTTCACTTCTAGGTACAAAACAAGATGCGGGTGAATCCACGCTGTCATAAAACTCCTAGAATTAGATCAAGCAGGATCTTTCTACTCATTTACGACGCCTGCCCCTTATGTCGGTTGACTTTAGAAGCATGCAACGTCTCCAGCAGGCCAAAACACCTGCCACTCCCACTTGTCTCGAAACTCTAGCCAGGCGAATTTTTTCCCAGAAGCTCCAACTAATAGAAAGATTCAAACATTCAACAAACCTATTAACGTTTGTGCCTTCCGTCAACAACATCTACGGTCATTCCACGCGGCGTTATCACCATGAGCCTCAATTGGGGCTGCATCGTCATCACAAAACAATTGGGCGAATGGTTTAGTGGTATAATACTCCCTTAGCATGATTCAGCCCCTGAAATCTTGGGAGTGGTCCAGGGTTCGATTCCCTGTTCGTCCATATTTTTGGAGTCCTCCGTGACTCGTCTATTTTTGTGTATGAGGGTTTTTGGTCCTTCGGCCCTTTTACTCCAGTCGGCCGCCGGTGGAGCTACCAAGAAGTTACGCGTGCGACTAAGGAGGTGACAATGAAATTAATATATACAAATAACATCCCGCGATATTCTTTAAGTCCTTAGCCGGCAGTGTCTTTGATAAGGGCCGACGTAGACACAGAAGAGATAATTATGAAATACTATTAATGTACGTCTTTAGTATACATGCTGTTGAAGCTCCTAGCCATACATACAAACAAGCGCTGTTCTACTGATAGCTTTAGTGAAAGTCGGGGAAAAAAAAACAGAAGTGCTGGGGGGTTGTGTTGTTAATTCCTTTGAACTGGCGCAAACGATGTCCAATTTCGTTGCTCTAGGCTCACGGCAGCTTGGTGTCATCTTCATATGGCTTCTTTCCCATATGCCTCCAACAACCTGCGGCCATGAGTTCCTCAGCCTTTTCCCGACTTTCAAAAAGCAGTCCAGACTTGTCATCGCCGATATACCCGACTGAGCGATCCTAGAAAGATTTCCATTAGCACAACCTCTTGGAAAGATAAAGGTTGTCCACTTACCAAGCCTAATGTTAATTTAATAACACCATCGCCCCAATGATTTTCGTAAATATTATCTGGAAGCCCACCCTGCGCTTCCAGGAGGATGTTTCTGGCCACAACGCCCGCTTGGCGACCTGCTGATCGGGCGTTTGGATTTGGCGTTTTGGTGTCTGCGACATCACCACATGCGTAAATATTGGAGAGGCCTTCGCCTTCCACTTGGAGTGTAGGTCTAACTTTGATGTGGCCGGTCGTAGAAATGGAAGTTGGCGAGAGTTGAGCGATAAGATCTGAGCTAGGCTTTTGGCCAACACAATTTATCTGGAACATATGTTAAAAACCACGATTGTAAATTCTGCCAGAGAAGGTCTCTTACCATGAAATCGCATTCAAGCTCTCGGCCTGATTTCAAGTGCACAGTTTTGGAAATTTCATTCCGTCCGACTACGCGGTCCTCGAGAATAACTTCAACGCCCAGCTTCTCCGTCCCTTCGAGCGCAGCTACATGCAGCTTTTCCCCAAACCGATGCATCAGAGCATTTCGGGAGTGCACCAGCGTAACTTTCTTGTCAGGATACTTTGCTTTGGCGTCCGTGGCTACCTCGACGCCAGCTGCACCGCCACCCACCACGACCAGATTCTGAGACTTTTCTACATCTTGCTGCATCTCTTGTAAGAGCTTCATCCCAGCACTCTTCTCGGTTTCGTGGACCCGTGAAGGCAGACCATACTTCACATTAGATCCAGTAGCCATAACCAGGTAGCTGTAAGGAATGACCTCTTTGGAGTCTTGCAGCTCAACGCTCTCCTTAGTAATGCTAACAACACGGTCTTTGATCCATCTCACAGACCCATCTGGCGCAGCATCGGTGTAGCCACCGTATGGCACAAACGCCTTGTGTTCATGCCCTTTAGCTACACAGTAGCGTGGTAAAACCCAGGTAAATACAAAGTGGCTGCTGGGCTCGATGACGATAACTCGATAGGGGCTCCGGGGCGGAAGGTTATTAGCGATGATGCGAGCCACTTGATGGCCTGCGAATGAGGCGCCGACTATTACAATATTGAACTTTCGGTCTTCGTATGGTGTGCTCCCAAACCAACGGGCTTGTTGGCGAGTGACAATGCCGCCGGCGATGTTGCGGATTTCTTCTCCGGCGAAGGCGAAAATGAACGCAGCGACCCGCGCATACATGCGGATATTCTCAAACATTGTCGGTAAAAAGCATGAAATGACTTCTACAAAAAAAATCCTTCTATGAGCGAGAGGAAGAATCGAAGGCGGATGTTCCGGGTTCAAGAGGTCTGAAATATCTCGTAATCTCCGAGGCCGTACGTCCGCCCCGTTGGAATATCCCGATCGATCGGACATACCCTCTCCTTATCAATCAGATTAGGCTTCAAGATCTCTGGACAAATCAGGCCAAGATTATCTCCGAAATTATCTACGGTGGCTCTTACGACTACATAATGATGGACAGGACCAAATCCTGGGCTTACACCACCATCATTGCACTTTGGAGTGGTGTCTGTCTTTGAGTATCTGTGTACTTTACGACACCAACCAAGATCGCCAAAAACACAATAATAAGAGGAAGAATTCAACAAACAGTGCTTCAGATTTAATTTAAGTGTTTTTAAGATATGAACAAAACTAACTCGCAATCGCGGCTTGTTTCCCTACCACATTCGAAGTCGGAAGACCAAAGCTCAGGGGCGGAGGTATAGGGTATCTCGGGAATATGTTTATCAGTGCTGCGAAATACCATTGCTAACCTCTTTATACCCGATTCTTTCTAAATCCAAGTGGCTGATTGGTCAATAAATAAAAACGCACGGATCTTATTATGGGCGAAACCTTGAAGAAGATTAAACCTCGGAGTAACATTTTGGTGTGATGATCACCAACCACCTCAGGTGGGATAAGAGTGGAGTTGATATGAGAGGCCTGCAGAACAAATCTATGGTTCGTTCGACTTCCCCATACTCCCCACAGGCGGATATATTGGCTAACTACTGTTATAGAGAATTCTAGATTGATCTCTTACTAAATATTTGGTTTGTATTACACGATTTTTCTCCCATATCTGGTTTTTATTTGTCAGAGCCATCTCCTTCGTGTGGGTCGCTCGTCAACATGTTTTGACAAGGCGGAGGTGGAGAATTCTAACCAGGCACGAGCCAATGGCATGTTGTTGTTGAGAAAGCTTCGAACGCCTTTGCCCGACAAGTTGCGTGACATGTAGAGTTTGTAAACTACTAGATAATGGAAGCAAACCCTACTAAAACCCTGTCAAGGCTGCACTCTCTTTACCGTTTCATCGTTACCGTTGATCCTCCACATTCCTCCAACATGGATCTTCATATCAGTAGGAGCAGCAGCGACCAGCAGGCATACGGCAGCATGTCAAATAAGCTTGAAGGAAAAGATGTCGATGTCGAGAATTCCAGCACACACTTGGAGAGAGGTCTCCATAACCGTCATCTTCAATTCATTGCTATCGGCGCAGCTGTCGGAACGGGATTATTCCTGGGAACAGGAAGCGCTCTGGCCACCGCAGGCCCTGCCTCTCTCCTTATTGCATTCATATTTATCGCCACTATTCTATACAGTGTTATGACTGCTCTTGGGGAGATGGCCGCTTATATCCCAGTGGCGGGTGCTTTTACCAACTACGCCTCTCGCTTCATCGACCCTACGTGGGGGTTTTCCATGGGCTGGATCTATTGGTTCAGTTGGTCGCTTACATTTGCGTTGGAATTGACGGCAGCGGGTCTCATCATTCAATATTGGAACAAGAGCCTCAGTGTCGGCATCTGGATTGCTGTCTTCTGGGTCGTGTTTACCCTGGCCAACTTCATGCCTGTTCGGTGGTTCGGCGAGTTCGAAATGTGGCTGTCCAGCATCAAAGTCGTCACCATCATCGGATTTCTCATTTTGTCCATCTGCATCAACGCCGGAGTCGGCAACTCTGATCAGGGCTATCTGGGATTCAAATATTGGAATGATCCCGGAGCGTTTGCTCAGCATTTGGTAGATGGATCGACTGGATGTTTTGTGGGTTTCTGGGCGGTCCTCATTACAGCCGGATTCAGTTTCCAAGGATCAGAACTGGTTGGAATCGGCGCTGGTGAGACCAAGGACCCTGAAAAGAGCATCCCATCAGCTATCCGAGGCACATTCTGGGGTGTCTCAGGTCTCTTCATCTTCACTGTCTTCTTCCTGGGTATCAACATCCCATATACGAATAGCGACTTGACGAGTGACTCGCAGGATGCTTCAGCATCACCCCTCGTGCTAGCAGTACAACTCGCCGGGATTCCCGTACTGCCATCTATCATCAACGCCGTTCTTCTTACTGCCGTTCTGACCGCCGCCAACTCTGACGTCTACTCAAGCAGCCGCATCCTCGTCTCCCTGGCTGAATCCGGCCACGCCCCTTCAATCTTCAGAAAGACGAACCATCTAGGTACTCCCTACTACGCAGTGGGTGCGTGCTCTTGCGTTGGGTTCTTAGGATTCATGAACCTGTCAGAAAACGGAACCGTCGTCTTCAACTGGCTCTTGAACATTATTTCGGTGGCGGGCTTTATTGCTTGGGCGATTATCAACTATTGTCACATCCGCTTCATGCGAGCTCTGGCAGCGCAGAATATTCCTCGCTCAGACTTGCCGTACAATGCTCCCTTGCAGCCATACCTCTCCTGGTACGGTCTGTTTTTCAACATAATCATTATACTGACAAACGGATTCGAGGTGTTTATGAACTGGGACACGAGTGCATTCTTCACAAAATATGTGAGCCTGATTATCTTTTTTGTTCTTCTTATTGGGCATAAACTCTGGAAGCGTACCAAGCTGGTTCCTCTGAACGAGGTTGATCTCGTCACTGGTCGTTTCAGGTCAGAATAGCAGCGCCGCAATGTCGATATTGAGACAACTTATATGTAAATGAGCTTTATGCTGGACATGAGCTGTCTTTATAATTATCTAGATATCGTTACCCTTAATCTCAAATAAAAGTCAATAGAACGTTTTCTACGTGGCTCGTCTTTCGCTTGAGTAGTTGACTTATTCTCTGCATGGGTGTTTGCCTACATGTAAGAGAAGAGAAGTTTAATAGCAATGGGAGCTGCCGGGCCCGACAACACAACACAATGAATAGGGTGTTTATCTGCATATGATCCGGATTTCAGTCTGATTTTAATGATAGGAGACGCGATATTTTGACATTAAGTGACTGACTATTCTCGATATGGTAGAAAAATGGAAGCATGCGCTGTGACGGCGTAACTAGAGCGCAGGGGGAGATGGTGCTGCAAGTCATTCTCCAAGAACATGAGCATTTGTTCTACACTTATTAGAGAAGGATAAAATGGGTCTGATTAACAACACACATTCATTAAACTCCAAGCCACGCTCGGGTCTTTGATGAGGTGTTGCCTTGGAAACAGGCAGATAGGACTCTTCTATGTCTAGGTAATTGAGGCAGTGGCCACCGGCCGAAACTCAAAGGGTCGAGATGACAAACTGCACTCTTATTTGCTTCCAAAACAAAGTCAGCATAGAAGTCACAGATAGGCATATTGGAAGGAAGGAGCAAGTCAGTGAAACCAAAACAAAGGCTCGGCTCGCGAAACCCGATCGATGCCTACTCTTCTCTCTCCTCACATCATAAGCACCGCTAATATCCCTTGAGAACAGCTCTACCATCAACGCTCGTTTCGTTACTATCACTTCATATCCAAGATCAAGTGGAACTATCCTTGACGCCCGAGCCGGGGCCTATTCCAAACCGAGACCTTTTCCAGCTGAGCACCTCCGTCAACCTTCCTAGCCTTATTCTTCACGGTCCAAAAGAGAGCAACATGCCTGGCTTCCTCCAATCTCTGCACTCTCTCCGCTTGAAATGTGAAGCATATATCGTTCGGAAATATGCGAACCGTGCGCAGAAGGGCGGATACACTCCTGAGCTTCCAACTCAGAGGCAGCTTATCGAAATACCTTCGCGCGATATAGATCGCAACATTCGCATCTGGGTCTATCCCCACCTCGACTGGGACCGCTCACCGAGGAGGCCAGTCATGGTCAACTGGCATGGGAGTGGATTCATTGTTGGAGGATTTGGTCTCGATCACGTCTGGTGCACTGAAGTGACACAAGAGCTTGGCATGTGGGTGATCGATGCCGACTACAGAAAGGCGCCGGAAAATCCCTTCCCAGCCGCTGTCCACGATGCTGAGGATGTGCTGAGATGGGTCGCCACCCGGCCAGACCTTTTTGATTTGAGATATGTCGCCGTTTCGGGCTTCGGCTCTGGCGCAACCTTGGCCCTGGTGGCTGCTTCGACGCTGCGCCGGGCAGACCTTGGGCTCAACATCAGGGTGCCAGTTGCCTTCTATCCCATCACCAACTTCGAGGTCGACCCTGCACAGAAGAGGCCCCTGCAACGGGAACGTCATGTGCCTCTATCTGTAAGCATCATACGCTTCTTCAATAAGTGCTACGTGCCGAATCGAGACGACCGGCTTGATCCGCGAGTCTCCCCTGGTCTTGGCGACCTGGAATCGTTTCCAGACCACGTAGTGATCATCACGGCGGAATACGACATCTTTGCACCCGAGGGGATAGCTTTGGCCGAAAGCTTGCGCAACGGTCACCGAACAGTCATCAGTCACATGGTACGCGGGGCAAACCACGGTTTCGACAAAGACCGTCGCACAAACGATTTCGAAAGACAGAGAGCCCATGCATACTTCGTAGCCAGAGACCATTTGGATAATGCTCTCTGGGCCGTCTCTCTCGGACCTCCCCAGTTGGCTTTGGCTGGCGCCCCCGTAGATGCTGAAAGGCTGAGGAATCTTCTTACATCGGGATACCGAGAAGATCCCAATCGAAATCGTACCCCGACTCCCACAGTGGGTTTATAAATATGGACGTCGACCTCGAGCGAATCAACTTTTTTTCTTGGCTTACAAACTCTGTATTGCTACCACTTTTTACTTTGGTGTCATTCCAGAATCATCACATTCACCGATCAGTACAATTTAGAGCTTTAGTACTCCATGAGCAGACTGATATTATATAGTCGAGCGTACTCTATACTTATACAAAGCGTATACTAGTTTTAAATCAATTCTCTTTGCTAGTTCGTTCCTTTCCAATTGCTCAACTTAAGGTCAGATGATCAATAGCGTACCACCCAGGAGAGTATCCATCGCACTGTCGACGTGGGTTTTAGTTGACCAGGTGATCTATGTCTCCTCACCCCTATCCCACCATCTTCCCGTTCGTTGCTTCCGGTGGGTTCATCAACGTCACCCATTCCGTCGTGCATCACAGGTTGATTATCCAGGTTCGCTGATCCAATATTCGGGTCAAAACTGATTCCTTTTTGAATCAAGAGAGACTTGATGCTGTTCTTTTCTACTACCAGAAATTCCGGAAAGTGCTTTTCAACAAGAATGGTTGCTGAGACTCTTGGGTGTCCTTGTAAGGAACTATGGTTCCGAGTAACAAATTCGGGGTCTGCTCCGTGATGAAGAAAGTCCTGGATGATCACAGACCAATTTCTGGAAGTTTCTTTCCATTTCAAGTCGGGCGGATGATCTTTGCACCGGGTGTGGCCGCATGGCGTGCGGTTGAAATGCGCTGCGGCGGACAGGAGCACTTGTTCCCAAGGGCTGGATCCATCATACGATAAATTCGGATCTGTGCCGTTTTCCAAAATGCGTCTTATGACAGCGGGATCTCGGTCAGTGCGGGAGGTAATCAAGTGTAGGAGCATGTGCTGCTCTACATCCTGGTCCACGATGTTGCCAGACTCGAATTTCATCCTTGCATAGTGGGATAAGCCGATGGAAACGGCGAGATCATAGAAGGTACTTGGCCAACCTGCCTTGAAATTGAACAAGGCTGGCTCTGGCTCACTGGTGAAGAAATGTTTTCCAACTCGCCAATGGTAAGAAGCTGCAATGTCCAATTGATCCAATAGCCTTGGAAATCCGCTATTCAGATCCTTTTCGGCCTCAACCGCAAATCTTAGAGCACCAGTGATGAGCCCCATGTCAAGTGGAAAGGAGGGGTCTGTGCTGGCGCTTTTGAGTTGCAAAACGCAGGACTTGAGCATGGCAATATTGGGACTAAACGACTTCCCTTCCGTATGAGAAGTTATACCGCTCCAGACCTTGGGCTGCGTTATCCAATCTGAGACTGTTCGGTGTAAAAACAGTACCTTCGCGTCAGGAGCGATGTCTGAAAACCTGATGTCGATCGACTCAAGAAGGCCGGCGCATACACTCTTTAGGCGAGCATCCATCGCTTTACATCGATTTGCAATCCTATTATGAGGGAGTGGACGGATCGGGGCCTTCTCCGCCAAATCTTCGTCCTCGTCGTCTGCCCATGATAAACTCAACAGTGTCAACTGACTCGGGCACTGCTGCTGAGCGGCTCGATATATTTGAAAGATCTTCGAAGCTTGTTCGTGGTAGAATGGATCTGTCATCTGTAGCATATGGGCGTATAAGGACTCCAGGTCACCGGGCAAGTATTCAACCCGTCTTTGGAGGTCTGAGATGCGGTTGTAGTCTGATAGACCACGCAATAATGACCTAACTACCAACTTAACCCATAGAAAGACGCCACGTGCTTTTTCAACAACATCGCTCACCAGATCAGACACTTTAGCTGGGTTTTCCTTTGAAAGGGCCATCAGGTGTTTATGGCGATACAAGTTTTCTTTGACGTAGTGACTTATATCTCTCGCTGTGAGATCTTGTAGCTTTAGGCTGGGCTGCCCCTCGAAGGCTTGCTCGAAGGCTAAGAGCGGCCTGCTAGACAAACAGAGCTTGATGTTAGAAGATTGAGCGATTTCTTCAAACATCTCGGCGATTTCGTAATGGTCTCCGTCGTACTCGTCCAACCCGTCAATAAATAAACAGAGCTTGACCCTACTCTCCAACGTTCGGAGTAGGGTTCGAAAGAAACCCTTCAACTGTGTCATACCCCACGGCTTCGGGTCAGGGTGTAACATCGGATTGCGAACTGAGCCGCTATTTGATATGAGGTGATCAGCTCGCGAGGACCAGGCCTCCCAAGCTTCAGGCATAATGGCAGGAATTAAATCTCGATGCTGTTGTAGAATATCATGGAGAAGTGATCGCAGCAATCCCTTCTGGGACTTTTGGTACTCATCGCCAATGTTCCAGAAGAAAAAGTGACAGATGTCCAGAGGCATAGATCCGGCCCACTCGTTCAACCCTTTCCGTATCTGTTCATTGTCCTGGAGATATCGCATCAAGGTCGACTTTCCAGAAGCGGCCTTTCCGTTAATCCAGTAGATCCCAGCGTCTTGCCGCAGCCAGGTCATGAAGTTGCTCCACGGCCTTTCAATCGATCCAGGTTCGTCGAATATCCACTTGAAAGTGTTCTGGAAAGGCACGTCCACACTATCCTTACGGTCATGGATCGAATCGAAGCTCAGACTGCTTAGGACACCATTTTCGATCATGAGCAGTCGGATGCTCTCTTCGACCTCGTATGCACGGGCTGGAAGCTCCTCTATGCTTTCTTCATCTCTTCTCGCCCCCTTGGGATATTGGAATGTTCCAGCAAGCTTCAGCTCTCCCTTTAAATGTCGTGTCTGATCTTCCGGTAGTCTTGCCCTGATATCACGTTTCGAGATCTCAGAGAAAACCAGCTTCTCCACCTGACTGCGGAGTTGTGTTGCAAGGTCATCCCGGCTATATATGAAGCTATCAAGGATAGCCCGGGTTGATTCGGTCAGTTGCCGAGAGAACTGTGATTGCTGGACAACGAGCTGGCTTATTGTTGCTCTACCCCAAGTCAGCCAGCTTCTTGCTTGCTTTGATTCAGTTTCATGGCTTACCGAAACATTACCAGGATACGGAATTCAATTTCGGATCTAAACTCCCGAAGTGTCGTGGCCATTGCTTCAATTTCCTCTTTCCTCCAAATCGCCTCCAATGCTTTCCGAAAAGCACTCCATTTCCTGAAGATCTTGGAATTCCTCGTTACACTGGGTTTCAGCATGGAGTTCCAGTTCTCCCTCCACAGCTCTTTTTGAGGCTCAGAGTCCCGAAGGTTGCCTCTGCTAACCTTATCATCCTCGGACGTTTTTAACTCTTCCTTGCCTGGGACAATTTTTAGCTTGTCGAGCTGCGCAATCAATTCCTGTGCAATCGCAACGCATCGAATGCAAAGCTCATCCAAGGCTTTCTCGTCCTCCGATTTGTCCGCCTTTATCGCGCGGTTATCAGGCAGATTTCGCTCCAAGCTCAGAAGGATGGTGGCAAGGTCGGTGGTGACTACCTCCAAGTCGACATTCTCGGATAAGACACCATCTGCGGATCGATACAGCTTTCTGGAATTAGAGAGCAGCTTACTCCCAAAATCCAGGAACTGGATCACGCCGCCAGCGACTTGGAGAGTATTGAGTGCCTCCATGGCTAATAAGGGTTATTCAACAGCATCAGGAGAGATAGATGTTCAGAATGATCAATTTTTCTTTGTGGTGAGAATGTTACATGTACATAGGATCAGAGTGGATTATAGAACATGACCCATGTACCCCTAGAGCCACAGCCACAGCCAGAGACCCATCTCACACTGACCAAATACCAATCACGCAAATTCTTACCTGCATTAGTAGAGACGTCTACGTAGTGGAAGTACAAGGGTTTGGTTTGGCGGAGGGCTTCGCCACCTAGCACTGCCCCCTCGATGGATGAGCCAATGGAGCCATAATCAATTCAGCAAGCCCCAATGGCCTGAAGGTTGCATAACACTACGTATTCATATTCCTTGCTCTTGTTATTGAATACTGGCATAGCGGAATCTGGTTCCTGTATCAGCTGGTACCGCCAAAAGGAGGCCATGTCAGCCCCAGACATCCTCCGAAAACCCTCCCATCCGCCTCCAGCTCGTCCACCACTCGGCGTGATTCTCGATTTCAAGATCCTCATTCGCTTTCAAGGCATCCTTCAGCACTGCTGCCACCTCTCTCGACATGGCCGCCCGTCCACACACGTAAACCCGCGCCTCCTGCTGAGCAATCATCCTGCTGAGCTCCTTTCCGCGAGCGGCAACAGCGTCCTGCACATAGCCCCTTCCCGTCTTCCCAGGATACTGGATCCTTGAGAAGGCTGCGACGATCTCTGCCCCAGGTAGGTTGGCGACAGCTTGCTCCAGCTCTTCTCTATATATGTAATCCTCCTCGGGGTCTCTGCAGCCAAAGAAGAGGATCGTGCGTCCGACAGGGCGCGACATGGCGTGAAGACGGGCGCGCTCCAGCAAGAATGCGCGGAAGGGTGCGATTCCAGTTCCCGCTCCAATCATGATGATGTCTTTAGTTGCGACAGGCGGGTGGAACTTGGATTTTCGAATTGCCACATGAAGACTAGGGCATAGTTCGTTCCTTGATGATACTGATACCTTGTGTAAGTAGGTGGATGCTAAGCCTGGGATTGACTCTGCTGGACGGTTGCGCAGGGGCTTTTCGACCACAAGAGCTGTGATGGCGGGCTTCCGTGGTGCGAGCATGCTGCTGCTGGAAATCGAATACAACCTGGGTCGCAGGGCTCCGAGGACTTCGACGACGAATGACAGCGGGAGATTGGCCCAGGCGCCGTCTTCGGACAGGCCCCCTTTAATAGCAGACATGCGCAGAAGACGTCCCAGCGTGAGGTGGTTCTCTTCCGCGAGCTGGATGTACGCTTGCCTGTCTTTGACATATCGTCCCAGAAACGATCGGACAGTTGGAGATGGAGCGAATTGTAGAAGTGACGCAAGGGTGTCTGCTGATACGGCGGCGCTGATCTCCAAATAGTGCTTGAACAAAGCCTCAGTCGAAGTCAGGGTTGGGACCGGGACTTTCTTCGTGGAATCAAGAGATTTGATGCCGATGGGAATATGGCGGCGATCACGTAGACCGAGCTGGCCGAGCAGGATGTCCACCTCCTCTGCAGGGTTCACAGGCCAGACAGCGATATGGTCGCCCGTCTTATACGAAATGATGGGATGGGCGGAGAGGTCAACGTCCAGGTGTACGCAGTTTCGGGATGAGTTTTGGAACAGCTCCTTGGCGTCACTGACAGGCGCTGATACCACGGCACTTGAGGATTTATTGTCGTCCCTTGACACAGGTTCACCTGAATGCAAATCAATGATATCCAGAGATTCGTCCTCTTCCACTTGCAACTTGGGCTCATAGACTGGCTCTCTCTCGGTAAGGTCCAGCCTTTTCTGTAGAAGCCGGAGGACGGATTCCTTCCAAGCCAGAAACTGCTCTTCAGTGTTTCCGTCGGCGTCGTCGGCTTTGGTCACAGGCATGAGTGCTCGAGCTCCAAGGCCGTCGATAGCAGTAGCTACCACGTCTACTACACGGTTGTAGTGTTGGTAGTTGCTGTTACCAAGACCGAAGGCAGCATACTGAAGGTTGGCGAGTGATTGAGAAGGCTTATGTTGCAGATAGCGATAAAAGCCGGCAGCATTGTCGCTGGGGTCTCCTTCTCCATAGGTAGACAAGATGAGTATAGCAATTTTTGACTCCGGGATAGACGATAGAGATTCAGGATCATAATCCGACAGGTCTGCTGACATGGAGTCGAGGCCAAATCGGCTATAGCACTCGCGGGCCAGCCGGTTTGCAAACTCCTCTGCAGTGCCTGACTGTGAGCCCCAGAAAACAACCAAGTCTTTGCTCTATGTGATATATTTTGGTCAGCTTCTTATACCTTATCATTCCAGGATTAGTCAATACACAGTTATGACGTACGCTTTCTTCCAACTTCTTTGCTATGTTTCGAGTCTCGGCAGTTCTGCCACTGCCGCCTCCATTCTTCAGCTGAGGTTTCTCATAGTACACATGTTGATAAGGATCTGGCAGATCCCATGGTTTGCGAAGCCAAAATCCCAACGCAATAGCCAGCGCGAGACAAGCCGCGATATCTCCTTGTGTCTGGGGCAGCGGGGGAAGTTGTTGCTGCCCAAGTGGAAGAGAAGGGCGCAGGAAATCAATGTAAGGAAGAAGGGCAGAAGACATATTAGGTTTTCCACAGATCGGATGTGTTTTCAACCAATTCAAGGTCAGGCTTGGTGAGGGCACTGGTTTTCATGAGGTCTGGCCATCTCAGCCTCATATACTTGGAAAGCCAAGCGATATCAGGATCTCATTGCCACCCTTTCTCCATATGGGGAAGTGGTGGAGGTTATCTCAGCATTCTTTACAAATCTCTAATTGGGAATCCGCAAGCATTAACCAAGGCCAATTGGAGTGATAACGACACAGACTGGAAACCCCAGAGGATGGCTCAGTGTCAGAAAAGGACGCTCGTCTCGACTTTCCCAGTTCAGGATGGAGACTAGTTTTCCTCAGGAGGAAAACTTCTCCGACGCTAACGCAATACCCCAACCGTAGTCTGTGTGGGGGAGCTTCGCTTATCCCTGCTAATCACAGATCTGACGGATCTCAACTACAGTGTGGGATGATCCAAACACTGCATGGCAAACTGAGATTACTTCTTGGAGAACAATCTCGATCTTGCATCTCCGCAAAATATGACCTCAAACCCAAGTCTGGCCCCTCCCCCGCAGCATCTTTCCTCCCATTACCCCGCCGATGATGAGATGTTAGTCTCAAGGAAGTCCGAGCCGACCTGCCCTGGAGAAGATGTCCCGGATACTCTGAGCCCAGAGACGTTGAATTGTTTTCTCGTGAAGTATCAATGGATATTGTTTTAGTAACGATGAAAAAGTATGGTGACAATGTCAGCTTTTCACGTATATAACATTCATTCAGGTGTTCCTCCTTTGTGATGACAACTCTTTTCTAATTTCCAAACCCCGTGTTGTTGTTCTCTGTTGTGGGATATTTCCATTCAGCCAACATGTATTCTACCTTGATACCTGTGGCTTGCTTCATTGCCTTTCTCAGCTACTTCATCGTTTGGCCAGTCATTGTGTACTTCTATGATGCCAAGGGCTTCAGAAAATATCCGTCAATGAATGCCATCGCCGGCTTCACTGATCTCGGGTTCATGTATGAGGCCACCAAAGGCTTCCGATCAAAGCGTCTAAGTGAACTACATCAGAAGTATCCCGTCATCCGCATCGGCCCAAACTCGCTCTCTTTCCGTGGTATTCAGGCGATCAAGGTTAGTTCTTGACAGACCAGACCTGCTTCTTTGTTTTGTGCTGACCATGTTCTCTTAGGACATCTACGGCCATGGCACCGGCTGCACCAAGGACATCTTCTATTCCACCTTGGCCGGTACACACTTCCACCTTGCCGATGTCGTCGACAAGGCCGAGCACGCTCGCAAGCGTAAGGTCCTCTCTGCCGCCTACGCCCTGAAGAACCTCGAAGGGTGGGAACACAAAGTGGCAGACAAGGCGGAAAAGTTCATCAGGGCATGCGATGCGGCATGTACCGCGCCCCTCAAGCCCGGCCTGAACCCTGATACCGCAGATCTCACCTTTGACTACCGCAAATATACAAACTTCTTCACGCTAGAAGCCATCGCAGACATTGGTTTATCGGAACAGCTCGGCTTCATGGAGAAGGGATCGGATGCTTGCACAGCTGAGAAGATGGACGGGACGCTCTATACGGTCCCTGGCGCTCGCGCAGCCCTGCACGAGGGATCTATTGCGCAGACTTGCACCGTTTGGGCGTACCCTTGGTATAAATGGAACATCTACATCACCAAGCTCTTGTCCAAGAGGTATCGTGACATGTGGGAGCTGAGCGACAACTGGAGCGATCTCGTATATCATCGCGCCACGAAGAGGCTCGCTCGGTACGAAGCCGGAGAGAAGCTAGATGACTTCTTCCAAGCCCTGATGGAGGACAAGAATGGACAGCCCCATAACCTCGACTGGGGTGAGATTGTGGCCGAGATCTCCATCATGATGAACGCCGGGTCTGACACGACTGCCATCGCCTTAGTCAACGTTATGTACCAGCTCATCAAGAACCCCCAGGTTCTAAAGAAACTCCGAGACGAAGTCGACACAGTCCTTGATGAAGATGAAGTCGTCGCGCCATACGAGAAGGTCAAGCATCTGCCTTACCTCCGTGCTGTCCTCGACGAGTCTCTCCGCCTGGCGCCACCATCCAGCTTCGGTCTGCCTCGCCGTACTCCAACCGAAGGTTGCTCCGTTGGGACAGAGTGTATCCCCGGAGATACCACGGTGAGCATCTCGGCGTACGTCGCCCACCGCGATGAGAAGGTGTTTGAGGATCCAGAGACTTTTCAGCCGGAGCGTTGGCTGGGGGAGAAGGCTCGTGAGCTGCAGGCAGGGTTTGTGGCTTTCAGCGCTGGAGCCCGCGGTTGTATAGGAAGGAATATCTCATACCTTGAACAGACTGTCCTGTTGGCTTCTGTTGTGCATCGGTATGAGATGGCTCTCCCAAATAAGAGTTGGGTACCCGAAGTAAGGGAGGGTACTAATCTGCTGATGAAGGAAATGCCGGTGAAGGTTTGGCGAAGGAATCGGGTTTGATAGATCGAGAGGCACTTATATTAAGCGTATCGGGGCGATCACAGAAATGAGACTGCTATTGAAAGGCTATTCGGTTGAAAGCTACAGAACGAACGAAAGAGTTAATGAATGAACATAGGGAGAATATGGTATCAAAGTGCTAATCCACTTCCTCTTTCGTAGATACGTTAAAAATACAAGCATATTTCATCATTTACTTCTCAAGTGTCGGCCATCCCCATGCCTCCGCCAAATGCCGACGAGCCTTGGAAGTACACCAAGTGTGCTTCTGCTCCGTCTGCTTCAGAAAGCCCATCAACTCCTCCTGCTCCCACCGATTCTCAAACTGATCACCGGCCATTGAAACCCCCGTGCAGGCGAGAATGTGGTGCGGCGCGCAGTTTCCGTTGCCGTATGCTATTCCCAGCAGCTGCCTTACCTCATTCTGGACGTTTTCCTTCTGCGTTTGAAGAAAGCGAGCCTTTGAAGGCCCGATACGGGGAGTCCGCGGGTCAAACGCAAAGAGCAGGATGCGTACCAGATGGTAATTTAGTAACCCAGTAGTGACCGTATCAGACAACAGCCAAATATCAGGCGATATCCTTCTCCCTTCCTGGTCACTTCTTTGGTGGTGCTTGTAGAATATCGGTGTGAAACTTGGTGGCTTCTTCTCATACCACTGTTCTGCATACGCAACAAGGGCATCATACGTTTCAAGAGATTTGTCTATGCCAGCAGCGCCATCATCTCCAAAACAGTAATTCAGTGCGCCGACGGCATGGATGAAGATGCGGTTCGTCCACGTGCAGTCGTCACCGGGGCTTTCCAAGGAATAATCGACATCCGGGAATGTGAAGTCTAGCGTGACTGGTCGCTGAGAGGCGAACGCGGTATAAATCTCCTGTCGTATAGCGACGTGGAATGCAGCGCGGCGGAGACCAGTGAGCGACGTGGCTGAGAATATGTTCCCTGGGCTTGCGACGGAACAGATGGCATTGGTGGCTTTCACGAAGAGATGACCGCCGAGAAGGTGAGTACGAGTGTCGGCGCTGGATAGAGGTACTGGATGAGCATGCGTCAGTATATTCAATAAGCTTACTCGTAGAGCATGGCGAGCCAGACTTACCCTCTCTCTCTTCCAGAGATCTAAGGAGGACGATGGCGGCAAACAGATTTTCGTCTCTCAGTGACTCGCTGTCGTTGAGCATTGGGACCAGGGTGTTTAAACTCTTCTGATAATAGCCATCAGACACATACTGGCTACTGCCGTCCGCGTTTTTGAAGTGTCTTGCACTGATCGCAAGTAAGGCGTTCATGAGGGGGGGGCACAGAGCAGCTCGCTGAGGTACTACGAAGGCAAAATGTCGCTCTGGATCGCACATGTCAAAATGGCGGGCGACATTTTCAATAAAGAAACGGACTAGCTCGGCTTCTGCTTCTTCCCGCAATGGCCAGGTAGGCGTTTCGTAGTAGAGCTGTAGATCGTCGGCATCCAACGAGAAGTGATGCAACGCATCTTGCTCATTTGAAAATTCTCCATTCGGCTGTTGCGGTGGTGTCTTAGCTTCCAGAGAGTTCGCTATTCCTAGCAACAGTCTCTGAGGTTCAGAATCTAGGTAATGCGGATGTGGGAGGAAATCATCGGTGATGCTCGCAATGGGAGGAAGCTCAACAGCTGCCACCTGTTCATAATGATCGTCATGATGGTGGTACGAGTCCGTATTATGGGAAAATTGAAGCTGAGAGTCGAGCTGCTGCTGTACTTCCTCTAGATTGTCGCAGGCCGCGCCGAGGACGACAGCAGAGTCCGAATCAGAGAACTGGCGCTCCTGGCCATCGGCCCTCAGTAGTTTGGATATGGAATCATCGCATTCCGCTGTCGATTCAATCTCATATCTTGACTCAAGATCAGGGCCCTCGTCGCAGAAGACGAGGCTACAGCTTGGATCACACCACTGTTGGTTAGGCGAGTATGAGAATTCCGGCGCTTTCGTGTTGGCAATATCAGAGTTAGAGACCCTAGAGTTCCTTGGTAAGCAAAATCGAGATTTCTCTCCTTGTAGTCTATTTGACCATCCCAGGGGTAGGTGGTGCATACGAGGGATTGAACTGATGTTTGAAGCGGTAGTTGAGCCCACGACGGCACTCAAGACCACTTTTAGCACAACGACCACATGTGGGCTTTACTTCGTCACCTAGAGAGTAACAGCCTGCGTTAGTCTGTCTATAACATGCGCGAATTTTCTCTGTAGTCATCTACTGACATTTCAGATGTCTACATTGCAGGCGCAGGAGAGTTAGACCTCTGTGAAACCAACAGCGAATTCAATTGTGGGGATATTACCTCAAACGACAATTCTAATTGATGTGAGATGACTCAATTAGTTGATCGTCCAACCCCTGAAAAGAAATCGGATATGGAACATACATGGCAGCTCGTCAAAGAGCGTCGAGAGATCTGCTTTGTGGGCGGCGAAGCTGTATTGCGTCTCCCTTCTGGCATTGTGGGGGTCTGTTTTAGGCAAGTCGAGACGAGGGAGCACAGCAAGAAGGGGAAATGCTGGGGAACGCTGGGAAGTAAACTATTTATCCCATCGACCATCAATCTACCCCATGATCCTTGTGGTTAGAGGGAACTCCTGGAGGGGATAGTGGCTGTTCCCCGCATCCAAACGCCCAAGAAGGAGTCTTCCGGCGGGTCCTGCGGCGTTTGTGGGGAGAAAACTTGGTTCATTCCTTGCTCAGGAAGGCCTGGATAATGCTAGTTCTCATTGGCTGACTCCCCATCCCTCGTGGGGCAGAATGGCGACAGTTCGTCTCTTTTTATTAATCTCTTGATGCCATACCCTAGAGCCAGCATCACACAATGCCTTTGCGGTAGCCTCAAACTCAACTTAACCTTACAAGCGACAGGAGAAGTGCCTAACTATTCATAGAGTCAGATAGAGATATACCATCAGAGTATCAATTCACGGAAACTTTCTTTATTCTGTTGTCAAAAATCATTTTACTACTGGCTAGGGTTGATTCTAAAATTGACATCTCAGGAAGCAACTTGAGCATTGTGTTGAAACTAGAATCAAGATGATTGGGCTTTGTGTACTACCTCGGAATTAAATCTACGTACTGGAAATTTGGAATAAAAAACAACTTCAAGTCATCTCAGGCACTGAAAGCAATCCCTTCAGTGGACTCTCGAACCCTTCAGCGACATGACTGTTGTCTAGGGTAGCAGCACCATGGTGTCTCCACCAGCCAATCTCCAAGCTTCCAGCTGCCAGGCCCGCACAGCTGGAACACCCTTGGCACAACAGTAAGCTGCCCATGTTTTTTTTTGGAGATGAAGCGTTATCCACCGATTACTCCCAGTTGGCTTGCATGGTTAGCCACAGTACAACCACGTTGACAGCTGGCAGTGCATATTGCACGGTTGCCGGGCGATGGCGATTTCTTCAGGTACCCCGCTGCATGATGTAGCGAATCACATGACTGTGTGTTCCTCGTCCAACCCAGTTGCGAATTTCAATACAGACAAAGCTCCCGCAGCTTCGTCACCCTCTCTCCCAGCTGCACCATGATTCCTTCGCCATGGACGACCAACTGCGCCTAGTGTACCGTTACCTCGACGCCGACCTCAGCGACAATGCCCTCTTCCTCGCCAGTATTCTGCATGCATTGGACCCCGAGAATGGTACCTGGGCGCATCTCAAAGCACTTGCCTGCCTTCGTTTGGGCCAGTACGGCCTCGCTCGTCAGTATAGCTGCGAGAATGGCTTGACTGGCGACCATCTGGGGTGCTCGTACGTCTTCGCATTGGCATCCTTGTCCCAGGGTAATTACCTCGAGGGAATCTCAGCACTGGAGCGAGCCAAGCCACACTGGCAGCTTAGGAATCGGGATGTCAAAATGCCCTTCGCAGCAGATCCTCTGGCCCAGCGATTCTGGCCTGACCGTCCGGCAGTCAATTGCCTCCTTGCCAAACTGCATAGGTACAACAAGGATAACAAGAACGCAGCAAACCACTTCACCGAGGCTCTAGAAACAGACCCTTTGATGTGGGATGCCTTGACCAATCTATGTGACATTGGTAAGTCCCCTGTTTTTTTTTGTTGGAGTAGGAGCTGTTTCCTAACTATGATGTCTTCTAGGAGCCACCTTAAATATGCCGAATATCTTCAACGTCGATCGCTTCCACCCAGAAACTACGCCGAAACCAGACCGTGCCGGTTCGAAATCGGCAGTGGCCAATGCCACGACGAGACAGACCTCCCCGTACCTAGAACAACCGTCGAGATATAATACCCGAACACCCCCGCGAGGCGTGAATATTCAGAATGTGTCTCTTCGAAAAAAGAAGGAATTGCCTACGAATGACACTGCCAAGACCAAGACAACATTGCCGAAGAAACGGCAACGCCCAGGCTTTGATCACTCGATGGAACAGCCAAACCCTCCCAGTGGCCCAATTCTTGCAGACACGGACGTTTTTACTTCCCGGACGATAACTCCAACTCCTTCCCTTGTGGCCCAACGCAGGAGTGCTCGACTACACAATCGTATTGCCGCGACGTCTGGCCTCGCTGATCGACCAGCTTTCCAACCCAGCACTAGAGAGGTAATAAGGCGCCCTGCCAAACCAACGACTTTAGTCCGAGATCGCCAAAAGCCTGCACCGACAGCTCGACCCGGCCCGGCGCAAAAGAGAACTCTGCCCCAACGGAAGGCCGCCGTCTCTCCGCCACCCACTCCTGAAACTGACCCCTCAACCAAGCTTGAGTCTATAAGCGTGGAAGCGATTGCGGAGCGAGAGAGGACCGTGAAATTATTTGGCATCCTCCAGTCATTAGGGGCCGCCTATCACAGCTTGAGCAATTACGAGCCCAGAGCATGCCTGGATGCTTTTGCGTCCCTCCCAATTGAGCTCCAGGCGACTCCCTGGGTTCTTTCCAAATCAGCGCGAGCGCAATACGAGTTGATGGACTACAAGAAAGCGAAGCAAACTTTCCAGGCGCTGCGAAAACGTGCCCCCTCGTGGATTGAAGACTTTGAAGTGTATTCTACTGTCCTGTGGCATCTCAAAGACGAGGTTCCATTGTCGTTATTGGCACACGAGCTTACTGAGAACCATTTTCAATCTCCTGAGACGTGGTGTGCAGTAGGCAACTCGTTTTCTGTATGCCGATCCCGAGATGAAGCAATCAGGTGCTTTCGGCGTGCCTGTCAGCTCTCTCCCCAGCTCCCTCAGGCATATTCTCTCCTTGGATATGAGCTCATGGAGCAAGAAGACTACTACGAGGCCATCGGATCTTTCCAGCGCGCCATTCGGGTGGAACCGCGCTTTTATACAGCCTGGGTCGGGCTTGGACGTGCCTATGAACGGCTGAGTCGCAATGACGTGGCATTGAAGTACTATCTGACGGCTGTGGAAATTAATTCATCCAACCCCATCATCTACACTTACGTCGCCCGGGTATGTTACATTGCCCCCCTGCTAATTAGGGTTTCTCTAACAATGCGGTCCAGGTCTTGGAAAACTTGCAGAAGCGACGAAGTGCGATCGAATACTTGCGACGAGGCATCCGGCTGAACCCCCCGCCGCTCACCATGGCGTTAATAAGGATGCAGCGCGCGGGAATATATCTTTACGCCGGGCAACCCGGTGCCGCCCTGGAGGACCTTCGGGCTGTTGCGCTAATCGCCCCGGACGAGCCTCGCGTTCACTTGCTTCTTGGCCAGGCGTATGCCATGCAAGGGGAAGATAAAGCTGCGGCATTAAAATCTTACACTACCGCTCTCAGCCTTGCTCCTTGGGTAAGTTCATGCCCTATCTTCTATCATGGTTTGGTGCAAATCACTAATTCGGCGCAGAGCAGAGAGATCAAGGACGCCATGCTGTCTCTTGATGATGAATGATTTCATGAACATATATGACTAATGATTATAAACGATGCATCTTGGATGAATCAAACTTCAGCTTGTATTTCCACGATATTCTGGATGGTATATTTGTTTTTCGCGATGGTAGATTGGTAGATGCAATTGGTGGCTTATGATACTTCCACCTTACCTTCCATCAGATTCAGCTTCAAGCCTGTACGTTAATGGCCCTTTTGCCCACCCCCTGACTCTACATATTATGATCATAGCCCCATTTGGGAGCGTACTTAGTGCCGATGTTGACATCATGCTCCATCCTTCTCCTCTCGCAATGAAGTCAGCCCTGGCCGCTGATTTGAAAGGGCGGAGCGGCGTTGTCATTGGCCATCTGAGCTGCATGACACGCATACGCCAGGTCATCGATAATGCGCTGCCGCGAGCAGATCCAATATTCATGCCACATGCCGCTTTGTGGATCGCCCAGCAGAGACAGCTCATCGCCATCGGCGGAGCATTGAAGCCCCCGGAGAATGTTGTGCATACATGTAGCGGGTGAGTGTCCAGCCAATTTCCCTCTTTGATGTCACGATGTCTACTTGTGGATTGGCCAGTTCCACCAATCCTACGCCTAATGCAAGTTGCAGCCAGTCTCTGGACGACATCTCGTCATCTTCCCAGGCGGCACCGACGCTGTTCTTGGTTTATCTCTTCGGAGCAAAAAGAAAGAGAATAGCACCGCAGAAGGAAAAAGAGAGTTAGTGACTGTTATGGAGATGGCTCTGAGGCAATAAAACGAGGTAAGGCTGTAGCGTGTACGATTGTTTGCCCACCCTAGTAAATTGGCGAGCCACGAGAATCGCAACGGAAGGCTATGGGCGTCTCCTAGAGAGACATCGTTGAGTAAAAGCCATGGCCGTGACATTTGAGGTCCATCAGCGTGTTCCGCCAGCTATTTTGTAGCCGTAGTTCTTCACTGGGGCTGATACCCCTCATCATCCGTATGATATCGCAAGCTATGAACCTGTTGAATGATGATACTGCTGTCAAAGCCTCGAGGCGCGACATCGTCTGACAGATACGGACAGAGAGGCTGGTATCCTCGCTCCCTCGTATAACGTCAAAATAAAGCTTGCTCTATGGCTGCATTTGCATCTACTCTACATGCCTGGCGAATGTCTGGGAATTTGCCGTGAGGCTGGCATCCCGATGTCTCAAGACATTGTTAGAGGTTCGGATTGAGGAGCTAAGGAGCTTTCAAGTCTAGATCGTTAACAAGATACCTTACCCACGCCAATCTGTTACAATTGCGGATTGATAATATTGAAATCCTTTATAGTTTGCATGAAACTGCCTAGAACGAACGCATGACACCTGGGATAGAGTTTGTTCGTGTTCAGGCGAGAGAGCGTAAGAGGAGTGTAGGGCGACTATAAAATAGTTTAGGAATTTAAGACATCTGTCCTGAGCTAAGCAAAGCCCTACGCGATATCGGATTGTCGCGAATTGAGCTATGACGCCGGTTCTACCTAGAATCTGGGAAGACTGCTCGTTCAATCCCCTGGCTAGCGGCGACACGTTATGCCCCATGGGGAATTTTCCGATCCCGATAAATAGCATATGATCATGTTTGAGATCAGATGAACACGGACGCTATAGCGGAGGATTCTTCACGTATCTGTAAGACTAATCGCAGGTGTGTGTTGGACGGTAACATTTGCCGTGATACGCGCGCTCGGGCGTTGCTGCCTGTGATGAGGCAACGTGATGACGTCGTCACGCCACAATCAGCCACACTTGCTCGCCGCCGACGCCCAGGTGAAGTTGCACCGCCATGTGGCGCGGTAGCATTGGCCCCACTGCTGCTCTGGGGCTGAAGCTCACCTTGGCTCCAGCTTCAGGAACACGCCGCCTGGTGACGAAATCCCCACCTCGAGCTAACGACGATTACCCTTCCATCCCCCACACCGAGTAAGCGAGATCTTGTTGACTGGATGACCCGGTCTCTTACTGCTGAGCAGATCTACTGCTCTTTGTTCTCCGAGTCTCTGTGAATTCTCTCGCTGCTGGCCTTTGGGTCCGGAATGCGCATCGACTGGCTACTGCGCCCTGTACCGACTCGAACGGGCGACTCGAATACCTCCGACGTATGACGGCCTCGTCCTGCGCCGTCTCTTGGTTCAATTCCGCCCGCGAGAGAGAACCTTCTCAACAGTTTGAACTCGACAATCGAAATCGCTGATCGGCCAGCCTCCTACAAGGCCCAAACCAGGGCCAGCATCTCAATATGAACAACCCTGGCGACTTCTCCCAGCCTCCTGCCTACTCCAACTCCGACCAGCCGATACCACCACTTCGATCGAGAGATTCATGGGAATATTACTCCACGGACGACGAGGCGCCTGAGCCTCGGCCCAAGCCCAGGCATTTAAAGTCGAGTCGCAATCGTCCGCGACAAAACCCTCTGGATGCTCCTGCATCTTTGAGGGTGGGCGGGCCGCCTCCGATTCCACAGGCATCAGACAGCACCGCCCAAGTGGTCTCTGCCCCCGCTACTTCAGGCGATGCAAGCGGTCGTACCCCGTCGATCCCGGAAGCTCTCCGACCTGGCGGCGCGCCTGGTAGTGCGCAACGAAAGCAAACAAACCCTTTCTTGCGAAAGCCCGTGCCTCCAGCTAGCACCCCGCCGACCGAGCAATTGTCCAAGCTGGACCTGAGTGAGGACCCAGTGCGACCCCCAGTTTGGAAGCCAACACTATCGAGGCAGCAGACTGAAGCCTCATCCATATACTCCCAGGCATCCGGGCCTCCCCCCGAGCTCCCTCCTTCAACCTCCTCCTACCCCGATGGCGGACCCAAGGGTTCAACCGAAAACATTTGGGATTCCTTACCTCCTGCCAAGACGCAGTCCAATGCGGTTGCGTGGCCTGGACCACATGATGCAGCCGCAGCGTATTTGGATTCTCCCGTCGAGCTGCTGGATGACCCGTGGGCCGCGCCATCGGCTGCCCCTCCAGGCCCTCCGACAAAACAGCCTCCGATGATACCACAGGCCGAGACCAATCCATGGGCATCGACCGCTCCATCGTCTAATGCGCCATCGCAAAGACCCTCTCCACCGCGGCAGGCATCCCCTCTCCCGGCTCAAGGTAATGTTGGGCCATCAAAGACGCCCCCGAATGTGCCGCCACAGTCGTACATGCAACCTCCCCCGCTTCCAACGGCGAGCATGGTCTCGTTGCCATCCGATGATGAGCCTGGTTGGGGGAGTACGAAGCGCGACATGTCTAAAAGTCCTGTACGACCTGCCGCAACGGTTTCAGATCTTAGCCTGGCGGAAGACCGCGATATATGGGGTGATGTTTCTGCCCTGGAAAAAGACAAAGATAAAGGCAAGGCACCTGCTATTCCACCGCAAGAAATGGCTGGGTCGAGCGATTGGAATCTCATTGACGTTGAGTCTTTGCCGGGTCCCAATGGACCGCCTCCTGGATCCTCTCGGGGCCAAACACCAGGAGCAGCGCCCTCAGAAGACAACCCGGCGCTGCCTACTCGTCCGACCGAGGATGACGCAAGATGGACCTCGCCCAGACCGCCAGTAGATGCGAAGGCGGAAACATACCAGGTGAAGAACATTCGCTGGCAGGACTCTAATGCTTCCAATGGAGATACCCGCGTGTCGCCCATTCTTGTACAGAATGCCAACGGGCCTTGCCCATTGGTGGCCCTGGTTAACGCCCTCTCCCTGACAACACCGCCAGATCACAGCGATGCTACGTTGGTGGAGGTTCTAAGATCGAGGGAGCAAGTCAGTCTCAACCTTCTTTTGGACGCCGTCTTCGAAGAGTTGATGTCTCCACGACGACTGGGAGAGGATGGATCTCTACCTGATATTACAGATTTGTATGCGTTTCTGCAGAGCCTGCACACCGGGATGAACGTCAACCCACGGTTCGCTCCCTCTGATGCTGTAAGGCAGGCGTTTGAGAGAACCACCCTGACGCATTTGGAACCTTCCGAGAGAGGTACCTACATTCCGGGAACCTTCGAAAACACGCAAGAGATGGGTCTCTATGCTACCTTCAAGATCCCCCTTATCCACGGTTGGCTCCCTCCACTCGGCGACCCGGCTTACGAGGCCATGGAACGCCAGGGAGCTTCATACGAAGACGCGCAAAACTTGCTATTCCGTGAAGAGGAGCTGGATCGCAAACTCTCAAACTCGAGCATCGGCCTGACGGAGGATGAGCAGCAGCTCTACCAGGATGTTTACACAATCAAAGGCTTCCTGGAGAGCTCGGCTACACAACTCACATCGTGGGGTATTCAGGTCATTTCCAGAGCTATTCGGCCCGGGACTTTTGCCATTCTCTTCAGAAATGACCATTTCAGCACTTTATACTGCCACCCGCAAACGAAACAACTAGTCACGCTTGTGACGGACTATGGGTACCGTTCTCACGAGGAGGTTGTGTGGGAAAGCTTGGTGGACATCAATGGGGAGCGCACTCAGTATCTTTCTGGCGACTTCAAGGTCGTTGGGTCGGACGCTTCAAGCAGCTTTGGAGGCTATTCTGAAGGACAAGGTTCAGAATGGACTACTGTCTCGAACAAACGTGGAAAGGCACGACAAACAATAAGCGAGCCTGAAGCGGGCCCAGCACTGTCGGCCGCTGAGCAGGAAGACCGAGATCTTGCTCTGGCATTGCAGCTACAAGAAGAGGAAGATCAAAAACATAGGGAAGAGGAAGCTCGCCGTAAGAGGGAGCAAGAGCTTTCCAACCGCGTCATCGAGCAGCAAGGCCGTCAGCCATACAGAAGCATATCCAACACCACTCCATCTTCATCTGGAATGTCGACAGGCATTGCTCCCGCGCGACGGAGCTCCAACAATCTTAACGTGACGGTTGGATCGAATAACACCCCGCGAACACCTCCCCGCCCGGTGACCCAGCAGATCCGTCCCATGGTTCCTCCGCGCCGGAGTAACGTGCCGGCTACAAATAGAGCCCCGGAGGAGGGTGCCGATGCGCCGCCACCGTATGAGCAGGCGGCTCAGTCGGAGCCCTACGTGCCTCCGCCTGGACATCCCAACCATCCCGGGAGCTCACCAAACATGTCTCGGCAGTCAACTAACGCCAGTAACAACGGCGCGTTCCCTCCACGGCAGGGCCAGCGCCTACCAGGGCAGGCAGCGGCCGTGCCTGCGGCGTTTAGACAACCAAATCCATACCCAACTCGCGAAAGGGATAGGGACTGTATCGTGATGTGATGTGTGGAAGACCTGTATAGATAGATATGCATGGTTGCATCATTAGAGACGTACCTGGCATATGCATGGCAGATACGGTGGCCTTTGCAAGCCGACGACATTTTTTCTTTCTTTCTGTTTCTGGGTTTGTTTCCAACTTCTTACATTTTCTTCTCCCCTCTTCGAGATCTTCTATTTGTGCTTATTTCGGGTTCATGCGAGGAAAGACAGAGAGCATAGTTTGGCGTTAGTGGGATATGAGGCATGACGGGATGAGGCATGTGCCTACTTATAGGGAAATTATAAATACAGGCGGACGGGATGCATATATTTTGCCACACAAGAGTGACTTGCCTGTGTAACTGACATGGTGTTGAACAACAAGGATTGCATCTGCGCCTTGCAGCCAACGTGAATGTAGGTCTACCGAATCCCATGGCTTCACATTTGGTAGACGAATAGATATGTGGGAATATAGATAATAAGAAATCAAGCCATGATCACCCACCCC